AGATAGCTAAATAAAGCCTATAAGCTAGAAGATAAAGAACCTACTTCCTTCTTCTTAGGAATTTAAATTATAAGAGATAGAAAATATAAGACTTTAAAGCTATCTTAGTCTTAGTTTATAGAAAAGACTTTAGAAACTTTTAGTTTTTTAGATTCTAAACCTAACTTAGTTCTTTTATAACCTAATATTCTAAAATAACCTATATCTAAAAAACTAGATTATAAAGAGATAAAGTTATATTAAGCTATAATAGATATTTTAATATATCTTATACTTATAACTAGACCTGATTTAGGATTTCCTATATAATAGTTATCTTCTTAGCTAGGGTATTCTTATATAGAATATCTTAATTAAGCTAAAGGAACTTTAAAATACTTAAAGGGTTTTAAATTACTAGCTATAACTTATAAAGCTACTAAGGATTTTTATCCTATAGCTTATAGTAATAGTAATTTTACTAGAGATAAGTTATCTAAGTTAATCTTTAGTTATCTAATAATCTTAGGAAATATCTCTATTAGTTAGAAGTTAAAGAAAGCTTTAACTATAGCTTTATTAACTATAGAGGCTGAAATAGATACTTTAGTAGAGGCTATTAGAGAGATTTTATAGTTAAAAACCTTATATAAGGAACTAAAAAGATCTATATCCTCTATAAACCTCTATTATAATAATATAAGCTCTATTTCTAACTCTTCTAATCCTAATCTTTATAGTTAAACTAAATATATACTATTAAAGTTTAACTATATAAGGGAAATTATAAAGCTAGAAAATATAAAGATTATCTATCTTAATACTAAAGAGATACCTATAGACAGATTAACTAAACCCCTAGCTTCTATAGCTTTTAAAAGCTATATAAAGCTCCTAGGTTTATCCTAGAGACTTTCCCTTAGAAAATAATTCTTATAAAGGGTTTATTAGAGATTATAAGTCTCTATAGCTAGATTTTATTATAGTTACTACTTTCCTAGCTCTTTAAGAGTATTCTCTTAAATGCTTTTTAATATATCTAGAAATTATAAGCCTATTCTATACTATTATAATATACTATATTTCTTAAAAAATATACTATTTAGTATATATTTTTTCAGATTTTTATCTCTATAAATAAGTATAGTATATCTTTTTTTAGAGAGAATATTAATTTTAAGAGACTATAACTACTATAAGTTAATAGGGTTATAAGTATAATAGCAGTTATAACTACTAACTACTAGTAATTATAACTACTAGCTATTAGTAATTAATCTAGCTATTAGAGATTACTACTAGTAATTATAACTACTAGCTATTAGTAATTATAGCTATTAACTATTAGTAATTATAGTTATTAGCTATTAGTAATTATAACTACTAGCTTCTAGTAATTATAACTACTAGCTATAACTATTAATAACTCTTTATTATTACTAGCTAATAGTAGCTATAGCTACTATAGATTAGTAGCTATAGATTACTATAACTACTATAACTTAGTAGGCTCTAGAAACCCTTAGAGGTTTAAACTATTAGTAGAGCTATTATTAGATTATTAGGCTTATTAAGCTTAAAATAAGAATCTAATAAATCTAGAAAAAATCCTAGAATATTCTTAGATAATCTAATCTATATTCAGATTACTCTATAGTTAGTTTACTCTAAACTAAATCTTAGATCTTAGATAATTCTTTTAGCTTTAAAGATAAGATATCTAATATCTATATTTAATTAATTAGTTTAAGAGTCTCTTTTAGATAAAAATAGATCTTATAAAAGCTATATATATTAGTTAAAGGTTTTAATAGTTATAAGTTAATTTTTTAGATTTTCTATAGTAATAAATTTTATAGAAAATTAAAAGTAGTCTAGGAAGCTATTATAATAGGTTTTAGAATAGTTTTTAGTTAGTAGATCTATAAGAGAAATTAGATAGAATTTTCTAATCTCTCTTATAAAAATAAGATTCTTTTATACTATATTTTATACTATATTTAGTTCTTCTAGTACTAAAACTTATTAAGTTATAGTAGAGTTAGTAGTTAAGAACTATAAGTTATAGTAAATTTCCCTACTATATTATAAAGGCTTATAAGGGTAAATACTCTATAAACTCTCTATAAAACTAATAATAGATAATTATATTAATAACTATCTAAAGAAATATTTCTATCTAAAAAGTAAATATATATATATACTAGATAGCTTATATAGATTTACTAGTAATTCAGAATAAGTTTAATTCTGAATTATATAGGTTTATTAGTAATCTAGAGTAATTTATTCTTTATTAGTAGAAAAAAATAGGGTAGAGTATATAATACTAGGGGTATTTCTTTATTTATAATACTAGATTAATCTATTCTTAATAATCTCTCTAAGAAGTAGATTAAAACTCTATATTACTTTAGTAAGAATCTCCTTAGATATATATCTAAGAATAAACTTAATAATAAGACTATTTTAATCTTATAAAGCTAGAGATTAGAGTAGTTCTAATTCCTTATAGCTAAAGCAGAGTTATTCTAAGAGAATACTATTAATAAGAAGAATAAGTAGAGCAGTCTAAAGAAGGAAAAAAAAGATATAGAAGAAATCAGGGTTCGGAAGATAGTAATAATAAAAAAAGCTTTTAAACTTTTAATATAATAAAAGATAATACAGTGAGGGGTAGGTATTTGTATAAATATCCATTCGCAATGTCCATGTGTTGGACAGGGTAATCTGGATGGTCGAATGAAGTGTCGCGAAGAACGCTTAAACGATCTTGAACCACTATCTCCAAGTTCTCTGCTGTCCAGGTTGCTTCGTCGGCCTCAGAAAACTTTCTTTTCAGGTCAGTCGGATCATTGGTGTACCAACTATCATCCGTGGGGGCTTGAAGAGGTTACTAGTCCTGTGAGGTGCTCATATTGAAATCAATTGATAGTAGCGGCTTTAATTCAGGATATTCACGAGAAATTAGCCATCCTAGATCAAGCTTCTGACAGTCCTCGATCGTCTGTTTCAATCTTTCGAAACACAAGCCAAGAAACCAGTGGGAGAAGCGGGGTAGGTATTGAATGCACATTCGAAAACTACATATGAGTCAGACACCATCTTAAAACCCAGCGCGGACCAATTAGGAGACGAAAGAAGTCTTACGCGACACTGAGAATTGGCATGAACGCACTAACTAATCACATGCTACATAAATACGCAGAAACGCAAGTATAGCCAACAGAGCAATGGGTTGAATCGCAGCATATCTCAAGCTACAACAGAATTCTCGGTATGTAGTCTTAATGGCTTCAAGTTTTCAAAAGCCTAGAGTAGATTCATGTGTACGAATCCAGTGATAACAGACTCACCATAAAAGCATGGGAGAGTTCGAGTAGAATTTTAAACAACAATAGAAGATGCCAGACCCGACAACTCACAGCAATGAATAGACTCACCTTATACATACCTTGAGGAATACTAACGGCTTTAAGCAAAATACAAAGCTGAATAAAGCTGCGAGCAGGTACGAGAGACGAATTCGCTTAAAAGTCCTCTAATTCTCAACCCGTAAAACGAATAAAATCGTAACATTCACACGACTCCAGTGTGATTTATGCAAAGAATTGATAGGCTCTTAGTCTCTTATTCAAGGTCAAGAGCTTTAGAGAGACTTAAGTCTATCTCAACTGATCACCGCTGATATTAAGACATGGATTTGAACGCGTTACAAAGAGGACTATATTCATTGTTGTGAGTTGTCGGGTTCTGGCATCTTCCATTGTTGTTTAACTTTACTCTCTTACGTACAACGAAGACTATCACTACTTTAGGGTCAAGTATTATAGTTTGATGAACTTTAACATTTCCAAAACAGGAGTGATTCCAAAGTCAGAACCCACAGCGATTTTATTTTTTTGTTTCTGTTGTTTCCCACAATCTCGCTTCTCTAACCTCGCTTTAGTGTTTCGAAAGTCCTTTAGCATTCTAATGCCATAATACACATGTAAGCGTTTGAGTTCGTTCCTAAATTTGGTGATTCTAAAGGGATGTATTGCGAGTTCATTATGTGAGTATAATTTTGGAAGCTGGTCTATCGGGAAAGCCTAGGTCTTTACCCTAGAAAACGAGGTTAGTTAAACATTCGCTATGAAGGGACTGTTGATTCTTGGTCATGCTCGTAATCTGATTCTTGAGACTCTGCTTGTGAATCTTCTGATTTCGAGTCATAATGTAAAGAACAAGAGACTGTTGTAATAACCCATCATGCCAAGTCACTTGTCATTGTTAAACCTGCTCCCGGTCAAGCATTCCCAATGTATGCTTTAGAGCAGTTTACTGTTGATCAGTGCTCTTTTTGCCTGATGAGGGGACTATGAGGGTCCTTGTCCCACTCTTCAGAGTCCGATGTATTTCATCCACAATTCCATCTAAATCGCGGAAGAGTGCAAGATTGGGAAGAGCCGAAGCAATAAAATTAGTGGGAAACCGCATTAGCATGGCCCCAAAGATCCAGCCACTGCCGTAGTCCAACGGCGATACTATTCCAGCAAAGCATGACCGCAATTGCTAGTAGATATCGTATATTCACAGCTACATTTAATTTATCAAAGGGGGTGTACTGAGCAATTAAACATTATGCTGTAGCGGTTCGTCTTTTTGGGATTACCTGGTACAGTTACCCTCGAAAATCCAACGACCAGCTTGTGGATGGCAAATACCACAGGGATCCCAGCTCAGCTAACCATGCCTATTATTTGTGGCTAATAATAAGCACGGTGAGGGACTTATGTCCACCATCTGTCGTCCTAGCGGCCTAAGATACCCCTCCCATTTCCTGAGACGGTGGGGAGTCATTCGGTCGGCGAGCCACTTTCGGCAGCTGGCACCTGAACGCATAAATAAACTCTCGATTGTGTTTGAGTGGCAAAGAATGGGCACCTCTGAACCCTCTGATTGAGGCGATTCACGGAGCCCATCTACTTTCTTTCCACGCTTGCCGACCAGGTGTTCGGATCTGCAAAGACCCTGTGGCTATGGCGACCACAACAGACTCAGAGCAAGAGGGTGATTATGAAGTTGTCTCCAAAGACAGTGTTCCTGCCCCAGCCGCGCAAGCAGGCGCAGCTTGGCAAAAAGAGCTCAACACGGTTCAGAAATGGCTGCAGCCAACAGACTATAATTCTTCCGGCAACGAGTACATGAAACATTTACACTCGTATATTCCAGGTACTGGATCCTGGGTTCGGGAATCTCCCATTTACAGCACCTGGGCTGAGCCACGACCAAGCAGCGAAGCGCAGCATGGGGTTTTACATGTCAAAGGAGTTGCTGGGAGCGGCAAGTCAGTCCTCGCTGCCAGCATCATATCCCAGCTTCAGGAAGAGCAGCCAAACACCCCTGTGCTTTTCTTCTTCTTCCGACAGATTGTCGAGAAAAACCACAGTGCAAAGTACCTTGTTCGAGACTTTGCTTCCCAGCTTCTTCCGCACAGTCAATCTCTTGTCTCGAAACTATATCCGGTGTCACAAAAGCAGGGTGTAGATGGGACAGAACTTGGCTCTCTGTGGGATGCCATACTGCAAACACTCGAAAGTATGCCGGGCGTCTACTGTGTTGTGGACGCGTTGGATGAGATGGATGATGGGGATTTTGACTTCATTCATCAGCTCGTCCGTCTGGGGGCTCTTGATCCCGACCGAGTCAAGCTACTTTTGACAAGCCGCCCCGTTTCCAAGATCGAGGAAGCGCTTAGAGATCCGCATATCCTACGTTTCAAATTGGAGACATCCCTAATTGATCCGGATATCGACAAGTATGTCGGTGTGAGCCTTGTTTCCCTCAACCCATCGCTGAGACCAGAGACGGAGGATCTGGTGAAGAAGACCATTTGCAAATGTGCTCAGGGCCTATTCTTGCACGCGCGACTTGTGACTGATAACTTGACGAATGGTCTCAAAGATAGCCGGATCACTGAAGACATGCTTCCAGAGTGTTTGGAAAGGTTGCCTCAAAATTTAAAGGATGTTTACGAGCAAATGCTGACAGATCACGCGCTGAGAAGCGGTGTCAGTACAGAGCAACAGGCTCATATTCTCATGTGTGTGACTCATTCTTCCCGACCCTTACGACTGATTGAACTGGGCTCCTTGGTCTCTAGTTTCATGGGGTTGGACAATCTCAAAGAGGGTAAGGATCTGGTGCGAGCGAGCTGTGGGCCATTGCTCGAAATATTGGAAGATCAGACTGTGAGCGTCATCCACCATTCGTTCACAGAGTTCCTTCGCGACGGATCCCGACTGCAAACCCCGGCTTCATTCCCGGTCCTAAACTCTCGATATGCACATAGCATGCTGGCAATTTTGTCCCTCCAATATCTAGATGGCGGCCCATTGCTAGATATGAATTCAGACACGCCAAGTGACTCTTATTATGATGACTACGACAACAGCAGACAAGAACAAACTCGCCGCCATCAAGTGCTACAAGATATGAATCTTACTCTACCACTTTTAAATTACTCACTGGAGAATCTCAAATATCATCTCGATAATGCAGAGCCGGAGGATAGCCAGCTCTTGAATACAATTTCTACCTACCTGGCTCCTGGGAAACCTGCATTCGGGCTATGGATGTATCACCATTGGCAACCCCGCTTCTACAACTCTTTTACTGCGGTTCATCTTGCAGCTTTTGCAGACATGCCATTGTATGTGATTGAACACTTGGGACCAAACGACACAAAGGATGGAGACGGCCGGACACCTCTTTCCTATGCCGCGGAGAAGAGCGCCGCAAAGACGGTTAAGTTTCTCCTGAGTCACGGTGCTGACCCAAAGTCATACTGCTCTTGGGGATTGACCCCGCTTCACTATGCGATCCAGAAAGAATCTATTGAGACCGTTCAGCTATTACTAGAGGCGGGTTTCAGTCCACTCATCCCGACGATCAAGTCAGATCGGTATGACGAATATGAGGATGAAGGTTCAAGTTTTGGCAACACCCCTCTGGAGTATGCCTTCACTGGCAACCATGAGGCTATCATCGAATGCTTCATGCCGTTGATTACCCCTGATTACGCAAATAAATGCCTCCATTGGGCTCGGGAAACCAAGATTATCGAAGCTGTCTTGAAGGCCGGGCCTGTTGATGTTGATTGTTTCGCAGGCGGCTCTACTAAGTTATTTAAGGCTACCACTGATTATGACTTTGAGACCATGAAAGTCTTGATTCAGCATGGTGCTGATGTGAATAAACGGTGTGGCGGAGACCGGTACGGGAGTGAGGACATTATTAGTCTCGAAATTGATAACCCTCGGGGCCCAATGCCCATACATGCTTTCGCTGGCTATGGACAGTCATTTTCTCGTGGTTGTAGCGATCTAGAGAACGCGGAAAAGTGTCTTCGCCTCCTTCTTGATAACGGTGCCGACATCAATGCAACAACTGATGGGGAAAAGCACATATACCGTGGTCGAGATGGGAAGTTTACGCCGTTGCACTACGCCGTAAAGAAAGATATAAACGGTTATTGGTTCGGTGTCAAGGACAACACGAGGGAGAAGTTTGCTTCACTTCTTCTTAAGGCCGGTGCTGACCCCAACGCCAAAACAACTTACGGATATACTCCTCTCCATGTTGCTAATCCTGAATGTCTTCCCCTATTTGATCTCCTTGTTGCTCACTCGGCCGATGTCAATGCCAAAAATCACAGGGGCAGCGCACCAATCCTACAATTAATTCAACAGTATAAGGTCAACCCAGACATCAAAGTATTCGAGAAGCTTATTGAGTGTGGTGCCGACGTCAACACATCTGACGACGACGGAGATACCATTTTTCATATGGTCCTTGGCCATTTGGAAAAGTTTAAGATGACCGATCTTCCTTTCTTTCAGCTTCTACTCCGCTCGGGGGCTGATATAAACAAACCGAATAAGAAAGGAAACCCACCCTTGTTTAAGTACCAAGCGCCAGAACATGATTCGTGGCCTTCTCATAGGTTGAATCCTAGAGATGATGAACCACTGCTTCGAGCGCTTGTAGAAGCTGGCCTGGACATGCGGGCATACAATGGCGAGGGGGAAACCATACTGAGTGCTCTTATCCCACAATATCGCTGCGAGATCAAGACGGTCGAGAAGTTCATCCGCCTAGGTGCAGATCTTACAGCACGAAATAATGATGGATCGACACTGCTGCGCGTCGCACTCAAATCAAGACACTCTATTGATTGGATCAATTATCTTTCCTCAAAGGGCCTCGATCCTTTAGCCAGGGACGAAGACGGGAGAACGCTTATTCACACAGCCGTTCAGTGTTACAGCGCTGACCAGACCGGGCGAGCTATTGTTGAAGGGCTAATTGAGCTGGGCATATCCCCGGAAGCCAAAGATGGTTTCGGGAGTACGGCTCTTCACCTGGCAAGCAAGAAAGACCACGGGGATAGGGTAACGGCCCGAGAAGATGAATACGATTGGGTGGACGCCATCCTCAAGACCAGGATATTAGGAGCCCAAGATGTCAACGATCGCGATGGTAGTGGTGCAACTACTCTTCATAATGCTGTAGGAGTTTGCGAGTTCACTGTCGCCAAGCTTCTTCAAGCAGGAGCAAATCCTACAGCTCTGACCCATGAAGGTCTCTCCCCACTTCACATAGCCTGTCGCGATGGTCAACCAAATGTCGTTGGACTGCTCCTAGCTACATATAAGGAACGAGGTGAACTTGGGCAGATGATCAATCTCCACGATTCCCTCGGAGAGAGGAGGACAAGTCTGCATCTGGCGGCTCGAGCAGGAATCTATGAGAGTGTTTCTTACCTACTGAACAATGGTGCTGATATTGCTTCGCTTGACAAGAATGGCTTCACTGCACTACATGCCCTGGTTGAGGCGCCGTCGAATACTCCATGGCTGGAAATTCTTGATCTGCTTCTGAACTTTGGGGCAGATCTGAATGCAAAGACGTCCGTTGAGCAGAACAGGGCCACAGCTCTCGATCTTGCTACCAAAAACGGTCGTGAGGCTATGGTACAAGCTCTTGTTCAGCACGGCGCTACGTCTAACCGCAGGCTACATGATCAGTCTCCGGAGCCTACCATATCGACTAAGACTCTTCAAGAGCTTCTTGAGTCTAGAAATTCTCCGGAGATTGTCAGAAAGGTTGAAAAGGTGCTCGAAACTAACGACTATGCGACCATCAAAGAATTTGTAAGGCTTGGTGGGAGCTTGATGAGTATCGATCAGTTCAAAGACAAGACTATTCTCCATAGGATGGTACACCGAGGCAATATCTCCTTGCTTAGTCACTTTAAAGACGAAGCATCGAAAGTTGACCAGTCCCCTTGGATGATGGAGGAAGAGCACCCGGGAACTTTGCTTGCCGATGCTTGTGAACGTGGCTTGCCAGGTCTTGACATTATCAAATGTCTTATTGAGAACGTTGGCCTAGATCCAAACATGCCTTCCGATCGCCGAGGCTTTACATATAAGCTGAAGAAAGCGACACCTCTACACTTCGTTGCTTGCGGTACGCATTTCTGGCATGCGGACGCGGTTACGTACCTGTTATCCCATGGTGCAGATATAGAGGCCAAAAACAAGGATGGGCAGACGCCACTCCTTTGTGCCATTAGTACGCAACATCCGAATGGATTTTGGAAGGAACGAACGATCAAACAACTCTTGGACCACGGTGCGAATCCCAACTTCATCGCCGAGAGCGGAGCATCGTGCCTGGCGGAGGCTGATAGTGCAGAGGTACTGAAACTGTTACTCGAGTATGGGGCAAATATCTCAGCAACTCCCGGGGTCATGGAGTTTGCGTTGAAGAAGATGAATGTCGACATGGTTCAGGTTCTTCTAGATGCCGGAGCTGACCCGAATTACCGTGATTCCCTTGATGGCGGCTATACAGAGGATGAAGCCTCGTCACAATATCCCCTGCACCGTGCTGCTCGACCCGCTAACGAAAGGTTTCCTACGATTGACTGGGATTCTCGGAAACAGAAAATCACTGAAATTCTGCTCCAGGGCGGTTCAAACCCATATGCAGCTTATTCTGACGAGAGCTACGTGCTTCAGGCCATCGTGGAAGAGAACGGGTTCTTGGATCCGTTCTTTGAGCTGGGCAACCTCGATATTGAGGAGCGAGGCCGCCATGGACGAACATTGCTCTTGTCCGCCTGCGTCGTCGTTGAGAAGCCCCATAGAGAAGTCCGGGGGGGGCATATGAACAAAAAATTTCCTCTAACAGCAAACCCTAAAGTCGTGCTCGCATTGCTCGCACGTGGTGCAATTCCGGACGTCACGGATGATCAAGAGAGAACACCACTTCATTGTCTGTGTAGCATGACACATCCGTACGATGAAGATCACCAACAAGCTTTCGATGCTCTTGTAACCAGCGCTCCTTCGACGATCCACGCGGTCGACAATGCCGGCTTCAAACCACTGCACCGCGCCAGCCAATCCTGTCAGAGTTGGGCCATATGGAGGCTGGTAGACCTCGGTGCAGATTTGCTAAAGCCTGATCCTGACGGAAACACGGCCCTGCATTTCCTTGCGCCCAAGATGGTTGGCGAGAAGACATCGGCGGCAGCAGCGCAAGCTCAGTTCAAACTCCTCCTCGCCCAGGGCCTAACCATCAACGCTCGTAATAATAAAGGCGAGACGCCTCTCTTCCTAAGTATATCGGCCGAATGGTCCGGAACTTGTCTCATAGACACGTCTCATCCGACGTATGCGCTGGAAAATGACGTGTCCCCGAGCGACGTTTTAGATCTGTATATTAGTCGAGGCGCCGACATCTTTACAGCTGACAACGAAGGTAAAACACTCCTCCATGCTGCAGCAGGTAGGCGGATTGAGGACCCAGATTGGAACACGGATCAAATTAAACACATGGAGAACGTGTTCAAGAAATTGATGGATATGGGGCTCGACCCGCGGAAAGAAGATGTACAGATGCGAACGGCAATCGACATGGCTGTTGCGAGAGGGCGGAAAGGCATCGTGGACTTTTTCGCGGAGAAGTAATGATGCGGAACTAATTTTGTTAGGAAGTACTCGAGGACACCAAGCAACAAAGATCCAGACTCATCATCTGAGCTATAGCTAGCTGCGGACAGTTATGAGGCCATGTTCTTCACTTTTCGTTCTCGCTCACATGATAGCATTCGTTGAGTACAAAAGATTCTATCGAAGTAACTAAGCATAAATAATGCTTCCCATTGTCAATATCATTTCCCATAATATCGGAAGAAAAAGTAAAAAGAGAAGTCGAAAGATCTCTAAACCACTCAGCTATCGAATCCCCCCCCACTAAAATTGCAAACTTCCCCCTCATACACCCGGTATGTTGAATCCGGTCGAATAGATTGTATTTGAATAATTGTTGAGATCTTGATGCGTGCTCCAAAAGCGAATTAAGGGAGGATGTTTAGTACTTGGCCAAATCAGCCCTCAGTCCCGGGACCTTCAACCCCTTTATCTGTCCCTGCTCATTCGCTTCAAAAACCGCTTCATCAACTGAAAGACCGGCAAAGCGGAGCTTATCGTAGGCGAACCAAGTTTCACAGTAGTCCTTGAAAAGAGTCGTTTCGTTTTTCCCGAGACCCAAAAAACCTATCTGCCAGTTCGTCTCATTGCCAGTGACGGGGTAAAGGCGGGCATCTACGCCTGACGCGCCTTCGCTCTCTTCCGACAAGGCCATCCAAGCATCAAAGACGGACTTGCCTTCGTTCTTCCACTCTTCAATCTTAAGGCCTGGTCCACCGTCAACCCCTAGACGGAGCAGGGAGCTGTTCGGACCCTTGTACAAGCCGGCATACTTGTGTGCGGCTTGCTCACGTGCGAGGCCATCGACAACGGGGACAAACTTCTCGATCGCGAGTCCAAGAAGGGTTCGTAGTAGGATATCGCCTCCAGGACCAGCGATGTTAACGGTGAAGCCGATGTTGTACTCTGGGATCACGGCTACGTACGCGCCGTAGATGGCAAAGCTGCCGATCATGGAGTACACCTCCAAGGGCCGTTTGCCAGACGGTCGCTGTATATCCGAGGTTCGAACAATTGACCATGGCATGCCAACACCCCCGCCAGCTGTCGACGTGGTGAAAGATGTAGGCTTGAGCCATAAGTTCGTCTTGACAGGTGAGAGAAGCTCATGGTTGATGATGCCACGTGCAAACTGAGCCAAGTCATTAGGCGTAGAGAATATACCGGCAGTGCTAAATAAAGTGAAAAATAAGTTAGCTTGTCAAGGTCCGAGGACTATGTTTAGTCGAATCAAATGTTAGGCCTTCTAAACATACCCCTTCCAGTATCCCAAATCAATTGTGGCCCATTCTTCGCTACCCAGAGGGGCGATGATACGGCTTTCATCCGGAGTCTCATAACCAGATGATGGCATTCCGAGGGGTCCTGTGATCTTCTCCGAAACTATTTCACCTAATTTCTTTCCACTGTAGCTCTCGGCGGCCAGACCGAGGAGAATGAAGGCAAAGTTGCTGTATGCCGGTGTCACCCCAGGAGCCCAAACGCTACTGCTGTTTCTCAAACCGGAAAAGAATTCTTGTATTTATCGTTAGAAATCGAAGTATAGAAGACTTTGGGGTGATGGAAAAAGAATTGTAAGATCAAAACACATACCTTCGCGAGAACAATACTCATGACCTACGCTATCACAACGAGGATACCAGTCTGGCGTAGTTGCATTGGGGAAGCCCAAGGACTGCAAAACCTCAGGAGGCACACTTGCCGCCAGGTCGAAAGCGTAACCTAATATTTTGAGTCAGTATTGTAATCATTCTAGCGAGTCATAACAAAACTCACCATCTCTAACAATGCCTGATACATGCGAAGCAAGCATTCTCAGTGTAATGTCCTTGTACGCATTAACACCTTCAAGTTCTGGGATGTGTTTCCAAGCAAGATCATCCAAATTGAGACCGTCCTGAAGCATGGCTGAAAGTGTAGTAAACAGCTTTGACACTGAGGCGATACGGTAAATAGTATCGCCATCAACTTGCTGTGCTCCTTTTGCGGAAAGGAGATCGGCGGTATGATGAAACTCGAAGAGCGTCTTGGAGGATGATGTGACGGTAACGGAAAATGATACTGTTGATTTGTTGAACAGGTGTTCTGGGTTCTCAACCAGTTGGGTCAGAGTCTGTCCCAGGTTGGTCTTATTGGCGATTGCATCAGAGATGTATGGTGCAGGAAGTACCTGGCCATTGGGAGGACAATACTGGATGGCCTGAGCAAATGGCATGAGTGCCACTACTCCAGCTATACCAACAGAGGCTTTTCCCTTCATTTTCGGGCTGGCGGATGTCTTTTGATAAAACTAAAGGCAGGGGAATATATCAAAATGTTCTTGTTGTGTAAGTCATGGCACAGCAAAGACGATGCAGTGGGAAACCCCTTTATATATTACTTTATTCAATAGTTTAAATATAAACATTATCTCGTAGCGCTGTTTGTGTCCTATTATGGTCTGGTCCACGATGAGTCCCCATCATACAATCTAAGGCTGAGACGAGCTGCTTTAACAACAATCTAAATTACACAACTATCCATCGCATAAATGCTCTCCTCTGGTGGGTAATCGTCAAGAAAGAGGCAACCGCAGATCACCGCGTCCCGAAAGCGAGAAAGGCTGACTCAGATACGTCAGCTTCTCTACCAAATATCGGCGTCATTAATGTCATCAAACAGCGGTCGAGGCTGAGAAGCGGACATATTTCATAATTACCTCTGATTTAAGCATATGTGCACCGCTGCAATAAGAATGGTGAGCCTTAACCCTATTTTTGAGGTGACGAGCTAATCCCGATTAGACTTGTAACAGCGCGGAGAAGTTTGGAAGGATTCAAATGTCAGTCTCATCCCTGCCAACACACAGCCACGATTATTTCTCACCTCTCATCATCAGCAATCCAAGCCTTCCGTTGAGGAGAACAGCGCCACAGGGACTCATCTCGAGAATGCGTAACCAGTCTAGGTACTAAAAGAGCTACAAACAACGCTTCATCCCCGAAAATCCCCAGGCCCCCGCACACTCGCGCCAATATCGCGTGTTCCTGAATCCGGCCATGGTTCGTGTTCCGACTTCAAAGGCTTGCAACACCTGCAGAGAGAGAAAGAAAGGGGTAAGTCGCTCCACTATGCAGCCGGCTATATTGCCGTCGAGCCTAGTACCTGAATCCTAAACATGGTTTCCAGTGTGATAGAAGAACTCCAGCATGTGGGCAATGTATCCTGGCTGGATTTGAATGTGGAGGATACACTCGCGATCACCTGTTCGTCCATGCCAAAGTGACGAATGGCCGAAATAAGGCAATATACACCAAGAAAGCTCCACAGGGAGACATTACTCTCCATCCATCACTTGAATCGAAGGCCAGGGATGAAAAGTACCTCGGCCTCTACTGGTCTGCTCTTCTACCCGGTTCCCGGACGCTTTCACCAGACGCTCTAGAATTTTCGACAGGGGGGTGGACAACTGTAGCCGGCCAACTGTGTGGATCGGAAAATACACTACGGCAGGCAATCCTGGCCACAAGCTTGTCGATGCTAGGCGACCGGGATAACAACGCCACTCTCAAGCTGAATGGTCTTCAGACATACACGAGGGCTGTCCAATCTATGGTGACCGCTATCCGAAATTCCCGCCAAGGAAATACGGATGGGCTGCTTGCAGCGGTCCGCTTTATGATTTACTTTGAGGTACGTATCAAGATGCTGCCCTAGAGAGTGGTTTCCCTCGTATGACAAATGCTAAAAACGTCCAGATTTTTTTCAGCTCAGAAGGGAGTAAATATCGCCAAATGGGAAGCTTAGGGAAAGTTAAAGGCTGGGAGGGTCATAAAAATGGCGAGATCGCGCTCTACACGTCGAGAGGTGCAGATTCCTTGAGAACAGGTTTTGGACATCAATTATTTGTTGATGGCAGATTGCATACTGTGAGTGAGTAAAGTGATTTGAACAGAGAATTCTCCTAACCGATACTAGTTGTACGAGTCCATAACACAACGAAAGGCGTCTCCATTTAGCACATTCGAATGGAAATCAGTTCCTTGGGAGGTTGAACCCAAAACGGTCAAAGATCTCATGGTGGACTTCATGACTGATATCCCTGGCTTGCTTGAGGATCTCGACTATCTGAGATCAAACTATAGCGAGGCCCTAAGGCAAGAGCTTCTTGATAAATGCACCCGAATTGAAGCCGAGATTGCGGAATGGGAAGATATAATCGGGCCGCCACTGCAAATGTATGATTACGATTTCGCAGATGGACCGGTATCGCTACCAACAACCGACAAAGGCTTCGCAATCCTGCATCTCTCCCAGTTCTATTGGTCTGCATGCTTGCTGCTATATTCTACAATATGGTTTACTCAAACCATCATTCCTCTTTCCCAATCTCAGCGAAGCGAATACGATGCACAGAGTCATCCTGCCATAACTTCATCATGTGCCAACGGCATCTCGCTTGTAGGGGCTCAATCTCTCAGGACCCGACATTCCCGTCAGACAGCGCCGACGGCCTACGCATTTAAACTTGCGCATTCGTTCTACTTAGCGTATCTCCCTGGGGCTGGAGCTTTGGGAAGTCATTGTTCCACTTTCCCTCTCATGCTCACACTGTCTTATCTCACTATGGCTGAGGGCTTGGGGCTTCAGTGCTCAGAGAAACAAATGATAGAGAGCATCTTTGACATTCCGTTCTTGGGGAGCCATGTTGGTCAATTCTCCAGGAAGATGTGGAATGCTATGCCAAGAGATGATGCGGGGCTTTATGATAGTCATTCTTACTGGTGGCGACATGGCTTCCAGGTGACGAAGGAATGAGCGAGACATTAACGGATATTTGAATAGCATTAATATAGACTTAGAAGACGAATGAGTAAACAAACAGGTCGTGTGCGCTAGCGTAAGAATTTGACAGATCAAAAGCTCACGTCCTAAACCAAAATGAGACCCTTTCACCAGGCCAAGGCCATTCCTGTTCATTCTGTGACAAAAGATACTGCTAGAGAGAAATCTTTACCCAGTGAAATGCTCTAAGTAGACTCTTTCTGGCGCTAGATATGCAGACCGTCATCAACATAATTTTGAGCCATACAGCATCGTCTCAATACCCCACTGTCTATATTGACTTAGAACGTGACCTCGAATAACCCTATATTGTAGAATCGAGGGTGTCCATCATATGTACAAATTGTCTCCGCCGCCTTGACCCTCAACCGGAATTGCTTTGCCGAGTTGAGCATTTGCTCTAGAAAGCTCATCTGATCAAATCACTCGCTCAGGCTTTATAATCAAGTCTCCCATGGGTATGGATCTCGGCATGACCCTGCCGGTAGCAACGAAGCTAAAGAGCTGCATTCGCCATGAAATCTCTTCACAAGTGCAGTAAGAATCTACAGTTCGTTCTAGATTTTGGTCATTTGGTGGTACAGACCGGTAAAGGTGGGTTACCAAAGGCATAAAACGGCGCCTATATATCCGGAAGCTGTAGCAGCTGACTTTAAAGCCGCTCCATCCAAATTATATGAAAGAGCGGCATGATGCCTCTTTAGTTACATCGTGAGCATCACATGATATGCCATCAATATGAAATGTCTCCCTCCATATAACGAACAGACAAGGTCACATTGCACTAAGTAATGCGACTCAATAATTTGGAGACTTTAATTATTCGTGTCAACGCTTGAGGTTCATTCGAAAAAGTTCGACATTATAGAAAGCTAAAGCTCGACCAGATGGGCTTATTAATGCTAGAGCAGGAAACACTTTCTAAATCTTGTCAGTCAAAATATCTGATTAGATAATTGAACGTGAAACAAACAGAAGCTGCGACCGGGGTTCACTTTAATCTGGCAAGCATGCCTTACCATACCGCGATGTAACGTGGGTAATGTTGGTCATGCCAATAGATCCTCCGAGACAAAAGTCTTACACAGCCCTTGAAAAGAGACAATCCCGAAATGACAGCCAAGAAATGCGGTCCCACCATGCGCGAACGCTGTCAGCTGATTCGGCCCTCTCACTCTCTCAATTGGTCTGGAACATACCAAACTCTCTTCTGAGGTTAGGCAGCCGTTGATCGTATGATAGCAGTATCTGCGACCCCTGTCTTTACTGTTGCTCCAAGCGCTGTCCTCTTAATATCCTCGTTCCCCACGAGAAAAAAAAAAACACTTCCGTGAATTCGACTTCGATTTTTCAATGCCGGACTTGCCTAGAGAGACTACTGGAATGCGCATCGCATGGAGTAAATCTCCTTGAGGAGAATTGTTGTCCCTCGCGCCAGTATATCCAGCCCCGGATCTTCTCTCATCCTTCGTTCTCGTTACTCTCTATTTTACATCTATTACGATGAGATTCACGATAAAATTCCTGGCCGTGGCCAGCCTCATCGCGAACACAACTTACGGCAGAGTAATACAGCAATCGCTTTCCGACTCATCCGGTAGTCTAGGAGAAGGGTTGCAGACTCGTGACGTAACCTTCCCGTTGGCCAGCAACGATCAAGTCTTGCTCGAAGAAACCCCCTTTGCTTCCGGCATGCTCGGGGGAGTTAAAGACATTCATATTCTCCACCACAAAAATGTGAGGCAGGGCGAGCGCGTCCAGGGCGGCCAGAAGCTGAGGATTCTAGGTGTCGGGGACTCGATCACCGTAGGATTCTTAAGCGATCAGGACGGTGGCGATGGCAGTGGATATCGACAAGCGTTGCGCGACGACCTTTCCAGTAGGTATCTCCCATGTTATATCCTCACCCTTTATTAACATTTATTTTTCAGGAAATCAAGTTGCGTTCGCTGGAACAGAGTATATGGCTTCTTCGTTGAAGGACAACTACTTTGTAAGTCCCAGCTTTCGCCTGTTGATAGATCCAGAGTACTGATATAATCTAGGCTGCATGGTCAGGGAAAACAATCAAGTATATTTCAGATAATGTTGATGCCTCCCTCCGACAACAACCAAACCTCGTTCTCTTGAGTGCCGGTACAAATGATATGAATTCAATGTCATCTATCTCCACCGAAGGCAATGACCCTAAAAAGGCTGCAGAGCGCCTCGGTTCTTTGATTGACAAGATCCATCATGCCTGCCCTAAGGCGGTCATCTTGGTTTCTATGATCGCTAATGTCTGCGATAATTCCGAGTATCATGATCAGCACGAGAGGACGAAACGGTTCCAAAAGCATATTGCCGATGTCGTAAAGACCAGATACCACAGGAATCAAACTGTGCTCGCAGCGGACTTTTCTCCATTCGACACAGGCGACAGCCTTCGGGATTGCGTTCATCCAACAAATCGCGGGTATCAAGTAATGGGAGACTGGTGGTATGACTTTATCGCGCAGTTGCCAAATGGCTGGGTTTCAGAGGCACAGGGCAGCGATCCTCACGAGACATGATTATAACTAAGAATTAACATTAATGATTAAAACTAATGGTTCGTCGTGGGCTCAGGTGAGATCTTATCTGGCTAGCCTATTTGCGATATTTTGTGAGATTATACGGTGCAGTACCATCAGAAGAATTGCCTACATGAGCATTCAGCTGCTTAGCCACAGCTGCGCCACCCATAAGCCCGTGCTCGAACAATGTGGTTTGGAGTTGGAGTCAGCCTGAATCTCATCTTTCTTTGCCATTCTCCTTGCTTCTTGAGCGGCGCCACTCACGATGTGTTAGGCCCGAGCGAGTTCCAGTTTCATTCAGGCGATAGCTCGGGGCTTCCCTCCCCGACGTCGCACGATCACATTCATATAATGAAAAGGGGGCATTCAGGGAGCGAAGATGACGACGGGGCTAATTCGTCCCGCTTGGTAAAGCACTCCAAGCTATCCGAGTTGCAAAGCGGGGAAAGGGCAACGCACAGAAAGGATGAGTATGATGTGGCGTGGCTTTGCGCGCTGCACATTGAAATGGGAGCGGCCCGTGCCATGCTCGACGAGACTCATGATCCATTGCCATCAATGGAAAATGATACCAACAGCTACGTCCTTGGGAGGATTCAAACACACAACGTCGTCATCGCGTGCCTACCAAATGCCGAGTACGGAACCAACAATGCGGCTCACGTGGCAAGCAACCTGAAGCGCACGTTTCCCAGCATCAAATACTGGTTGATGGTTGGGATCGGAGGCGCAAACCCAAGTAGGCAGGATATTCGCTTGGGCGATGTCGTCGTTGGAACAAAAGTAATGCAATACGATTTGGGCAAATTCGCCAAAGGCGAGTTAAAGACCACAGCAATACCGAGATCACCTGACCATTCCCTGGGCACGGCCATTTCCAACTTGCGGTCCAAACATGAGCTTGAACCAAATCAAATTCCCTCCATCCTGCAGAATAAGCTAGGGAACCATCAACACTTCCTTCACCCAAACCTACCAGATCGCCTATTTCATAATTCATACGAACATGATGGAGAAGCATCTTCGTGCGAAGACTGCGACCCGTCAAAAATCATGCCTCGCCGAATTAGAGGGTCAGATATCCCGCAGATACATTATGGCGCTATTGCGTCAGGAAATCAGGTAATGAAGGATGCCTCAATCAGGGATAAAGTAGGTTCAGAACTGGATGTCATATGCTTCGAAATGGAGGCTGCCGGCATAATGTGCGTCCTCCCATGCCTGCCAATACGAGGAATCTGTGACTACGCAGATAGCCACAAGTGCAAGCAATGGCAAAGGTATGCCGCAGCGACCGCATCCGCCTATGCAAGGGAATTACTCGAGGTTCTGCCAAGCTCTAATGCCTACACTCTAGTGTCTTTCCACTCTAACATTGGTAAGCTCAACAGCCCACAGCTATTTCACATATGTTCGCTAACCACCAATCGGGATTCAAGACCATTCGAAGGACCTTCAACAACACCGTCGCAAGAAGTTCCTCGGTTCTCTCAATTTCGAACAGATCGAATCCCAGCGATTGACTATCAAAGAAGCCCATGAAAAAACCTGCCGCTGGTTCCTCAGCCACCCATCTTACAAAGCCTGGCTTGACGCTTCGCAACTGAAACAACATCATGGGTTGCTCTGGGTCTGTGGTAAGCCTGGTGCAGGGAAGTCAACATTGATGAAGTTTGTCCATTCCACATTGGTCACCAAACACTACGGCCATCAGGTCATTGCATCCTTCTTCTTCAACGCCAGAGGTGAATCCTTGGAAAAGTCGGTGTCCGGAATGTATCGTTCACTGCTACTGCAGTTTCTGGAAGGTTACCCAGACCTTCAGCAGGTCTTGGACGACCCTGGGCTCATGGCCAATGTATGGAGTCAGGACCCAAATCCCCAGGTACTGCTGAATCACCCTGAGCTCATGACTTTTTCATTCAGCCAAGGGTATTACCGCCTCTCTTTGGATGTTCTCCAAAACATCTTTCGAGCCGCGATAATGAAGCTCGGCAGCCGCCCTTTCACCTGCTTCATTGACGCTCTTGATGAATGCGATGAACAACAAGCAGTCGAGATGGTATACTTCTTCGAAGCGGTCACCAAACAATCTACTGATATCCGAGTGCCCCTTCGTATCTGCTTTTCCAGTCGCCATTACCCGTGTATTAACACAAGCTGGAGCATTCGGGTGATACTCGAGGCCCAACCAGGACATACCAACGATTTGAAGGACTACACTAAGAGCAGTCTGCGCATTACGAACCCTCGACTAGTTAAGCAGTTACAAAAGGACATCATAGACAAAGCTGCCGGGGTGTTTCTATGGGTTGTGCTTGTTGTTCAAATTCTCAATGTCGAGGATAGACGGGGTCGACCAACGCTTCGGAAAAGGCTCGAGGAGATTCCAAGCGGCTTAACCGAGCTCTTGAGGGACCTTGTGGTAAGAGACAAAGATAACATTGATGAGTTTGTTCTGTCTACTCTATGGATTCTCTTTGCAAACAGACCGCTTCGTCCCAACGAGTACTTCCATGCTTTGTGGTCTGGACTCCATTCGAAGGGCTCAGCAGATACAGAAATCCCGGACACGTCTCTTTATACAGATGAGACAGCTACCAGATATGTAACCAGTTCTTCCAAGGGATTGGCCGAGATAACCATATCTAACACACCAACCGTACAATTCATCCACGAGTCCGTCCGGGACTTTCTCCTCAAACATAATGGCCTCAATATTCTTTGGGCTGAACTTGGATCTGAAAGAGAAAGTCCAAGTCACGACAGGCTAAAAGAATGCTGCGAGGCTTATCTGAAGCATGCCACCTTCCAAGAATTCATCTCCGAGACAAAAGGCGAGTATATTGCACAGGGATTACAACGCTTCCCATTTCTAGCTTACGCTTCTCAAAATATTCTGAATCATGCCGAACACGCCGCAAAGGCCATTCCCCAAGATACTTTCTTAAACGGTATGAAGCTCACTCAGTTGATCAGAATTCTAGAATCCCTGAATGGGGACATATATCAACATCACCTTGTTAAAGGAAGAAGAAATATTCTCTTTATTCTGGCAGATAAAGATTACCCAAAACTGATTCGTGCCTGGATAAAAGACAAACCAACATCTAAGGTTTATGGAAAGCAGTTCAGAGATGCTCTGTTTGCTGCTTTCGATAGGAACAACAAGAGATCTATAGTCGCCCTGTTCGGTTTATCGACACGTATTTACAACGGAGTCGACATCACAGCTGGCTTTGCCACAAGACATGAGATGTACATTGGTCTGACGCCGTTGACATGGGCCGCCAAAGACGGAAGGGCCGAGTACATAGAGCTACTTCTCGAAAAAGGATTCGACATTGATGTTAAAGATGACTACGGCGACACGGCACTTTCAGAGGCCTCGCGTATGGGTCACGAAGGGATTGTACGGCTTCTCCTTGAAAAGAAGGCGGATGTAAATTCGACGTCCGAAGATGGCTCGACGCCCCTCATCTCTGCCTCGATGCGTGGTCAAGACTCTCTAGTCAAGCTTTTCATAGAGAACGGGGCTGATCTACATGCTACTAATGACAAAGGTTTTACAGCACTTATACAGGCTTTGAGGTTTGGTCATGAAGAGACTGCTAAGCTCTTAAGAGAGAATGGGGCAGTGGAAATAGCACAGTTAACCACAGCTCCACACTTGTAGGCGTTTAAGCTGAGCGATAGACTACTGCTAAGCCCTTAAAATAAAAACTGTGAAAATAGGTCTAGCCATAAATTCTCTCCAGTCTATGAGGTAGGTGTTAGGGTCTTGAAGTATTATAGCGAAGTATTATAGCGCTATAAGAAAGGCTATGGATATTAAAACTAAGATGAACCAATCAATCATAAGTTATCACCAAAGCCAGATTGCAAATAGCACTGTTGGATAGTACTTCTGATCAAGGCCATGCCATCTCTATCGCCTTCGAACACCCAATATCCCTTCATCGGCTTTTGTGTGATTGGGTCAAATCTCTGTTCTGGTGGTTCAGGATATCTGCTGTTCATGATAGGGTCAGCTGAAACCATCCTACCATTGACATGCCGCCAGATCTTGATGTTTTCCCATGCTCTCTCTTCCAGTTTCTTTCCAGTAACAAATAACTGCAAGTTTTCGTGTATCGAATCGGGAAGGGCAATCGCGCATTCACGCAACCTTGGAGAATTTGCAACGAATTGGTCAATCTGACGTAGAATCTCATAACCCGATACCCACCGATGGATCCAATATCGTTCCGTAGAGTAAAAAGAGATGTAAAGATGTTTCAAAGACGGAAAGTATCTTTGCAAGCCTGTCAACAATATTCCCAGGTGTCCTTCTCGAAGCTTACGAGGTGATGAATCGCTTTTGGGTGAGGAAAGTTCCAATGGCCATGAGATCTCCAGAGCGGGTATCATAGCGAGCGACGACGGTAGAAGAAGCTTGTGGATATTCGTTGTAAGAAATTCACTGGATATCCTGAAGTCATTCATGCCGTACAGGATTTCCGTGCTTTCGCAATATCTGTCCCTCCAAATTAGCGTCCGTATCTCCCTCAACAAGAAACAGGATACATACGCTTGCCGACAGCTTAGCAGCCATCCAATGATTCCAATCCGATAGTTTTGAGATTTTTCACCTGTTTCGCTGGTATAGGACTGCCAGCATCCATCGCAACGTTTGTCAACCCAGGGTCCCAGTGCAGACGGCCCAGCGTCGTTAGACCACATCCATTGGGCGTCTGAGGATGATCGACGACATTCGCAACCCCACCACTGCCATTGTTTTCGCCTTCTCAATCTGAGTTTTAACTTCTCGAAGGTAGATTCAGGGGTTTTGGACATAATTCCATAGCTGCGCAGACTTCCCTTATCCCTTTTCTGGGCAGATTTCGCATTGGGGTATTTAAAAGAGAGATCGAGATGAAGTTGGCGCCCTCCGAAAGCATAAATGAGTATTTTTCTTCGTATCTCATACGGGAGTAAATAGAAGCAACTTTCTCGTTGAGTTGCAGGTACGGATGAGTGTACAGACGTAACAACCCACGGTTCAAGGAAGGGCGGTTCGTCTTTCCGCGTACTCGGCCTGTCCTTCCTCTGTTTCTTATGTCTCACGCAGTCCAAATTCGTGACCGTCCACGGCCGCAGTTTAGTATCCATATCGCTCGCTGAAGAAAAGTTGTCAAGAGCTTTCTAAGTTAAGATTGGCACGCGAAGGTGGTTGCAAGCCCAACTTTATTTACTTAATGCATGTCATTCAATGCATGATGATGAGAAACGCATGACGATGATCAAGCTCTGTTTCAGCCCAACTGCGGGTCAGACCAATCTGACGGAGCGGTCGAATCAGAATGTGATAGGTTGTGGAAGAGACACATGTCTTGAGTTAGCATCATCACGGACCACCAAATTAACCCAGCAACAACGCTGCATGACCGATGGCTTGGGTAATTCATGCATGAAAATTTCAAACCTTTTTCATTCAGTCGCCAAACATTCTAGTAATATTCCAGTAAGAAGATTTGGAACATTTGCGTCGATTTCTAATTCCAAAAGTAATGAGATACATCCTAGATAAACGATCAATCATAGTAACTCTCGCAGAGGATGAAACCTGTGAAAAGACTCAACCGCGTTCCGAAGACCGAATTATTTCCGGCTGGCATACAAAAAAATGGAGAAAGCTGCCGGATACGGTTTGGCCTTGGAAGCACTCTCCGCTTCGATGGGCTATGATGAATAATGACAACGTCGTAATTTCCTTACAGCCACCGCGATGCCGTCGAATATCAACAGCTAAATATAAATCCATCTTGTCATTACTACTTAGCCACCTGTGCATTCGAATCTTTGCTAATTATGTGTCTTGATGTGAAAGATAAGTCATTTTAGATGCATCTTAAACTGGTCCGATCATGTTCCACAAATTCCGGTGGCCATGGGTGCTAGCACGCCCAACATATGCACAGAATTATAAATACTGCTCGCCTTATCATCCACAGTCTCCTAGTGTGAGAGCTATCTTCGTATATTGAAAATATCTCTGCTATTAATACATGTTCTGGTTTTTATTTTCTAATATTAAGTATTTTCTTTCATTTTTTCGAACAAAAAATCATCTCAGTTGGCTGGTCTAGGGTAGGACTTTAATTTCAGCTACGAAAGTTGGTGTAGCCCTGGCGAATCCACCAAGACGCGTCAAATCAAACGCGTGCGCGAAGGATCAACGCGACAAAACTTTCTCCTATTAGAACATTCAATTCATTTGGGTGGTCAAGGGGCCTCTGGAATGATGTAAGGCGCGACGTATAGCGTCCTCACTCCTCATGGGTCATATTAGCAACCTGGGGCGTAGGATCATCCGCTACTGCGATAATTTGCTTTTTGGCTGGCAAAAGGTGAACGACTCTATAGAATTGAAATCAAACTATGTAACTACCTCAGGTGCTAAGTATAATATCATGCAGCCGATCATTTAGATAATACCGACTCCTAGTCGAAGCATTTACAAGTGGTGTCGCAGCTACGACACCCGTCTTAAGAACTGAAGGAGGCCGGGCTGGAAATTCAAACTTGAACTTCTTAAGCTAAATTGGTTATACTTATTACCGAAGGCAGCGTACGGCATATCTGTAGTTATCTCTGCCCTGGACGAATTCTTACTTCTACTTGCGTGCTAGTGAAGTCTACTATCTTTAAAGCTAATTGGGAAGGGCTTGAGACCAGGCAGATATCCTAGACAGATACCATTCTCTTCCAGCTTTCGCATATTTAAGTTGTTCTCGTCATCACTGAACCTGAAATTCGAGGAAAATGGCCAGATTGAGCTATTTTTGTTTTGTAGCATCGATAAGCCACTTTATCTCTCAAGGCTCCAATCACTGCGCTGTAAGCGTATCTCTTGTAACGCAGGCCGCTCCAAACTCACAATAAGCAAATGATTCTGTGAACATCTCGTAAGCGAATGAATAGGCGGTCAGACCACTTACCCATCTTACAACTCGGTCTTTTTCAGCTATTGCTTACATAGAACGTCGGCTTTCGCACCATTGCTTACAGCCCAGGAGGGTAATTTGACAGGGCGAGGGCCGAAAAGCTCTTCATCAAGCGTAGGGCGAGATCAAGGCCGACTTGGCTGCAACACAGCGTATCAAATCAGCTCGTTCCCTTGACTTAACCCTAATATTTGCTGTACCTTAATCTACGAGTACTAAGCCCACTCTCTAATTGCTTCTTCTGTGGCAATTCTATGGCTTAAGAGCCTAGACAGTTGGCCCCGCGCCAATTCTCTAAAGCAGCTTCTTGAAACTGTCTAGCGCGAGCTCCTCGGCCCAGGAGTCTGAAGCTCTTTGTTTATGCCATATCGCTCCACACGTGTGATCGATTCATTGTCGATGCCGTATTTGGACTCTGCCCGGCCCTACAATCGGCGAAACTAACTCCGCATATATGCGGCTCACAGCCAAGGTGGTATCATTTTCAGCTTGATAATTCCTTCGTGAGAAATAGCCCCAAGCAGACCTAGCGCATCTTCAGAAAATCAGAGGACAGAAATCTTTCTTTATTCATAGTGGAACTTTAAAATTGAAATGGACTTTGCCTCTGCTGCCTCCATATAAGGGTACTCGTCTTATGGAAAACGTTGGTCAGGCTGTAGGTGATCCTCATCGCCACAAACGATCAATGCTTCGGCACTATACATAGGGATAAATAGCTTATTGGTGGTGGGATTAACTTGTTGCGTATGGATTTGGAGCAAAGATACAAACAAAAAAGTAAAATATAATTTTTTTTTTTAAAAAAAAATCATCGCAGCAGTTTAACCACAACGCATCACTCAAGCTTACAGCAGGGAGACTCTGAGTTCATATCACCTTCTTGAAATGAAGATAGCGCAAGCTCGGAATGTTGACATAAGACTGCGAAGTCCTGGAAGTAAGGCGATATCCGGGGTTTCTGGGCCTTTCAATAATCAAATTAGCAAATTTATTGCCAAATGTGAGACACCTGATCTCGCCTCTGCGTGATATTCAACGTCATGAAGCGATGAGAGAGGCTAATCATCTTTAGTCGTTGCTGACTAGGTACCATCGCGCGGTAAGCTGCATGTGAGTTGCCTCAATCGACCTTCCAGTGTTGTACCCCGAAGTTGTTTTGCCGAACGGTCCGAATCCACCCAGCATGGGGTATGTTGCATTCGAGCTAGATACATAGTCCATATATATGATACTTAAAATCAGATGACTTCTCCGAATTCTGCCATTTCAGCCATCCATTGCTTTGCGTTTTCAATACTGCAATAATTGGCGACATCGAATCCTCCTCAGTCTAGACAGTCGCCTTTTCTTTTCGTCATGAAGTTCAACTTGTTGCCGCTCTTGGCTCTCATCTCAACATCCCATGGATGGCTGCCCTCTGAGGAGAATCGCGAGCCATTACTTGGACGAGATGGGACCTCGCTCTTCAACAATTCCCTCTCTTCCGACGGAAAGCGATGGCTGCCGGGATCAACTCCTATTCGAGGAGTCAATCTTGGTTCTCTCTTTGTATCGGAGCCCTGGATGATGACCCCCACCTGGAATGGCATGAATTGCCCTCAGAGCGAGCCTCGCTCCGAATTTGACTGCATGCTCAAGCTTGGCCAGACAGGCGGCGACTCCGCATTCCAAAAGCATTATCAGGACTGGATTCCGGAGAGTGACTTCGACAAAATGGTATCCTACGGTCTTAACACTGTCCGTATCCCGGTCGGGTACTGGATGTACGAAGACATTGTCTATAAAGACTCTGAGCACTTCCCCCGTGGTGGTCTTGCCCACTTGAAGAGAATCTGCGGGTATGCTAGTAACCGCGGATTCTACATTATTCTGGAGTGAGTAACCATACCTGGATAAAGAAAATAAAGAAAATAGAGGCTGATATTGGCAAAAAAAATAGCTTGCATGGAGCGCCTGGTGCGCAAGTCGCCAACAACGCCTTCACAGGCCAATACACGCCCAACCCCGGCTTCTACCAAGACTACCAGTTCGACCGCGCATACAAGTTCCTCGCCTGGCTGCGATAGGTGGTACATGAAAACACCGAGTTCCGCAACGTAGGAATGTTTGAGGTCGTAAACGAGCCTCTGCGAGAATTCGAGGACTCTGGCAAGACTACTTACATGCGCAACACATTCTATCCGACTGCGTACAAGGTAAGTAGAGCCTTCTCATTTATAATTACTTTCTGTTCTGAGCTGACCCAATGCTATCAAATCTAGACGATTCGCGACAAGGAGGCATCCCTTGGCATCTCGTCCAATAACTACGTTCACATTCAGTTTATGAATAAGCTCTGGAACTCCGGGGACCCGCAGCAGTACCTCACAAACAAGAACTTTGCCGCCTACGATGACCATCGCTACCTTAAGTGGTCGGGTATCTCCCAGGACAAGGACACCTACCTGCGGACCTCGTGCAATGACGATCGCAGTGGTGACGCGGCGCACGGATGGGACTGGCCAGTCTTGGTCGGCGAATGGAGTCTCAGCGCGCCCCTGGATTACACTCAGGAATGGAACGACTACTGGCGGCCTGATAACAACAAGGACTTCTACTCCCGCTGGTTCAAGGCACAGGTCTTGGCGTATGAGAAGCACGTCGCTGGTTGGATCTTTTGGTCCTGGAAGACTGAGCTGGGCTCTGACTATCGATGGTCTTACACTGGTAAGTTGGCCTCCCTTGCGCATTTTGAATGAGAGTAGTGTGCTAATGGAATGTTCTCTCGCAGCTGCTGTTGATGCTGGAGTGATTCCCAGGGATCTAAACAGTATTGCAAACTCAGGTGCTTGTAATGGGGTTTAGTGCAGCTCGATCAAACTGGCCAAGCCCCCACTGCTCTGCTTGGATAGTATCTTTCCTGCAAAAGATCCAAGCGATGTTACCGTTGACTCTGACGGATTCCAAATAGGCTTAGGTTCATGACTTATAGTAGCAGTCAATGAAGAAACATTCACAACTATACCAATTAGTATCGCTTACTCTACATTCAACATTTAAGCTTGAAGTTTTCTCGTGCATGTATAAGTTTTATAAATGTCGCCTTTGAAGTAATCTGGTGTAAAAATCGCGAGAGCCCCAAAAAAGTAGACTCAAAGGTGCTCGTTTTCTGTTCCGTTTTTCCGAGCCTGTTTGTTGTGAGCAACCATTTCTCGGTGTTCCACGTCTTGCATTCGGAATTGCATGAACTGTATTGTTCTTCCTTCATCCCTAATCAATTTTAGCCGGCATCCCATGTTCACATGCCTGGATTAATTCTTTAGTGGAAATAAACTATTAGTTTTCATTTTCGTTGTCTGAACTTATCAAAAGCCTCGACTTATTGGAAAAACCGTTTGATATGGAATTCTTACTCACGACGGAAACACCCCTAGCGTGTCAAATAGATCGGCTCTCGTAAGACTTTATCTCAAATATCCCATCCTTGTAGTCTCTGTGCGATGGACTTTTTAGTAAGACACATCTAATTAGAGTCATAACGATAGGCGGTAGTCGTCGTGAATGACAGGTTTGACAGCTTTAATCCAGCCACTGTCCACTATTTGCGCTGGGGTACGCCAATAGTCACCAATAGTCAATTCATTTGCTTTCGTCATGCCTGATGACGAAAGCAGTATCTATTTCCGCATTATTCCAACGATGACAGTTCATGAAACACTGGGCTGGGTTGCTGCTGGTTCGTCTTGCTGTGTTGTGCATTTGGAGCAACGCGTCACCTCCCCACATGATGATCGTGAAGGCGGCCAATAGTTCACGGAGAGAGTGGCATACTTGATTACTACTCGATGGTGTTATCTACAAGCGCCATGAATTGGAATGTAGATTGAGCCGCGCTTGCGATGGACCACTTCAAAATATGGCCGCATTGTGCCTCTCATAATCAATAGTTGCCCTATGTACACCATCCCATCGCTCCAGAGAACGGTGGGATCGATTTTGGCTGTAAAATTAGGTGTAGATGGTCTCATGGCGAGCTTGCTGTTGAATCCTATTTCGGCAAAGTAGCAGTATTAGTGCGAAGCCCAGCGAAACCACGATTCAAGGTTAATGCCCGAATCTGCAGACCAACTTAACCATCAATAAGGTTGTATTGGCTCAGCCCGTTCATAATTTTGTTTCTAGTAGCGTGAAACCTTGTCTAGTAGAGCGTTTATATCGCTCACACCATATCGATGGCGGGGTTGCTGCGAATGATATGTGTGCTCTGATTTCATGCATGATGACAGATGCCCTTAATTTCCAGCCAGTATGGCTGTCATGTTGTAAATACCACTCACTTGTCGGTGGCATCCACCGGTCTAATATTAACAGAGCGGCGTAATTGTACATAGAGTTCCCTAAAGGGGCAGCCGTGAAGCACTCAGCCAAGCTCGTGAACCAGATGAGGGCTGGGTTGGCCAAGACGGATCGACGTGGTACCCCATGCTCTCCTGACGATCTCCGAACAGAAAACGGGGAGTCTGCAGAAGTGTGATGGAACGGACGGGTATTGGATACGAGGCTGTAGGCCGTTTGCTCGGTCTGGCCATGGCTCCTGCATCGTGTGTACAAACGTCTCAGCTTGGAGGGCTTTGCTCGTGAGGCCTCCTCGGGTCCTCACCGAGCAACGCCGAGGCGGGGAAGGTGAAAAGGCGAAATCACAAACAGCAAGCCACCATTTTTTGGTCCTCCACCCATTTCTGATGGATAGATTATTAATACAGTGACTAGAATGGAGGAGTTCTCAGCCGTAGCTCGTTCTAGCGGTGCTCTTTTGTGGTTCTCTCGTCAAATACTGGGCTAGAGAGGCCGAACAAACGTCCGCCCTCTCCGCTCTGCCTGTGGTGAGCTGATCATCAAGGAAAGGTAAGGAAAAAACCCTTCGGACGGTGCCTGAGAGGACCCATAAGCCTAACGAACACACGAGATGTCTGTTCCTGCAGCCACTCGCCACACCTGCGCTATTGGTTTTAGGCACAGCCTAAGCTGAGTAGTGCAACTGGCTGAAGCGGTCGTGGTGTGTGACCATCATTTCAGCTTCACGCGACAGCGCCAACGGTCGTGTTAATTACATAGTACCTAATGTCGATGAGTGCTTTTGGAGACGGTGAAGGACGGCCTACTGCTTTTCTTTTTCGCTCGCAGCTGGAAGGGACGGATGCAGGGTCGAGCATGCAGAAGTGCGCCCACCGGTGCTCGTATTGCCCACGCAGCTGAACAGAGTCAGTGAGCTGGCGGAATACGAGCGTGTTTGCATTCGATATTACAGGGGAGGGGTCCCTCTGACTGAATAAGAACTCGGCAGTGCTTGAGCTGGCATTGGGCCTGCAGGGGCGCTGCATGGCCAGAACACGCCGTCGCAGACTAAGAGCAATAGTCGCCTGTCCACCAAACGCCGACCCCTTATCTTATGTTTATTTCTATTTCTCAGACGCCCCCTGCCAAGATACGTACGCGCATACGTAGCACAGACTGAAAAATGGGTTTATGGTTATTATTGGGCGTTCGGCCCCAGAGAGCGTTGGACGCCACCGCGTAGGGGGCTGATGAGTGGCATTTCTGGGCACGGCAGCCAAGAGACAACGAGGGTTCTTGGCCTTCTGGAAACGAGTGTCCAAGACACGGCTGCCGATCTCCCTCGACGAGGGTTTCGTTGGATTTAAACATTTCGATTCCTCGATGGGAAGGGCAGGGAATAGCAGGGCTAAACCAGAGGTAAAATCCCTCCCGGGCACCGCGGGAGTGCTCAGCGGAAATATCTTTATTTTGCCCCCACACTCCATCCCCTCGCTCGACGTCCCGGTTGGTCGACGACACACAACCTGTGACAACTAAGTGTGCCGGATTGCCGAGTGGATATTGGAGACGAGACTAACAGGAAACCCGTATACGGGCATCACCAACGAGCCAGCCGACCCAGCTTACCAGCCAGAGCTGGTGTGCCTGTTTAGTGGTGTGGGAAGGGAGGAGGAGATATGGCTCGTCATAAGATGTGTGTGTCTCCAGCGGGATCGTCGCCGTGGGTGTGCTTTCTACGTCCTTCTCTGTAGTTGCGATTGTCGTTGCCGTTGTGCTCAGGGTCATCAATCGTTCAGAACCCTTCCGTTTGTGTGTGACATTGGCCGCCTCGTTAGAGCCATTGCTGCACCTCACATTCGCTTTTCCAGCTATTATCCAGTCCAGTCGCTACAGTCACTCGCTCTAATCACCATTAATTCCGAAGCCACCCCCTTTCGCGATGCGTTATCTCACCATCGCCGTCGCCGCGCTCGGCATGCTGAGCGTTGGTGATGCCAAAAGGTCTTGTCGTCCTCGTCCCACCTCAGCATTGGCTACTCCCACCTCGACTTCTCCCGCCCAGTCGACCTCTGAGATCGCCAGTTCTAGTACTCCAGGGTCGTCCGGTACACCTGAGTCTAGCATCCCGGCCAGCACCCCCATCTCGGCTGAGAGCACTCCCGAATCTTCCATCTTGATTTCCTCAACCACTCCCATCGCTTCCGAGACTCCTGCCTCGTCAGATATTCTGGCCTCAAGCACTCCTGCTTCCACTGATACTCCTGTGTCGTCCGCTACTCCTGCTTCTTCCGGAACTGAGGTTTCTAGCACTCCTGCTTCCAGCGTTGCTTCTTCCACTGTCACTCCCGTCTCCTCCGAGACTCCTGCCTCGAGCTCTGTTGAGTCAACCACTCCCGTCTCCTCCGAGACCCCTGCCTCCAGTTCTGTTGCTTCCAGCACACCTGCTTCAAGCTCTGCCGAGTCAACAACTCCCGTCTCATCAGAGACTCCTGCCTCCACCTCCGCCGCTTCTAGCACACCTGCCTCCAGCTCTGTTGAATCAACCACTCCAGTCTCGTCAGAGACTCCCGCTTCCAGCTCTGCTGCTTCTACCACCCCCATCTCCAGCTCTGCCGAGTCAACCACTCCCGTATCTAGCACTACTCCCGTATCCAGCACTGTTGAGTCGACCACTCCCGTCTCTAGCTCTGCTGCTTCAAGCACCCCGAGCTCATCTGCTGTCACTCCCGTCTCGACTCCCGTGTCTTCGTCCTCGCTTGAGTCCTCGACCACCCCTATTTCCTCGGCCACTCCTCTGTCATCTAGCAGCGCACCTGCCTCGACGACTACTCCCTCGAGCACTCCTGTCAGCTCCAGCCTGCCAGTTCAGACCGTGGACAGCACCGTTCTGATCATTGCCCGCCAAGAGACCGAGGCCAAGCAGGCCAGCGATGGTCTTCTCGCATATGGTATCTCTTGGGTCAACTGGATCGTTCCCTCCACCGGTGCCACGCTCCCCGTGCTCAACTCCACAGCTACCCATGCCAACTATGGCGCCATCATTGTCATGGACGCCGTCTCCTACGACTATGGCACTGCCGGCTGGAGCAGTGCTGTGACCACTGAGCAGTGGGCCCAGATCAAGAGCTATCAGGCCGACTTCAACATCCGTCTAGTCCGCATCAACGAGTATCCTGGTGCTACAACTGGTACTACCGCCAAGACTGGCACTGTTACCACCGTTTCTCTTACTGACCTGAGCTTCTTCCCTACTGCTAACCTTAAGGCGTAAGAGTCCCTCATTGTCGATTGATTGAAGCCGTGTATGTTTTTTGCTAACCGTGATATTTGGTTTCTAGTAACGCTGCCGTTTCTCTCACTGGCCTGTATGCCGTGCCTGCTAGCATTACCGACGCCACCCTCACCAAGGAAGTGGCCCAGTTCTCTGATGGCTCTACCGCCGCCGTCATCAACACCGCCGACGGCGTCGAGGTTTGGGCCTGGTACATGGCCTGGGATCCCTCTTGGTCCCTGACTTGCGCGTATCTGCAGCACGCTCACATTCACTGGATGACTCGCGGTATCTTCCAGGGCAAGCGCAAGATTCACCTGAGCACCCAAATTGACGACATTCAGCTTTCCACCGAGATGTACTACCCTACTACCTACGGAGACCTGAAGATTAGCATTGCCGACCTCGAGGCCCACATCGACTGGCAGAACAACATCAACGCTCGCATGCCCTCTGGCTCTGACTACTGGCTCGAGTTGGGACACAACGGAAACGGCGACTTCATCGATGCTACTGGAACTGACGCCTCCGCCTCGGTGTGTGATCCCAACGAGGCTGTTGACTACGACCAGGACGTTGAGGCTCCTCATGAGTGGGTGAAGCCCATCGGCAGCGGCGAGGACCTGTGGCCCAGCTCGTGGACTGAGTACCCTTGGACCTTGACCTGCGCTAAACGCGATACTTTTGCTTCCTGGTTCCTGGACACCGACAATCTCAACCAGTTCGGTCACATCTCCCACACTTTCTCTCACATGAACTTGAATAACGCTACCTTTGCCGACGCCAAGCGTGAGATTCAGTTCAACCAGGCCTGGCTCAAGCAGCTCGGCATCGACAAGGCTACCCGATATAGCGACAACGGCATTATCCCTCCCGCTATCACCGGTCTCTACAACGGTGATGCTCTCCAAGCCTGGGTCGAGAACGGCATCGTCCAGGTCGTCGGTGACAACACCCGCCCCGGGACCCGCAACACTGGCCACCCCTACTGGCCATACATCACATCCAAGGCCATCAACGGATACGACGGTGTGACCGTTATCCCCCGGTACTCCAGCCGCATCTACTACAACTGCCACACCGCCGAGTGCACCACCTACGAGTGGACAGTCACCTCCAGCGTGACGGGCACCTTCGACGACCTCCTCGCTCTGGAGAAGGAGTCCAACGTCCGCAACCTGTTCGCCCTCCAGGCTGACCCCTACATGTTCCACCAGGCCAATATGTACCAGGAGGGCGTTGCCTCGTACACCATCGGCGATCAGACCCGCAAGATGTCCCTCGTCATGATCTGGACCGAGGTCGTCACCCAGGAGTTCCTCCGCCTCACCAACTGGCCCCTCAAGACCATTACCCAGAAGGACCTCGCCGTCTACTTCACCGATCGCATGGCCCTCGACGGCTGCAACCCCAAGATGTCCTACATCCGCTCCACCGATGGCAACTCCATCGAATCCGTCGTCGTCACCGCCGACGGTAACACCTGCTCCGTCCCCGTCCCCGTCACTATCCCCTCCGGAGCCGTCACCGCCTCCGGTGGCTCTGCCACGGCGGATATTGTCGGTGCCGAGCCCCCCATCCAGTGGGTTACGCTGAGCGGTTCCCCAGTTACCCTGAAGCTCAGCACTCCCGTGTCCCTTATTTAAAGGTGTAATGTCTTGTCTCTTTCATGTATCAGAGGTTTAATTCGAAGGCGTGTTAGGGTTTGAAGCTGGTCAGTTCTGGTAGAGGACGACACGTCACAGTCCATTGGTCCGCGTTGGGAGCATCCCGGCATGGTTTAATGCTACGTATTTTTTTCATAGCCTACGATCTCGATAAATAATTTCAATAATTACCGGTCAATGGAAGGTCTAGAGTGCCGAAATGCATGTGATGTAGCCATGTGATTCTTCATGATCATGACATCAGTTGATTTATAAGGGGCATGGTTCTTCACATGTTGATCAAACGTGATGATTAGCACGGCTTACGATTCGATCTTGGTTCAAGAATTGAGATGATAGTACGAGTGTTGTCATTGCAGTTGGCTATTATGGGAGTGTAGACAATGGATCTTTGTCATTTGAGAGGCCCTAGAAAATAGTTATACTATGAAAAATAATCACACAAAAATTGTTCATCTGCCTACTTGCTCCAAGAACTTATCGAAAGTAAAGCAAAGCCCCCGATTGGGATGCCTGGGTCTTGGTGTACGAGACCCTATCGACCACCTGCTTCGCCGCGTTCTTCAAGATAATTGATCCTCCTTTGTTTGACAGTGGGACCCCCTCCACGTTGAAACCCTCCTTATCACCCTGAACCTTGAGAACAGACGAGTCTGGAATGGCAAAGGAGTTCCCCATCTGATTCTCAATTGTCCATCCCTTCAGGGCGACCGAAGACAGCCCATTGTTGACTACGTGAACAATTTCTGGATTCTCACCGCCGTCCGGACCATCTGGGTTGACAAGCGCGGCTGCGATAGCAACGACCGCATTGGATGGTCTGCTGGGTGTCTCACCATCGTCAATTGGCTTCTTACCATCGTCACTAGGTTTGCCATGGCCTCCGCCGGGCTGACTGTTGTTTCCCAAGACCTCACCCAAAGTGGGCCCCTCTGGCTGGCCTCTGTCATCTGTTTCCGCGGTTTGGGAAGCAAACGCGATGAAGAAAGCCTCCCAATGGCCGTCGGCGAACTCCATAATGACACTGCCGTCTTGGTATATGCCGTTGGAGCTCCGGAACCTTCCGCCACTGCCCTGGTTCATGTGCACATCATGCAGACCGTCCTTGCCAGGAAACTGCTCGCCGTAGATGTACACAGTGGCCTTTTTCTGGATCGCATTGTCAAAGAAAGGCTTGATGAAGTCAATAATGTCGTTCTTATCACCAGGCAGATCATGGGGCACGACGCTGCCGTCCAAGACGTTGACGACATTGGAGCGCAGGATATCCAGCGCAATGTCATGTTGGTCCCTTGAGATCCTCTGGAAACCAGGCGAGAGAGACTTGAGCTTCGCTGTGAGGGGGTGTTTGAAGTCCTGGATGAGCCAGTACACAAGCCGCGAGTCTGGCGAGAGTGATTTGATGTTGATGGCGGACGAGAGCTTCTTAGTGCTCACACCGTCCTGGAATGTCAAGTGTCCGTGGGGACTGACAGCATCCTCGCTTGCAGTCTGGACAGTGAACTTGGTGGGTGTTGCCTTCCACACTCCGTAAGCTTTGAGACCCATAATGGCGATGTGCGTGATCTTTGGTTATGAACCGAGAACAAATCAATTTAAGATATCCTGTTAAGTGGATGAAGAGTTTGAGCAGTCTGGGTAGGGCTATCGCAGTCGGGGGGCTCAATTTATACTTTCTCAACCACGAATACAGCACACGTAAATCATTCCGTCTCACTGTTACGGGATTCACCCTCATGAGCTACATGTTTACAAAAGGGATGACCATTGAATGCAATTGCGCCGCTATTGCACGTGCCGTGTGAGCCACAACGCCGAGCTGAGTGTGATATCACAAAGTCTTAGCCAAATGCGACAGAAGAACCTCCAGCCACTGAGCGCAGCTGATTGCAGCAACGGGCTATTGAGCGGTCGAGACTCCAACTTGCGGTCTCGACGATTGGAATCGTCGTGTCATTGGCTAGAGGGACGGCTGACAACGCTGACGGCCATGCCCAATACGTTGGGAGATGGCTGCGTCGTCAGCCACCATACTCAGCTCGATGCGCCCAAGTTCCAGCAGGTGAGGCCAGGAATGTTGTGCGGGCTGACTTGGTTGAGTCTCGACAGGGCGATGTGTATTAGCCCGCTGACAGTGGCTTTACCAAACGAAAGTTTATGTTGCGATATTGCGTTCACGGCCAGGATTGCATGCTGGCGTGAAAGTTTTACAGTTGTACGTGAACGCGTCGCTTATTTGCTAAAAGGAAATTAGTATGTATTGGATGAACTCAAAAGTTGTAATTTGTCATTTTCGAGTGTTTAGTCACATTGGGGGAAGAGGATAAAAAAGGAAAAGAAAAAAAAAAAAATCAGAAAACAAGAGGTCCCGGAGGGAGTCGAACCCTCGCTGACAGGATCAGAACCTGTAGTCATGACCGTTAGACCACGGAACCGTGGGACGCTAAGCGCCTCGTGGATGGAAGACCAGGTTGTGGCAGGGGAAAACAAAATTTAGTATATATACCCTTAAATTTAGGGCTAGCCATATTTTCCAATGGCCATCGACTACAAGTGCCATCAAGGATCTCTGATCGAACGGCGGCGGCATTCAGACCGTTACATATGAATAATGGATCCGTATCTTGGCACGAACTAGTATTAATATGTCATTACAGTTATCAGTTTTGTCACCGTGAGGAATCTACTAAATCCCCAGACAAGCACAACTTCACCCAGGCCGGCTCCTCTCCCACCCTGGTTGAGCCAATGTCAAGTTGGTACGTGTGAGCTGATGCTCTCCTCATCGCCGCAGTCAGTATTAATCCTTGGACTCCAGAAGTCGATGCTACGGCTGCCCGGTCGGAGAATTGCAAAAAATATGCCTTTGCTTGGCTGTGAAGGTCGTCATATCGCTGATGAGTTGTCGTAAGGGGGCTGGTGGATTCCTCATCAAACGTACACCAATGCTGCCCATCGCTCACCCCGCAGGATATTTGGAAGTATGTCTTTCCTTGGCCCAAAGAAAAACTGCACCCTAGCACCAGAATAAAGTCCTCATTTTTAGGAAACACGTGAAATCCCGCCGCTGGTATTGGGTGACTAATATCAATGCTGATGTGGTTTGTCTTGGGCTCGACATTGAAAGATGTGAACTGAGGATTTCGAGCAAATTCAAGGTCTTGTTTCAATTGGACTGAGCCGCTGGGACGTAGTTCGAATTGCCTCATTGTGAATTCTTTCTCGAGTGACTCGTCAACACTGATCAGGCAGTGGGGAACGGCCCTAGAATCAAGCCGACAATGGGCCCCGGAGGAGTCCAGAACCAAGCATAGGAGGCGATTCTCGATCTTACAGCAAGTCCAAGCGAGCCAGAGAGATCCGGAACACTCTTCGTACCGTATCAACGAGGTATCACCTGCGTCAACGTTCTCTATTTCCATGAGCGGGAGGCTTATTTGTATCCCACGGCTGGCAAGAATTGGAGGCTCGTAAGCCCCAAAATTTTGCTCAATCTCGTGAGTCGGAACTTGGTAGACCTTTGAGTAGTCTAACATGCAGTGCGCCTCAAAATTGTGCTCAGGCAATTTCCGGGATAGCCTAAACAAATCATGTCAGCGACGAGTGAGACTCTACTAGGAATAAGCGTGCAACCTTTCTATGATGGCAGTTTGTGGCGATTCCAGTGCAGGATATATTCTCTTGCTGGAAACATTATCGGGTTTGCTGGATCTAACAAAATCTGCCGGAGATGAGCACCAAGCTCCTCGAAGTGGAGAATGACGATATGTCGTGGAATCTTGTGATTGGAACCACATGAATATCGTGTAATCGTCTTCTTGCTTCAAGATTTGTTCTTGCAGTCTGAGAAAGGCCTTGCTACCTTCTCCATATAGCAGCGGCATATTCACACCAAAGAACCCCATCAGACAATATGCCATGTCTTCATCTCTTGTTGTCACTCGCTTGGACGCCCAGGACATTCGTTCAGCAACATTATGTACTAGTGGGCTTTCCCCGCGGAGGACTTGCCGCGGGATGCCTGTCCGTTCAGATATCTGTCTCTCTAGGCTCCTCTTCGTTCCCATCTCCACCCAGTCGAACGTGTAAAATTCGATGTAACTCGGCGCGATCAACTCCTGCAGAGTCCACCCTCTGGTAAACCACCGACTTCGACGGACATCGGACGTTCTTACCGGCCACCGGGAAAGACTTGCGTGGTCAGGCTTGTCGTACACATCCCAGAGATAGACGAAACATATTGTAGACCCCTCGTACCACCTGTACATGGAGTTAATGGCCTCAGAGAGTTCTGAGGAACTCGTCTTATCGATACACAGGGTGTCTATCCATATCCATTTCAAGCCTCTCTCCTTCGCTAGACGGCAACAGCCCAGAACTTTACTGTATGCCGCCTTTTTGTGGGCGGTTCCATTGATCATGTCGTGGAAGAGGACCTCATCCTTCTCCCAAGTGTGGCTAAGGATAGCATAATGCGGGATAATATGACCGAACTCTTGTATTTCTAGGGTTGATGTGTTGAGAAGTCTCATCCTCGTCGCGAATGGGAATGCGGGGTTTACGTGAAAGATGGAAACCTTCGGAGTGGGGTGAGGCTAATCCAATATTTTCTTGAACCACCGTTTGTAGCCGTATCTAGGGATATAGTCTGCTTACTATCACAATAGCTAATATGAAGAAAATTTGGTTCTGGCTTTTGATTCTGGATGCTCGAGTATATGGATCACAGCTTATGTTGGTTTGTTTGATTAATCTGGTCTAAAACAGAACAATATACCTTGTTGATTACTACATATTGTTTGGTTCGCCGGTGTGTAGTAACGGTTTAAACCCGTTGTTGCTTACTATTAATATTGCTACCATTAAGCGATATTGCTCTGTGTTGGAAACGGCAATCATGTATTGGTTTGGTCGGTTGTGAATAATGTTATTTGTTTGCGATGTAGGAAGAACTTTGATGGTCCCGACAGTGGAAGAAACTAGGGCATAAGAATTAGACATGGTATCTTAGAGAGAGATCCTGGATAGTTGGCCAATAAAAGGCAATGCTAAGAATGACGTTAAGGGATATTTTATAGGATCTGTTCTTGTACAACTAAGTTTCCTTCTTTCGCAAAATGCTGTAAATGGGTTACTGGTGCGCGGTGGCATCGGCCTCGCCACGTTTTTGTTAGCGGTGTGCCTGTGCCATGGAGATAAGGCTCGGAGCAAATGAACACTGCCGGGTGAATTATTCAATATTCTGAAAGTCGGGAAACAGAAAAGTGCGGCTTAAACAGAATAGCCCGTGGGCGCACTGATGAATCAAGATTCGAGGTGACGAATACGATTGGTGTCGGATGACTCTCTTCTCTCTTCGGACGTTTGAAATCGCCCATTTGGCATCTAAGATCAAGATTAGTGTCCACGAAGATCCCATTCGGAACAATGTTGTGGTTAGTACGTGTTTAGCAACTGCGGGTTTAGGCCTTCGAGGTATCAACTACAACTATCCTGGCTCAACTTCGAGTACCTTTCTTCGAGACGGTTTGACACAACAAGCCTGATAGATGGACTATGATATCTGCAGTATTTTTTTTTTTTTTTTTTTTTTTTTTTTGGATATATTATTGCGGTATGCATTTTACCATTTTGGCTACTATCAATTTCGCTTAAAGTGTTGGTTCAATATTTATTCAAGTGATGTTCGGGGCGGGTGAGAATAATACAGCCGGCGCGGATTTTCTTCATTTTTTACAAGGCACCGCGGAGTACGAGGAGTTCTAGCGTTTACACAAAAGGGACCATGATATGGACGGTAATATCTGGGCCAATATAGCTAAAAGACCTATGGAACGCCTCAACCAAGTAGGGTAGCTATTCAATGGGGGTTTCATCTCCGAAAGCGTTCGCCAAGAACGAAAGCGGTCCCTGGTTGGCGTCGGCTCCCCTGCAAACAGATTATCTTATCAATCAGCAGCTTATCATGCTTGATCATGGGACCTCATTTCTTCAATGTACACCGCTCACTTCTCCCACCTTGCGCAATACATCCCAAAATGCAGATCAAATGCATCCAGGCCTCAACGGTCCGACCAGCTGAATCATGGTTGATTACAAGCGCACAGGGCTTAGAATACCTTGTTCAAATTGGCTTCCCCCGAGATTGGCTGAACCCTCAAAGCAAGCCCAAGGAACCTAGCGTTCCAGTCATGTAAGATCTGACTCCTGAGCCCCACGCAACACATTCCGGGTTTGCGCGGTTTTCTCACCATTCACCAGGTACCTCACTGATGGGAACTCTGTTTTTTCATCCTCCCTGGAGAGACTTCATCAACATCTAGTCCTATCCGAGTTCGGCACATCTGCTGGAGTCATTGTGGCCATAGGCTACCTGCTCCAACCCGACTCAAATTTCTTGTGGAGCGCTCGAAGAGATTGGGACTTAACGCCCCCATCTCCAGGGTGTCTCCCGAGTGAGGGTGGTGCGGATGATTTTGCAAAATTCATCCAAAGCCGAGTGAAACCACTGGTGCACCAGCGGATCAAGGACATTCGTGGAGTTGACCCAGGAGCACAGTGTTTATACGGGCATTCTCACGGGGGGCTGTTCACCCTGCACACGATGTTTACAAGACCTTGGATGTTCGACAGTTACATTGCTGCCAGCCCCAGTATTTCTTGGAACAATGAGTTTATTCTGGAGGAGGAAGCATCCTTTCGCTCCGGAAGGGTCGAACGCGCCTCAGCGCCATCACTGATGTTATACGTCGGTGGAGCAGAGCAGAACCCGCGACGAAAACGAGACGAGACGGATGACGAGTATGAGAAGCGACGGGAGCAATACCAGAGGCGCAAAGATGTAGACTTTGTGTTGGAAATGAACACACGGCTCCGGGACTCTGGCAAGATGAAGTATCTGACGTCCAAAGTGTATGACGGAGAAGACCATGGAAGCGTCATTGCGTGTTCAATCAGTCAGGGTTTGGCAACCTTTTTTGATGGCTGGCCTTACGTCGATTGATTTTGTTAGACCTACTTGAGTGGAATCTACGAGTCCGTAACATGGTATAATATCTCAGCGAACCAGTTTGCCTTCACTGTCAGCGTTGACTTAAATAGCCACAAGTATGTTTTGTGTCTGGCTTTGATGTGGGGCGAACAAAGAATGAGGTGTAATACTTCTGGATGCTTCAAGTTCTATCTATTGCAATTGGGGTAGGGAGACGAGCTGAGCCCACTACGATGACCCTTGTTGACCGATTTCAAGATCGGTCTTCGTCTCTATGCGATACTTGCTCGGCCTCGGCGTCCGAAGCCGCGCCGACTTTACCGTTGCGATTCGGCTTCACGTTGCAACATCGCTCATTTGAAGCCTGGTATTTGCCAATCAGAAACCACCACTCTGAACTAGCCGAGGGCGTTGGTGGGGAGCATCTGGGGGATCCCCAGGTTTTGGCACCCAGAACTCCATCTTGCCCCATGTAGATCTGGGAATAACGCCGGGGGAAGACACAACGAGCAGCTACATTTGCGTTGGGTCCTTGAGAAGCCCGGCTAAATGAAAGCTATATAAGGCCCTGAACTGCCCATTGCGGGTTGTGGTCAAAGTCTAGCAGCCAGGCTCTATTGTTAATCTACATTATGACTCCATTAATAACCACCAGCCTTCTTCTACCTCTCTTGGCCGCCTCCTCGTCACTTGCCTTTGACACGACAGCTCGGTGTACCACGTCTACATTTTCTTCTCTCAGCGGTGTGGAAATCTCCACAGTTGAATCGCTTAAAGGCAGCAGCATCTTACGTCTACCGGACCTTGTTCCCTCGTGTGGCGGACCGGACAAAAACGTAACAGTGAGCGCAGACATCTGCCGCCTGGTAGCTAATGTCCGCACTTCCAACTCTAGCTCAATCCGTATAGAGGCGTGGCTCCCAGATAACTGGAATAGCCGGTTCCTTGCCACTGGTACAGGCGGCACTGGTGGTTGCGTTGACTATTCCCGCCTTCAGAGTGGTGCACAGCTCGGGTTTGCTGCCTTTGGCACCAACGCTGGACATGATGGCTCCTCCGGCCACGACTTCTTCCTTGACCACTCCGAGGTGATCAACGATTTCGGCCACAGAGCAATCCACGTCGAGGCCGAGGTTGGCAAGCAGATCACGGCGCTGTTTTACGGGCGGGAGGCTTCCAAAAGCTACTACGATGGCTGCAGCACAGGTGGTAGACAGGCCCTGCAAGAGGCTGCCATGTACGAAGACGACTTTGACGGCATTCTTGCAGGTGCACCGGGGGTTGACTGGCTCAAGATCGTCGCCTCAAAGGCAATCCTTGCGCGGCGGATCGGCTGGCCAGATCTCAACGCTAGTGCCTATGTTCGGCCGGAGCAATGGCGGGCTATTGTCGCGAAGCAGATAGAGCTCTTCGATGGGTTGGACGGTGAGAAGGACGGCATTATTGACGCTCCGCAGAACATTCGTTTTGATCCGGCATTGCTAGCCTGTGGGACTGGAGCTTTGGGGCAGGACTTGTGTCTTCACCCTGACCAAGTTCAATCGGTTGAGAAGGCGTACCAGCCTTTGACAAACGGCGCTGGGGAGATTATCTACCCCCCTTTCATTATCGGTGCATCCACAGGCGTCTTTTCTAATAATCAAAAGGATGGCAAGCCAATTCTTAATTACTCACTTGTTAGGGTAGGTTTCCAGTGACATGAACTTGATAATCTGACTTGCTAACTTGTGTGCAGGATTTCTGGCGTGGTGCTGTATATAACAACTCAGACTGGACCGAAAACAACTTTACCCTGTCAGATTTGGACTACGCCTTGTCTGTCAATCCTGGCGGGGTGAATAGTAACAGCAGAGACCTCTCGAGATTCCACCAGCGCGGTGGCAAGGTCTTGGCCTACCACGGGCTTGTCGATACGACTGTGACCCCCCTCCTATCAATGGAGTTCTACAAAGGGGTGCAAGCAGCCGTTGGATTACCTCTGCAGGAGATGCAATCTTTCTACCGACTCTTTTTGGTTCCTGGCATGGATCATTGCAGCACTGGGCCTGGGGCATGGAACATTGGCCAAGTGTACCCGCTGGACAGCAAGAGGCTGGATGCCGCGAACCACGCTCTCCTCGCTCTCGTGGACTGGGTTGAAGGGGGCAAGGCACCTGATTTCTTGATTGGGGCCAAGTACCAAAATGACAGTGTGAGCCAGCCAATTCTAGCAGAAAGAAGTGCGTACCGTATCCGGGCCTTTCCCACTACATCTCTGGCCAGCATCTGACACTCTTCAGGACACTGCCCATACCCGTCTCAGAGCCGCTGGGATGGCCGAGAGAACAGAAGGGATGTGAGGGGGTGGGTGTGTGGATATACGTAGTGACCTCCGTCAGAGATCCTGAAAGATTGCATGCAGGGCAATGCTGATGTTGCAAATACGGCACCATATTGAGGTTTGAGCAAAATGGAGTATCGAAGGCAGCAATAGCGTCCTTGGCACACCCATGCTGTCCTGGGAGCAAAGGCCTTGGAAAACGTCAAGTGGAGAGAAGGGTGCCAGGGCGGGGCGGAGGTGCATCCATGATAGAGCAGCAGGGGAGAGCAGAGCAAGTAACTCATCGCGGCCATGGGCTAAAAGAGGAGTTGTACATTGGAATGGTTGAGTGCTACTCGCGATCCCCAGACCATCATTACGTGTCGTTCTCTAAGCCCTCACGAGCTGATTAACCTAAATCCCCGAGCAGCATCTATACGAAGCCGAGAGCTAGACGTCAGCTCGTTGGATCCGTAGGACTGTGCCGGATCTACGGACGTTCCGCTACTTCCACAATTAGGGTATTCGCCGTTGCTCCCACCCACCCAGTGGAAGGGTGGAGATGGGCGGGCAGGGTTTCGCATCTACCCGTGGGTCAATGGCAGCATGCGCTGGCCCACTAAGGGAGGGAAATGGGAGGATTCTTCTCTCGGGGGAGTCTTCTTGGATTTTCTCTCGCCTGGGTCAGCGCATGCTGCCATTGACCCACGGGTACTGGAAGTGCGATCTTGGCAGGATACAGGCACCTGATGTGTACGAAATTCCTAAACTCGCTTGGGTGGCAGGTACATTATAGAGAGATGACTGTTTCTTTTCAATTTCTCACAAAATGAAACGATTTCGTATTTTGAGCTTGTTCAAGTTCAAAGTTCAATACTGGAATCGCAGCTCTTCCGGGAATCGGAGGACTGCTGGTGACGACGAAGGAACGGCGAGGCAGCGGTGACACACTTGTTCCTTCTGATTATCGCGTCACAGCGTACTCCGGCAAGCGATTCCCCGAAGATCTGTCTCGCATGGCTACTTTGTGGGTCATCTGCAGAGGCAATCACTTCTGGTTGGAGTGATTCTCTTTCTCGCGGGAGTGGCCCCATTCTGTTGCTGACACCTCCCGGCAGAACCCTGCCTGTTGCTTGCCTGCCGCGACGCACGTTGGGCAGATTTCAGCCGACAGACTCCAAAAGGCGAAGCCAACATCTTGCCCAACCAGCCCCTGCAGCCACTGCTCGTCCAACTACCCCCTGCTTGTCCAAGCCGTCCAACTACCCCCGGCCATTGCTGTTCAGCCGGGGGGCCTTTAAGGTGGGCCACTGCTAAAGCTAAGCTAATTCTGTAATCTCTTGAGAAAATCCTCGTGTTGATTGGAGCCGAGCATGCGCATGTAGCATGGGTGGTGAGTGGAGTAGACCTGCCCGTCTCCGCGAAAGTAGAGCTGTGCTGAGGAGGATGTCGTCTCATGAATCTGCCTTTTCCAATTTTTCGAGGTGTCGCCTCCTTTGTCTTTACCGCTGGTGCAAATATAAATGTAGGCCATGCCCGAGCTGATAACTATGGCGACTTTCGCACTACTTCTTTCTTATCCTCATCATTTATTCTTTTCCCAGCTCAACATTACCGGCGTACTTCAAGCACCTTACTCCCTCCTCAGCTCTAGTTAGCACCCACGCGTCCAAGCATGTCTAAAGAACCACACATCAACCACTCGTTCAACAGATATCAAAACAATTCCCAGCTTCGGTATTGGTTATCTCAGTCTACCACTGATGAACTATTCACTTTACTCCAAGCTCCCTTAGCATTGCCAAAACAAATTACATCGCACACAACACAACTACAAGCAGAGCTAGAACATCTCCTACAGAAATTACCACCTACCACTACCACAGCTCAACCCGGCACATTTGATAAGAGGCAATGCCCAATATCAGATGTGCCATCGATCCAAAAACCCAAGGACGGAGACTTCTCGATTGACACACATGGTGTCGGAGGCCAATTTCATCATCATCCTAAGGCATCTCTTCCACGGGACGCTTCGCTAGAACTTGGGACCCCCAAAAGTCCACCATATTCTAAATAAGGGCGGGGTAGATGTTCAGCTTGCAATATTAGCATGACCTTTTTTTCTTTTTTCTTTTCTTTTAGGATATGGAGCGAGATAATAAGATACATCATTCAAAAGTAACGAAGGCCCTATTGTCTTGAACATACTGTTGAGACACAACGTGCTCCCCCAGGATGCTATTCATTATCCAACCTCATTGATTAACCCTCAATTTTAATCATAACGTACCATAAACCAGCAAAGACTCTTGCCAAGAAATTCTAAAAAGAATCAGGTGGCATTCAGCCTAGACCGTCCGTAGAATTGAAAAATCTTTGATCTTGCTGCCACTGGTTTTTATCATCGCATACATTCTGGCTGGTCGGGCTTGGGGATTCAACTGGGCACCCTTCTCTGTGAGTAAGGTCCAGGCAGTAGAGGATTTAGGAGTCTAGTGATACTACCCTCCTACATCATATCTCATTGATTCACCCATGATAAACGAAAAGATATTCACTGCACAGAAAGCTCACGGGAAGCAAAATCATTCGAAAAAAAAAATAATACCATACATATACTGATTTCTCCAAATCGTCTTCTGTCTCCAAAAGCAGGGGCCTAATTTTAAGCCTCGAGAGGGAGTCAGTTCAGGGCTTGACAGGTCTGGAATTGAGGGTCACCCTCTTTTCTGAAGAAGGATAAATCATCATCATACCGCAATTGTTCCTCTAGTATATTATACAAAAGACCAAGAACACTTTAAATGTTTGCGAGTAAGAGCTAAAGATTAGCCCTGGTATGCACTGCAAATGGGGCGAGATCCCTCAAGACGTGTCCAGGAGTGCAATTGATATTTGATCGCTAGGGCATGAGGAAGATAAAATAAATTGAAAATACCTAGAGAGACCTCTCGTCTCCGATTCGTTTGGTGCGACAGACTTGTTTGGCTTTGTTGGTGAAACGAGGCCCTGTGCAAGTTTCATGTTGCATTATGATGTTATGCATGCGTCATGGTGCGTTGATCATCCGACGCATGGCTCAATTCCTGTATTTATATTCTTCAGGGCCCGACTTTCGTGTCTGTTCCCAGAAGATACATCCCCGATTTCTCTTTACATTTCAACTAAGCAGCCTTCACGTCACAGGTATCCCAAAATCCATCATGGTACGCACAAGAGACAATCTCTTTTTCACACTGCATTGAACTAATGCTGTATCCGCGAACTAGGCCACCGCTGAGACTGTCGATCTCGGACCTTCGCATCCGCCCAAGGAGGATTCCATTGTCGCCTTTACTCATACATTGCCTGAGATCAAACACGAGCTCATCCGGCTGCGTCGCGAATACACGAGTATATCTACACTTCATTCCCTCACTCGCTTCTGGACTCTGCTGATGCCCGATTTTAGAACACGAACCCGAATACTTTGCTGCCGTCGTAGGCAACCCCCAAATGACCTCACTCTGATGACGCCATTCTGACGATTCATTAGGAGCACCTTGAAGACGAGGATCTCCGCAAGTTCGACGTTTCAAATCTAACGGCCGTCCGCGTCGCGACATCCGCATATGGCATCCATCTCTTTGGCAAGATCCGCATCCCAGCTCTGCCTGATTCGGGCCCTGCATATATCCACGTCCGCCTCTTCATCAGCGAGGAGCCCGCCAAGCTGCACAGCATACATACCGAGGAGAGAGAGGAGGCTGACGGGGACAAGAAGTACCGGGCTATCTTCACCGAGAACGATGAGCTTGAGTGGTTCGATACTTGAGCGCGCAGAGGCCAATTGAGAGTTATCTTGATAGTAATGAATTACCGCTGCATTTGAATTAGGTCGACCTTCAAACAACAAAACCCGCCTCGAATTACCTATGCTCTCTATCCGAAAGATTAGAATACATCTTTATCTGATTCTTGCAAGTGACGAAGTGACCGTATTATCTTTCTCTTGCGAATTCCAGATCACCCCACGATATTTTTCGCGTAGACACGAAAGTAACACAATCACGGTTAAAGCTCCAAATACATCGCACGGCCTCTGCAACAGTAGCATTCCACTACTCTTTATCAGGGAGGGGGAGGAGAACGGATGTTTATATGTAACAGATTTCTTTTTACGGCTCGCTTCAAATGTCTCTTTGAGCTGGGGAGGAGATCTAATATAGATACATCGTGAACAATCATTTGGCCTAATCTAATACACATAAAGGTTGACCTGGTCGGGAGATTCCTCCCTGATCTTCTTGTTCTGCCTCTTCAGGGCAGCCTTCAATGCCCACGCCAAAAGCAAGGTACCCAAAGAGAAGCCGATGCTTGCCGACCATGCAGGCACGTATCGAGGTCCATCCGACGAAGGCCACACGTACGGCATGTAGACGGAGGCCAGGTTTCCAAAGGTGTTGCAAATGGCCAGGGCGGCAGCCTTCTTCTCGCTTGTCTGCCCCAGAGTGGCCGATGCCCAGCCTAGAATAATGTTGTTGATGCCAAAGGTAAATCCAACAAAGAGAAAGATGCCGAACATTCTGGCTCCCAGGTTCAATGTTGCAAGTGGTATGACGAAGCCCACAACGACAATGAGCTTGCAGACTGTGATATGCCAAGTCCGCTCGTTAAATCGGCCTGAGCTGTACGCTACCAAAACAGTGATGATAGCGGCAAGAACGTACGGGGGGCATGTCAGGGCCAACGTAATGGTTCTGGGGTAGCCCAACGTCGAAATAACAGTCGGGAGGAAGTTTTGGAAGCTTGCCGTGGACAGATGGAAGTTGTACATCAATGTAAGTGCCCACATTCGCCAATCTGTCACTGCTTCCCGCAGTCCGACCCAGACACTTGTATCCTCTCGGCGGTCGGTTGTGTCGAGTATGATGCGGTTGCTCGCAAGCTGTCTCTCGGTTTCGGACAGCCAACGCGTGGTCAAAGGATGGTCGGGTAGACAGAAGAAGGCCATGATGGCAACTAAGATCGATAGGACGCCCTGGATGATGAATAGCCTGAGGCATTGAATAAGCAATCTATAACATCCTAGAGTTGGTCATGCTTTACACTTACCATCTCCAGCCCGCCAATCCTTTGGCTTTATCAAGCCCATCAAAGACACCTGCAGCGATGAGAGGCGACGTTGCGCTAGCCAGCATGTTGGCTGTATAAAATATCGACATCCGAGTTGCGATTTCTTTGCGTGTATAAAACATGCTAAGGATATACAATGCGCCAGGGTAAAACTGCGAGGTGAGGTCAGAACACATCGCCACCATTATGAAAGAACTGTGATTGAACGTACCGGAGCTTCGGTGACACCCAGGATGAATCGACAGGCTACCATGGAACCATAGTCGTGAGCCAAATATGTCAACAGACTCACGACGGACCACGCCAAGCAAAACCCCCCCAGATACCAGGATGGCCGCACCCTGTTCAGCAGCATGTTGGAAGGAATTTGTCCACAGATATAACTGGTGAAGTGCCAGACGTCAGCTATACATGTTATGCTAAAGCAATCACTCAAAATAATGCATGGTAGGTGTGTAACCTTACCCAACGAAGAGAATCGATACGCAAGTATTGTACTGACTGCCGACAAGGCCCAGGTCCGTCTCCAAACCGTTGAGTCTTGCGTTGACGATTGCATTTCGATCGAGGTAGTTGAACAAGTACATCAGCCAAAGAACAGGCTGCGTGCCATCTTGTTAGCATTCAAGCCGGGGAGATTCGAGCTGCAAGTTTGCTTACAAGCATGTACCAGTCCAGCTTCTTTACAAGAGCAATTTCCACGGGATCAGTCTTGATTTGTCCACCGAATTGGTCGACATTTTCTAGGTTGTGAAGTTTCTGGAAGGTTGTATCTTCATCTTGGGCGTTCTCAATACGGTCATCTTGTGCTTTAGCTGCGGTTGGGATGTTTTCCAGGCGGAGCTGCTCATTGCCGGGAGAGATTGGAGCTTTGTCTACGGCCATATTTGTAATCAGTCGTTCAACTTCCAAGGAACAATGGGAAAGTGAAGTCTAGAAAAATCAAAACATGAACATGACTGCGGGAGGGTTATGTAGCTGTTGCAAAATCTAGCTGGAGACCTGCCCCACGGACGAGATGAGGGGATGATGCGGAGAAACTGGGGTCATACGAACGCTATTCCGTCTTGTCTTGAGGTGCCAAGCTATAAGCACAGGCAATATTGGCTTCTCCTCCCCAAGTCGCCAGTTTTCCTAACCCCTGAAGCAGCGCACTTCACCTGGCCCTCCGGCAAAACCTCCGAGTCCTCTTCGGTGGTTTGACGACCCCTTGCATTCAGCTCTCCCGATGGAGTAAGCTATTTAGTGTGGTTTCGGTTCAACGGAGGTTAGATAGAAGCCGATGGTCTTCCTATTAGTAAACGTTCTTTCGATTTTGTTTTACATAGCAAACCTGCCAATGAAGGGGAGTCTTAGTATTAGATAGTGTACGATTCCTCGGCAATATCCCCAGCGCCGTCCTGCCGGTACCTTAAGGTCTTCAAGCGTTGAAGGTGATGGACAACCGAAATGCTCTGCGTTTGAAGACTTCAACACATAATATGTTCCAAAATAAATATTGAAGCTCCCGGCTAATGTAAAGCTCCCGCATTGGACCAGACCTGCAAGTTTCGCAAGAAAGATGCTTGGAGAAAATAATTTTTACTGAAAATCATGGCGGCTTTCACCAAACTCACCGAACGATCTTCTTTGCGGGGAAATCGGGAGCACCTGCGGTGAGACGAAATTCTGACTGTTTGGAACCTCCTTGACTGCCTTTCCTACGCTTTGAATCCCTGGTTAGCTGCAAAATAACCTGAAATCGCGCTTGATGGAGAATCAATCTATATAAATCCGGTGCAAAGGGTGTCATTCATAGACAGGATTGTTTTTTGTGACGCCCGCGAACGGGAAATGTGTCTCCAAGCTATCAAATCCTGTATCACTCAGTGAACAAAGTGCATGTTCTTTGGTCGTGTAAGCAAAGTTATGTATTCTTGATCTCTCTATTACGATTACATTTGTTATTTTGATAAATCTCAACATTAGAAGCGTAGAGAATGCCGTAAATGAGATTTCCTTCCGCGTGCAGCCATATGTTTGTTTGTGTAACCATGCTGTCTACGGGCCTGCCTAGACGCCTCCAACCTATAAGAGCGTCCCTCAAGGTCCAACAGGTATTAGGAAGCCAAAACGGCCAACGAATCAATTAAAAAAAACATAGCACACCAAGTCCATCGTCTTCGTCGTCGCGCAGTGTATGATGCTGACCTATATCTATCTATTACTAGTCACTCATCCATTCATCAAACCCCCCCACGACACCACCCGGTGGGATAGATCTTGGATATGGTGATATGTGATTGGTCTATCGTTAGATGGCCGAAACCTTGTGCTTGCTATTAATAATAAGCCTGAACAAAGCCTGCGTGACATGGGTAGTCGCTGTCCGAATTGTCCGGTGTTGTCACATCGATCCTGTCCGAATTGTCCGAGGGAGTCATATCAACCCTGGTCCGAGTGGGATAAGCAAAATCAATGATTAAGGTAGTTTTCGTTAGCCACATCTTGACGAATGCTACTTGATGCAACGAAATTTGATACTGGATAACGTTTCTCACAGTGAGTCATTGGGTCGCTGACAAACTTATGCCTTGAATCTTTTGCTTGAAGTCCGGCTAATGCTCCTAAAAGGTGGCTTTTGCTTACTAATTCCCTCCCATGAGCTCAGGCTCGCTGCCCGAAGGCCAAACGCGACGGTTTGATTACCGAAATGATACGGACATTTTATTTTGACACTTGACTGCGCCATCTTGTTGTCGTGTTGTGACTTCACATCTTATTACATGAAGCAGCCTTCACCGGCAATTATCAAAGGCCGTATCATTCACATCACTTGACCAACACACGCTCCCCGTATTCTTTGCACACCACCCTATTTCACGATGGCATCAAGTTCGCCTACACCTGGCGGAGAATTAACCACTCACCATGATTCTGCTGTCAACTTTTTTACGACCATTGATGGCACGAAATACGCTTATGATTATAAACCAGCCCAAGATTCAAAGCCCACTTTCCTCTTCCTCCACGGATATCCTTCCTCTCGCAAGGACTGGGAACACCAAATCACCACCGTGACTGCTGCAGGTTTTGGGGCTATTGCTCCTGACATGCTGGGTTTTGGCTCCTCTGACCTGCCGACAGCTCCCGAGGATTATAAAGGCAAGCGATTAGCTAGCCACATCGCTGAGCTCCTTGACTCCAAAGGCCTGGCAAAGGTGGTTGGTGTGGGCCATGATTGGGGCTCTGCAGTGCTTTCGAGGGTGGCGATGTACCACCAAGACAGGTTGCAAAAGCTGGTGTTTCTAAATGTGGGCTACCAATCCGCGGGCTTCTTCGACATTGATGCTATTAATGCCTTGGGCTTGGCTCAGTGGGGATACATGCCTTTCGGATACTGGTACTTTTTCGATCGCTATGATGCTGGCTCAGTCATCGGGAATCATGTGAGTGGTAGCCCAAGTGTTTTTCCTACCGAGCATGCCTCACATCATAGATCCATGGGCTAACCAATACATTTTTCTATAGTTGGATTCGTTCTTCAACCTAATCTTTCCGGAGAACTACGACACTTGGAAAACCTCATTCGTTCCGGTTGGTGCCGCACGCGCTTGGCTCAATGCCGATACTCGAACTAAGGACGCGCCTTTCGTCACGGAAACCTTCAAGGCTAATTGGAAAGCTTTCTTAAGCCGCCCAGACGCTACCGAGTCTGGCTTGAACTGCTACAGATCACAGCTTCGAGGTGTGAATGCCTCCGACGATGCCAAGCTCACCGTTGAGGACCAGCAGCTGCACGTTCCTGTGTTGGCCATTTTAGGAGCCTTAGATCCAATTGCTCGGCCCGAGTTGATGATTCAATTGACTAAACCTTGGGCATTGGGTGGATTCGAGAGCAAGATCCTCGACGGCGGGCACTGGCTGGCTCATGAGTTGCCTGAACAAGTTAGCAAGCTTCTACTGGAATTCGGGAGCAAGGAGAAGTAAGAAATAAAAATCTTTTTGTTTCTTCTCGCTCTTGGACAGAATATTCTTCTCCCTTGGCCGAGTACGCGTTTATACATTGTCCAGGGCTAGCTTTCTCAAATTCTTTGGAATCAACTTTCATCACAATTATGCCACTATCCTGAAGTTTATCACAGGCAAGCACGAATTGGGCAACCAGAACTCATGAGGCTTGCGAACATTCTCTACCAGTCAATCATTCAACCATCGCATATTTATGCACCTGGTCAGTTGAAACCAGCCAAGTGGCCGCATGGAGATACTTTGTTTGCCATAGGCTGATGTACTGGACAATTGATTGATTTTCTTTCTCTTACTTTGAGGGAACTACTGTTTCTTGCACTAAAACCTCTAGCCGGCGGTATTAACTAGATCTGAGAAACATTGTTTGACACTTGAACGCATTGTTAAGTGCAAGTGGTTCATAACCTTACTCTGAATATATTCGTATTTGTGATTCTCAAAGTCACGAACTCAAGCAGATGAGTCAACGCTTTCTCCACCGTAATCAGCCGTTTAAACTATGATCTTAACGCTCTGTAGTAGGGCAAGCTTAGATTAAAGAGTGAAAAACTCAATATTTAAAACATTTTCAATGGACAACCGCAAAGGTTTGCGGCCTTCATGTAGTGAACTCAGTACAGGGTAGGCCTATAAGGACGGATAAAATCGGGAATAGCTCGATATTTGTCATGAACCGATGAGTAATTACCAACCAAAGATTCCCTTTTAGGGTAATCTCCGAACCTGAGCAATCTTACGCAAGCGATCCAATTCTGCAACTCTTCAATCTCAACTCGCCAATCTTCCACGGAACGTCTCTCTCCTCTCCGTGGAACCTCCCCAGCTCGTACCAATCCGGTAGTAGACACCATTGCCGCTTCAGGAAATCCCCGGACAACAGAAGCGCCTCAGCTTTCACCCGCAGTGACCTCGGAGTTCATCAAAGACGGTAAAAGATGTTCATGACCTTGAAACCTCCCAAGAAGGGCTCCGCTAAGTCCGGCATGGAGCAAATCTCCTTCACCGAGGCCGGGCAAGGTGGAGCCGAGCGCCGATTCGGAGCCAATCGCCGCAATTCCTGTGCCTACTGCCAGAGCAAGAAGGTATGTCTTTGTGTTACAAGGGCGGAGAAATGGTTGCTAAAAGTAGACACCTAGCTCCGCTGCACCGGAAGCCGGGCATGCTGTGACAAGTGCAAAGCTCACGGCGTTCTGTGTATCATACCGCCGGCCCCTCGCACGAAAAAGGCTGCTGCTCGTACCGTTGCGAGGGAGAGACGAGTAGCGGAGGAGCATGCTGGTGAGATAGTGGGCAGTCGTGGGGGCCATCATGTATCAAACCCAGAACCAGTGGGCTTGAGCCTCCCAGACAGCTTCCAATCTCTCCCGACGCCAGACAAGGACACTTCTCCTCCGGCACCTACGTTACAAGGTACTGCGTTCTACCTGAACTCTAAGCGAAACTGGTTACTAACTGTAACAGATTGGGGCATCGATATTGGAGCCTTTGGCAAAGAATTAGTCACAATTGACTCTCATGACTTCATGGGATTCGACAACCCAAAGACTTATGACTTGGTACCGCAGGATGTTCCAGAGTGGTCAAACCCGCCACCACCACCAGGTGGCGTCTGTCCGTGTCTGAACGATTTGGTTGGGATCGTGCAAAAGCTCGACGACGACGAGTACAAGCTCCGCACTCTTGCTTTCGACCAGGTCCTCAAACTCCAAAAATTTCTGCTTTTCCACTGCCTTGCGCCACTCGACTGCAAAAGCTGCAACAGTCTAGCAAAAGCTCACACCGTGGTGCTCATCATATGCGAGAGGGTAACGGAGATGTTCCTCTGCCTAGGACGACGCGTCGCGAACACCCGCCCTCACCTTGTGGAAGGAGACAAGCTCGATGCAAACCCGTGCTATCCGATCGACACAGTGAACGGCCCGGCGTTCTTCTCATTCAAGAAGAAAATGATGGTCCCAGACAGCCCCGGCAACTCGTCACACACGCTGGAAGGCGAGGTAGGCCGGGACGGCGTGGTCGTCGTGTGCAACCCGGAGATGTTCTCGCCCGACTTCCGGGAGCAGTACTCGACCGAGGAGCAGTTCCACATGATCCGGGTCCTAGCGAAGATCCAGATGAAGAACTTCAATCAGCTGCTGATGCGGATTGGCAAGATGCCGCAGTCGACGCGCAGCGAGGCCAGGATGGAAAAAATTCACGCGTTGACTAACCGGCTTGAGGAGGCTACTGCGGTTATGGAGGAGGGGTTTGACGCAATAATGGAGTCGATGGATGCGTTGTAATATGGTAGAATGAGCACTACTGAGATTATTCCTGGTCATGCTACTCTGAAATATGTGAGGTGTAGTATCGCATGATGCGCGATAGCTCCATTGCTGATGCTAGTTACCTGGTTGCCTAATCGTTGGTGATGAGATTTCTCACTCGGGAATGCGGACATCGCCAGGTAAGGGGACATGAAACGACTATCTTTTCTCGTGATTTATTCCTGTCTTGTGACAAATGGAGTTGGGTTTCATTGCGACATTGTCACCGAGTCGACGTGTAGGAGGATTGGTAAAGGGGCCAATAGAATGCAGATGATTGTGAATGCCTTGGAGAGCTCATTTGTGGCGGAGAGGTTGATAGATCCCCGTATCATCTCATCCGCGGGAATAGCAACAACCCCACTGGCCAGTCTGCCTGCAGTGACCGTGAAAATGAGTCACCTGCATGTAAGACAAATCATTCACGTGTTGGTAGTCTGCTGCCGGCAAGATTTTTGAGAAATTGTATTGGTGGAAATGCCGTGCGGAGACCTCCAGGCGTTCATTTGTTCTACGGGGAGAACAGGAAGGCGAGGTGAATTCGCCTCGCCGCGACCATTTCATTGGCCTGTCAGCGTGTGTTTCGAATGACATGTGGCCCTTTCTTTCTTCCGCCTTTCATTCGCTCAGAGTCATAATTCTCGGCTTGGCGCAGTTCACTGGGTGTAACGCTTGGCACGTGAGGTGCCGTTAACAACGTTCATCATTACTATCAGCAGCTATCCACGACTACGACATGGCTATCTAGCCCTGTTACATGTGAATATCAGTAGGGTAAAAATAGTTTAATATAAAAACAATTGAACACGACAGTCACCAAGTGACTGCCTGCTCTTTCGTTGGTGATATACTCGATATGCGAGATACAAGAATTGAAGTATTGAAAAGTCAATTGCTAAACTATCCACCGATAGCAAGCAATCGCTCGAAACATGTTTCTAGTGAATTGAAAACAAAACACCGATAAATTGATTGGGGATATTGTGTAAGAACTGTTCGGTTGCCCGAGATTTTATCTTGCCCGACTCCATGAAAACGATCTGAACAGGAGGTAGCGATAACTACTTGCTACCAGTGCTTCCGCTTCCGCTTCCACCTTTGGGGGTGAACTTGCTCTCGAAGTCACGGATGTTCTTGTCAGCTCTGTCGATGTAATGGGTGTCACGGTCGGTGGAGCTGCTGCCCTGGCCACTGCCCTGGCCAGAGTTGGATGTCGAGTTTGAGCTAGAATAGAGTTAGTGGATGGATGGAGGAAAGGGGAGAGGTGCAGATTGGAATGGCATACCTAGGCATTGTGATTGCGAGCCGGGGAATGAAGATATTTGGAATATCGTGAAGTCTAGGAACGTCAATGCTGGTTCATTGGTGCTTCTTGTATCCGTGATACGCAAGGTTGATTTGTACATACTGTCACCAGAGATTGGATGAATATAGACTCTGATTTGATCAGTTGTTAAAGCGAGATTGCCGGATTGTTAACAGATGCTCGGAAGTGAGTGTCTGGAGGGATCGATTTATGCTGGGTGAACCATCCCTACTTATACCATTTGACTGTTATGAAGAATACCGTGAATAACCTTTGTACCGTGGGTCTAGCCCTTCGGTTCGGCATAGTAGATGTGACGAGACCTCACCTTCGCACTCATGGGCGAGCACGTGTGGGTCGCCAGCCCACGATTGTTCGATCACATTTGTGCCCCTACCTAGAAAAGGGGGGCTTGGTTGATTCCCTTCATGTGCCTTGGATATTGATGAACGGGAGTGAATATATGGATCGTATTCGTGATGGCTCGCCGGGGATGTATCTAATTTGGTGCGGAGGGTAAGGGGCCAGACGGGGAATTCTTGACGCCAGGATGTGCTCCTGCATACTGCAGTTGCCCCAAACAGGGCGTCGATAGAAACACTCCATATTACTGATCGAACCTAAAAAAAAGCCCATACGCGAGTGTGGATTCTAGCCACGTTTGGGCTTTAGGTGCGAATGTCTCGGTATACGGGTGCTGGCTTGTCAGAGCCAGAGACAGGACCGCTGCCAAGCGCCACCAAAAGGGGGGCGTATGAATACTCATCAAGAAAAACAAGGAATATCATGAAAAATAACGCAATGAGAGTCATGGGGAATAAGCTTGACCTGGTTCATCCCCAGTGTAAGCTGTGACCGCATGAAGCAGTGCAGGCGTGGCGAAGCGAGTGTCTTGAAGCTTGACGTTGACTGTGATTGGGAGGGGGTGTTCTGGCTATCCAGGCAACCACAATGGCCATAATAGTCTCTATGGAGCCGTGCGAACCATTCTTTACCAGTGTTGCATTTGTGTGTTGGGGGAAGGCAGCCGGTTCCACTCGAGGCGACCAGGAACTAGTTCGGCCCAAACCAAAGCCTACGAACATGATCATGTCATCTGAAGTCTAGAATGATAATAGAAGGCTCGATATGTGAAAGGAAAATTAAGAATCTGCAAAATACCACTCACATAAGCAAAGAAATTACCCAGATGCATGTAGAGGGTGGGATCGCACGCGTCGTCCCCTTGCACTTCCCAGTTGCCTGGGACACCGAGGAGACGGAAGGTAGGGCGGAAGGCACGTTACTGCATATCCTTCCTTGGCTAGTAAATTATCCTAAACTGTAGGATGTAATTACGATTGGACAGAATTCTCAGCTGCATACAATGCGACCCAACGCGCGCTTGCACTAATCTGCCATCGGCTGTTGACCCGTTTGATAGTCCAAAATTCAAGTCTCACTAGGTAATATGGCGTCGTCATTATGCTTCTAGGCTGCGAGATTGCGAAGCTTATCCCATTGACGTCAATCACGTAGAGCATTGCCGTTCTATCACAGAAGTGTGGACGGAAATACCTAATCTGCCTATCGTCTCACTTTAGGTATACAGGAGAGAGACAACAGAAATCAACAAAACTGGTAGAACTTCATTCGAGAGAAAACACTACCATGTGATCACAACTTACTGCGTATCCAAGTATAGGCGTACTGCCCTGTCCCAAGCTGATCAAGTAGAGAAACTTGTCTTGGATGATCCTCCCCATTCTGCACCCCCCCTAGGAGACATACAGGCACGACCGCCACCCCCGAGGCCAATTTTGTGTCATAATAACAATACCGAGGCTAATACCATTTTTGTACAAACATGCAAAACCTTATCGCCAAATGAGTGCATCACGGCCAACTCCGATGCGTGCTGATGCTCTAAGCATTGGTTTGAGACTAGTATGTGGTCACTTGGCACAAGCACGTTAGGCCTCATTCTCGGCGCAAAGCCACCAATGTCAGAGGAAAGATCTGCGGGAGGGTGGGAGTATTGCACATAGTGGGGGAGGCCTTGTAGGGATAGACGGATGTGTGGCGGTTGAACGGCGTTGCAGCCACCATCTGTGGCAACGTTGCAGCCCCATCAAGAGTTACAGGGGAGCCAATATCGGTCAGTGATCTATTTTCCTTTGCCCTGTAAAAGTCCCTGTGATTCTCTTCCGTAGGCCCTGCTGCGGACAAGCCGAATGTGAAGTTTGTTTTGGGCAATAATAGCAGCGACGGATGTGTCTCACCCGTCTGACAACCACTAACCGGCCAAGAGGGTTGACACCATTCCAGCCTGATGGGTCCTGGGATGGGTTTCGCTGCTACAGTAGCTTTTCCTTCTTATTTCTTCCCTCTTTTGGCGGTGCCTAATTTGTTTGGGTAGCCGAATGAGCCCGAGCCGTTCATCACGGCATCGCGGCACTCCTACGCTCTCAATCAAGTGTCTGAGACATACATCTTTAGCTTGATTGCATTAACATGTACCTAGATGCATATCTCACACTTGCATGGAATTATACAGATAAGCCTTGTGACCTGCGGTTCTCCAGCCAACCCCGTATCTTCCGCCTACTCCATAAACTTTGTTCAACGGCGCTGGGCTGCGAGGGGGTTGAGTCTTCCCCCACTGACACTCGGACCCCTTCTCCCATCAAAGGAGATAAGATTCTCGGCTTGGGTACCGACGTTGGGATTTGGACGGACAGGGACAAGGCCTCAATCTCACAACCGTTCCCGGGGGTTTGGTTTCCCCTTGTCCATTCATTTCCGATCTCGACAGGGTATTCGGAGCTGGAACCTTCAGATGCCGGTACAGACGGAGTTGGTTGCCTGAGTTAAACGCGGGACCGACCGCTAGCTAAGACGGAGAATAAATGATTAATGCGCGAATGGAAGGCCTGGGTATATTCCCTTCATCAAGGAAAGCTTGGAATGCAGGATTGCATCAAAGTTGATGCATCAGATGGGTGTGGCTGATCCCCGCGTTAATGGGGGGTGTCATCTCATGAACATGAACAGCCCGTGGCCTCGTTGGGTCAAATGGCAAAAAAGCCCAGTTTCAGGTTGAGCCAAATCAGGGTATGATGCCGCCCGTTGAGACGGAAAGGTCCGAAACACCAGGCTTACTCTGGTCAGCGGAACACATACGGAATCCAAAGGACCAGGATGGACCAACAACTTCTTACTGCTTCTCGGCTGCCGTGCACTGAGGTCGCCTTCCATTGACTATTCGGTAGCTATCGAACCTTCCTTTGTTCTTCCCAGCCGTACAATAATACTGCATGACCCCTGCATACAACCCAAATTCCCATCACATCTCACCCCGGCGCCCCTGTAAGCGCTCGGCGTTATTGCAGCCGCAGATCCTCCCCCCTCACGGCCGATATTCACCTAAGACGTCGGGCGTAGAATTGGATTTGGTGTGGCTCGTTGAGCGGGCGGAACCGCACCGCGAAGGAGAGACAAGGCCGACTCGTTCAAGCCCCAATCCCCTTCCCACTGAGCCATGCGCATCCCATTCTTGAAGTGATTCGCGAGGTGCGAGGCTCGCTCAGTCCAGTCCGACATGGCGCACCCGCAGAACCCGCACCGGCTCTCGACGCTGCCCTCTGAGAACTGCCACTTGTCCAGGTCTGCTGGCAGGCCCTTGCTCCATCCGTGAAACTTGCGTAGATGCTGCCAGAGATGGTCTTTCCGAGTGAAGAGCCGCTCTGAGGATGGCTTCATTGCGCAGATGTGAAACTCGTGTTCCTCCCAGTGATCTGGCCCAGAGTTTTGCGCATCGCAGAAGGGACAGTCTAGGCCCGCGACCATGCGTTGCTGAAGACTGTTCAGGTCGGGCGTGCATATCCAGGAATCTTGGGGGAGGTGTATTGTCTTTTCATGGCGCACCCAATCATGCTTCTTCTTGAATGATTTAGGACAGAATGTACATTGGAACCTTAGGATCCCATCTTCTTTGTCTCGTCTCTCGTGCTTTAGACTGGCACGGCGTCGGCGTCTGGCTGAAGCAACTGGGTACGCAAAGTTGCCGTCTCTGGATGACTGACAGCTCCAGACGGACGAGGAGCTTGCTGAAGTTATGTGCGACCCGCTGTCGATGCTTGAAACGGAGTGGTGGCGAGAGACAACATCATCCGCGGTGAACTTATCCCTAGGCGAGATATTATCCCCGAATGAATCATCCTTGAAGAAACTGTCATCTTTCAAAGACCCGAGAGCATCGCGAATGACAGACTCAGGGATCGGCTCCTCATCCGGCGGCGAAGCTTGCCACCTCTCGAAAGGCGTGAGGCCGAGCGCGCTGTTGTATGCTTCGGAGTCTTTGTCAAAGGGCCGGGGAGATTTGGCTCGGATGACGGGCTGGATGCGCTGCTTTTGTCGTCGTCGAGCATTTGAGAACCATGTTGATATCCGCTTCTGCGAGAAACCCGTTTCTTGTTCAAGAGCGATCCTTTCCATTTCAGACGGATAAGGGTGGTCCTCGTGTCGTTCAAACCATTCTTTCAATACTCTGGCTCCCTTTCTGACAAAGTGTTTTGAGCTCCTCTGTCCATCCTCATCTGGGATTGGGTGCTCTGGCTGTGGTTGATGCCTCTCCTATTAGGCGGCTACGTTAGCATGTGACGTAACTGGAAAGATAGAAAAACATACCCCGGACTCTTCTTGCTCTGGTACACCATGTAGCTGTTTGTACACTGGTAACTGAGTCTCAAAGACGGAGGGAGGGCGTTTCTGCCCCTTGGCCAAACTGCACTCTCGGTACAATGCAACGCACGTGGTGCAGGATCTGAGAGGGTTTGGGTTTACGGCGGACTTTTGAAGGATAATACACTGCAGCCGCTTACTCTTGCAGTGGCTGCAGGGATGAGGCGGTTGCTCTGCGCCCTCCAGCCACTGCCAGACGTCCGTGAAACCATGCTGCGTCTGCGAAGACGGACCGGCAACCTCGGGCAGCGGAGGGTGTTCATCCAGCACGAAGTCAGCAGAGTTCCCCTCGTGGTATGGCCATGGTTGGTCTGCCTCAAGAAACGTTGGATTCAAGGTCGCCTGCGGTGCGTCGAACGTCAAGAGACTCTGTGGGCCCAGCCCGATCGCCTCCAGATGATCTAATTGTACATCGCCAAATGGATCCGAATCAAAAGCTAAGCTGTCGAAGAGGCAGTCATCGCCCGTACTATTACCGTAGCACTGCTCGGTGAGGTACAAGTCGCCTTGCCCTTGGTCTTGTGGGTTGGGGGGATTCATCTCGCACATACAAAAAGCACGCTCTGATGTCGGATCGAGTCCTGCTAGCAACCAGTCCCGTTCTGGGTTGTGCGGGGGAGGGGCACGAGATCTGACGATTCCATGGCACGGAGGCTGGCGATGACTTGGCTCCAAGGAGCATGAATTGACATCAAATATCCGAGATGTGATTTGCTGAGAATTGACCACTGAATGGCCGAAGAGGGGGAGGGGAGTCACGTGCTCCGTAACCGGTGACATCGGTCAGAGTTTAGATGCAGCCTCAGTCAGCGAGTCTATTCTAGAGAGTGAACGGTTTGAAGCGAAGACGGCTTCTAGACATCCGGGCCGGTATCAAACAAAACAAAACGCCATCAAGGCGTAGACTTATCAAAATTCTGCGTCCCATATCCTTGATAGGCGGCATTCCTGGAGCCTCTTGGTGTTATCGGAGGGCGCATCATGTTAAGGCGGCTATCTGAAGCGTTCACTGAGGCGGAGTAAGTGGACCTGAATTTAGCCTACTCCGTTCCTATATCACTGCAGCCAATCAAGACGATCAGTTTTATCACCGCGCCCTCTAGAAACACTCGTCACGATGAAGTTGCGCCTTTTCAGGACGGCTAGAGAGAACATATAAAGACTCTGAAAGATATATCTACCACTGATCATACTTCTGCATCGGAGAATACAAAATTGTCATATAACGTCTAAAATGGCACCCTCAGCTACCCAGACAGAAGTCTCCGGCCTCGGAGGCAAGGTAAAGTCGCAGCATGAGCCTACCCCTTGCGAGGCCATCTCTCATGGCGACCTTCTGCCAGGTATGTTGAAGCGTTGATTGGATTTCCAGATGACTGGTTTCTAACCGAACTTTAGGTATCCCCAAGTTCCCTTCGTTTGCCGAGGAGAGGAGGCATATGTTGGTTCATATGGCCGCCACGTTCCGATACTGGTCTCGCCACAACTATACCGAGGGCCAATCCGGTCATATTTCTATTCGAGACCCCGAATTCCCAAACTTGATGTGGATGAACCCCCTGAGTCGCCACTTCGGCATGCTCACTGCTGGAGATATGCTCCTCATCGACATGGGCTCTGGCAAAATCGTCGCTGGACGTCCAAACCCGACCACGAATGCCCGCACCGCCAACCGTGCAGGATTCTTCATCCACACGGCTGTCCACAGAGCTCGTCCCGACGTCCACGCCATATGCCACGCGCACACCATCTCCGGAAGGGCATGGTCGGCGTTCGCCAAGCCCCTCGACATGATCACCCAAGATGTCTGCAACTTCTACAAGACCCACGCAGTTTATGGTAACTACGGTGGTATCGTGTTCGGCGGCGACGAGGGTGAAAGAATTGCGGCTGCGCTGGGGACAGATAATAAAGCTGCCATTCTTATGAGTCACGGTCTCATCACTGTTGGCCAGACTGTGGACGAGGCTGGATTTCTGTTCAGTTTGCTGGACAAGTCATGTGCCATCCAATTGCAGGTTGAGGCGGCCTGTGCTAATGGCCATATGAAGAAGGAGATTATCAGTGATGAGGAGGCGGCAGAAAACTACAAGATGGCTAGCGAGGCCAATGTTCTATACAGGGAAGCTCAAGCAGATGTGGAGTTTGAGATTGCCGCTGCTGGTGGAGAGCATGTGCTTGCAGAAGGGTTTGATGATCTGAAGATAATCCAATAATGATCTTTTATTAAGCGGTTAGACTTTTTTCTTTAGGTGAATATACTGTCAAAACCGATGGCATTCAATTCAATTTTATTGAACCTGAGTTGATGGAGAAAAACCATGCCTAGTAGTAGAGCTTAATAAAGAATACACAGCACGTAGATGACTTGGAGATTTAAGGCAAACGTATAGGTGATATAGGCACCTGGCCTGTTAAATTTAAATTATGAGATTATCAGATGATGGCATATCAAATGATGGCCAGCTACATATAGAAATAATTCCAGAGCCACTAACGGCTGTTGACTAACGACGCTGCTATTGAAAGCCAGCCTTCTTGAGCGATTATCCTCATTATTGAGTGATGTGTTGTGCGTGAATGGGCTTAGTGGGATGTCCATTTCCAGGTGAATCCCTTACGTCGGTGGTAAGACCGATCAGTGAACTTGCCACGGAAAAGCTTGTATGACCACTTGCGCCACGAAGGCCACATGGGCCATGTCCAATGTGATGAGTGGTCATCACTAGGGAAGCCCGGAATAGCAGGCGAAGTCGGGGCGCTGGCATCGGTAGTTGTGGTTGTGAAAGCCGCGTCTGCAGTCGTGCTTGGCAAGTTCGGAACCGAGCTCGAAGTAGGGAGGCTCGAAGTAGGGAGGCTTGCTGCAGAGGTCGTGGTTGACGATGGGGAGTCGCTGCTGGAGTCCTCCTTGTTGACCTTGATGCTCTGCCACTTCCCGGTCTTGTCTCCATACACATACTCCTTTATGTTCTCCGTGGTGGCAGAGTCACCGCCAGCATAGTCAACAATCTTCAGAGATTTGTAGTAGGCATTGAAGGGAGCTTGGGAGAAGTCGGCAAGACCGCCTGCCCAATCGATGGTTCCCTGGCCATTGCCCTCCTTTCCAGCAACCCAAGTACCAAGCTTGACTTGCGAAGGAGTCTGAGGGAATCCCGAGCCGCCATTGGCATCTTCGTACTTGAGGGTCTTCACCACTTTGTCATCAATGATCCAATCGATCTTCTTCGAGGTCCACTCGATAACATATGAATGGAAAGAAGCCATGGGCAGAGAGAGCGGGTAGATGCCCTGGCAGTTGAAAGTGCTTGATCCCTTGCTGAAGCAGTTGGACTGGACCCTTGTGGCATCGCCACCTACCCACTCCCAGTCAATCTCGTCAAGGTCCGCTGAGAGCAAGACCACGGAGGTCACGACGCCCCTTCCAGGTGTAGCCTGGGCCACTACCTCGATGCGACCAAAGAAGATGTAATCATCGGTAGCGACGGTGGGCGCCTGGCTGGGATCTGTGATAGAGAACAAAGCACCCTTGTCGGCGGTATAAGTGAGATTGGTACCGTCAGCCAATTGAATGCCATCACAGGCGCCGTGAGTGAAGTCACAGTTCAGTCCCTTGCTTCCCAAGGCAGGTGCTGCTGGGCAGTCTTGAGAAAGAGTATGTTAGATGGTTCATCTTCAACTAGTTGTGAAACGAATAAGGGTATTAACAATTCGTACCTTGCTTTGTCGGGTCACAGTCGGTGAATGTTTGAGCTGAGACCAGGGAGGTAGCAGCCAACGCTGAGAGAAGCGTCGAGCGGATCATCTTGCTGAATGCGTAACCTTGCCGATTTATAAGTGGAAACAGTAATTAAGTTGATTAAATGAGAATAATTCGAAATGAAAACAATGTAGGCCCAGAGATGGTGATCTAAGTGAACGTGTAAAATAAACGAAGGACAATTTGACCTGCAACCACACAGAGCAAGATGGCTACCGAGCTGCGTTGAAGACTGGAACGGGAAAGACATATTTATCAAAGGAAGCCCCCCTTCAGAGTGATAACTTTGAGCATTGACTCCCGGCAAAGATAAATTAAGGTACCGAGTGGTGAGATGCATGCATCAACAGGGCTGATGCGGGACAGGAGCAAGCTTTGCCGCATTTGTTGGTCTGAGACGCAGGCGCAAAACCCAGGGCGACTCCTTTTGGATGGCTTCATGCTTGGTGTGTTTCAAGTGAGACCTCTGCCTCTCGTATTGCAATGAACTGGGTTCATATTACCAGCCATGCCGGCATGGGACCAGCTCCTCAAATTTCCTTACATCCAATAATGTGCAAACGAGTGCTGATCCCCAATCATATCCCTCCAAGTTCAACATTTTGGTGGTTGAATGCCAACAGGAGCATGATCCATGAAGAGGGTCTTTCACACTTGCGCTTTGACCAGACGGGTCATCATGTTTGATGGAAGCCATGAAGCGATCAATTAATATGCCGAGAATTAAGTGTCTATATGATTTCTTGAATCGATGAATGCTGATTATTGGCCAAGAATATCCCTTTGCAACTTCGCACTTAGGTACGTTCTCTTCTACCACATCTCGTTGAATTCTACCTTCTGCCGCCATTCTGCGCCAAGTCTCATGCTTGCCAAGAGCGGGCTAAAGTTCCGAAACCGCTAGAGATTGAAGCTAATCTGCAGCTTTGTGGATGGCTAAACGGCAGTCGTCCACGATTCATGATTCATGGACATACATGCATAAGATGCATGTTGAGAATGCGCTACGAAGGAAAGAAAAATGAGTGGTTTCTTCGTAAACTACCATCCAAATATCTATAGTGATGTACCAAGTACAAAATTGACTCCCTGCTACTCGACGAGGTCCTTGCCCACCCACGTCCATCCTACATCCCTTGCGCCAGAAAGCCTCCAATTCTGTCAATAACTTTGCAGAGAAATTGCTGGACGCGGGGAGCCCAGCGATGTCAACAATAACCGTCAAAATATCGTCAGGAGAGACGTCTTTATCCGTTCTAAATTCTTAGTCTCAGTCTATAGTCTATGGAGCTTCCCATGTCCTATATCGCGAACAATATCGTCGGCCATGTGCATCGTAATTCGAAGTAACAATGCCAGAGAAGCGTTGTGTTGTCTGGTCAGAGCAACTCTAGCACTCGGGTACTTCGGGCTTCGCAAATATGGCTAGAGCTTTGCCTTTACGCCGCCTTGGGGTGTCTGCCCTGGTAGCATTCGCCGCATCACCTTGCCACTCGCTGTCCTGGGGATTGCATCTAGGAACTCAACCCCGGCCGTGAGCCATTTATGCTTTGATAGACGATCCTCTATAAACTTTTGTATCTCGTGTTCGGTTGGGGGCTGCTCGGGGTTTTGAGCTACCACAAAAGCTTTTGGATATTCTCCATCTCGTCTATGTGGTGAACTGATTAGCGTTATTGGCCCTAAGGGGATATGCAATGACATCCAGTATCAGATATGTTATTTACTCACCGCCGCTCTCCAACCACTGCCCCATCTTGAATGCCCGTGTGTGTCAGTAGCGTTTGTTCAATCTCTGCCGGCGCAACCTGCAATCCCTTGACTTTGATGAGTTCCTAAACCTTATGTGTCAGCTGCTTGAAGATATTCGCATCTTTAGGTAAACTCCCACTTGCCTTCATACGATCGACGATATACACTCTGCCCTCGTCATCAATGTAGCCTATGTCACCAGTCCTAAGCCATCTCTCCCCATCTTCTAAAACAATCGTTGACGCTGTTTGCTCCGGTCGGTTGTAGTAGCCCATCATAATATTCGGCCCCGCCAACCAGATCTCACCGATCGTGTACGGAATGCTTCCATCGCTGTCGAACCCAAAGTCTGGCTGCGGGACGATCTTGGCACTCATATTCGGATTCAAGTGGCCGACTGATCGCCCGTCGTCTCTATCGTCCGGTGCGAAACCGGTCGCCGAGGAGGCGTTCTCGGTCAGTCCCCAGCCTTGTTTCACCTGGACCCCAGGGCGTAGATAAATCTCCTCGACAAGTTTGCCGATGTCTGCATTGAGCGGCGCAGAACCAGTTGTGACCGCTTCTATGGCCTTGAGATTGTAAGAAGATGCTCGGGGATGTTTTGCGAGCGAAACCATCAGCGTGGGAACGCTGGCAAGGAATGTAATCCGGTAGATGTCTAGATACAGCAAGTACTTGTCCAAGTTGTATTTAGGCATAATGAATACCTTTGCGCCGATTATAGCAGCCGTTGTACAGTAATAAGATTGTCCCTGCAAATAGTTAATAATGTTGACCCCTCGCTACTTCAATCTTTCTCCGTCCATTGAACTAACATATGCATGAAACATGGGCAGTGGCGCCAACCATCTTTCGCTAGAGATATCGATCCGCTGCTTTCGTTCTCGCCCGGACGCCGAATTCCCAACTAGGCTCCGTTTGAATGCCACTTGTGCCGCATTTGCGACCATGTTGTAATGCGAGATCTCCACTCCTTTCGGTAGACCTGTTGTGCTGTAAGTTAGTTTGTTAGCATTCATCATGACTGCGCTTTCTCCTATACGGTAGTGTCCTACCCGCTAGAATAATTGATGACTGCGGTTGCAGATTGCGCCTGCTCCTTGGTTCTAAGTCGCCGCCAATCCCAATGATTGACTTCGTCCTCGGACGGCCATAAGCTAATCCAGGTCCTTGCATTGTACGAGCTCGTGTCACCCAATGGCGAAAAGACCAGGACTTTCGAGCGAGCCAGCCCCGCCTTGTCTGCTGCCCGAAATGCGTTGCTCAGTAGTGCAGGGTCTGCCAACAAAAGCACAGTATCAGAATCAAGCATTTGGTTTGCCAGTTCTAGCCAGTCAAGTGTTAGTTACCACCAAATTACTTCATCTTGAGTCCATGCCATACCATCAACAGAGCTCCCTGGTGAGCAGCCCGTGAAGACGCAACCCGAGGCAAGGACTCCCCAGAGCATGATGGGGAAATAAACCGAGTTTCCTGAGAAGAGCATGATCTTCTCGTTTGGCTTTAAGCCAAAGTCTTGAATTCCTTTGGCCCATCGTTTAACCCAGACCTGAGCCTGTCCTAGGCTGTAATTGACGGACGGGTTATCTGCATCGAAATATTGCGGCTCCTTACGATGTTTAATCGAATTGGAAAATATGTAAGTTGGCAGGTCGACTGTAGGTATGTGTACGTTATGCGAAGCACGGTGGATGGGAGTGCCGGACATGGTTCCTGGGTTATACTCTTTCAATGCTTCTCAGCTACTAGTAACAGAGCTATGATTAAGAGACGACGTATAGGCGCTTTTGAACAGTCATAAAGCGAGGACAGATTTAAGCCGCGGTAAACTTTGACCGCCACTACTGATTGGCAGTCGCCAATGAGGAGGAGGGTGCCATCCCTCACGTTGCAATGCGGAGAAGCGCCAGGGGTGGGACATATGACGGCAACGATCCTTCCCAGATTCGAAGTAGCCATCGGAATAAGTTTGCCGATTTACATCGACCCTGAACCTTCAACCAACAGTGTCGCATCTTTAAAGCGTGCGCCAAAAGTGCGCAAGGAATTAGCTTAGAGTTGTTGCTAGCTGCAGCCTTGGGGCAATCCGGACACTGTACATATTGACGCACATACGTACTACTGGAAAATAATCTGCTATGCCTATGATAGTATCATCCTCACGATTAACTTCTCTTAAAGAGAGCCCCAAGTCTGTCGATTGAGTGCACATTATTCAAGTCGTGAGGTTTAGGACGGGATATCCTTGCCATGGTGCTCCGACTTGTTTTGACATACTACCAAAGACAACTTTAACGACTTTGCTAGGCAATCATTCTCATGCCACCGGGTTCTAAACTTTTAATAGACTGCAAAACCACTGCGACAGGATTGTCTTGGGTGGGTGTAGCCGAAAGCAGAGACGCCTTTATAAGTTAAGCCGGCTATATACAGTTCCGCGAATTGGCCTTTCCGGACATCACAATTGTTTCAAGGTCTATCTATAATCATGGCTCAGCAAAATGAATTGATGATTATTCAATTCTGAAAAATGAAGAGGAAAATCCGCCAGCCGAGCTTATCTACAAGATCATACTTCTTCAGCTTCAGAAATCTGTTGCTTCTCCTCACGAGCCAGAGTCTCCGCCACACCAGCCAATCGCCTCTCCTCAACCAAAATGTCGGTCTTGGAGCGCCAGGTATATCCAGGACCCTGCTGCGAGAACAGAATATCCATATCCTCGAGCGACAACCCCTTTGTCTCCGGCACAAGGACGAAGACGAAAACAACACCGAAGAGAACAGCGGAACCGAAGAGGAAAAAGGTGCCGTAGGTGATGTTGGTCATCATGTACGGAGTGGAGTAGACAATTATAAACTGGCCCAGCCATTGGGCACAAGTCGTGAAGAGGAGACAGGTGGAGCGGATGGCCATTGGAAACACCTCGGCGCTATTTTTGAAAAATCATTAGCTTGGTTTACTTTATTGCCACTTGTTTTCTTAATGATTCAGCACTCACCAGAAGATCCAGGGGATTCCATTCCACGACATTGCGTAGAAGACTGCGAAGGTGTAGATCATCACGATGGCCACGTAGGCACCCGCATCCTTGCTCTCCTTGGGCGTCGCCGAGAAGGAGTGGGAGAGCTTCGTGTACGCGCCCAGGTAATACAGGGCAACCATGGCTCCCACAGACCCAATGAGCAGAGCCTTGCGGCGGCCGAGTCGGTCAATGCCCCAGACCATGAAGACGGCGGTGGCACCAGCCTTGACGATTCCGAAGATCCCTGTAGCCAGCAGGCCGATATCGGTGCCGGTGAAACCAATTGCCTGAAAAATTGACGGCGAGTAGTAATTGAGCGCATTAATGCCGGACATGTTCTGGATGAACATGAGGGTGACGCCGAGGATGAGGCGGATGCGGTTGGCAGGCAGGGCGATCTCGCGGAGCTTGCCCAGGAAGCTCTTCTTGGCCCCCATGGCGTTCTCCTCCTCGATCTGGTGGAGGATGGTGTTGATTTCCCAGTTCAGGTAGTCGTCGTCGTTGGGGAGCTGGCGGAGCCTCTGCAGGACTTTGCGCGCCTCTAGGACCCTGTCTGCGTTGAGCAGCCATCGGGGGGATTCCGGCTGGAAGAACATGCAGATGACAAGGAGAGTGCCTGGAATCAGCTGCAGCGCGAACGGAATGTGCCACTGTGAGTCAGAAGTGCCGGAGATGTGGATGTTAACACCGTAGTTGACCCAGAAACCGAAGATCATGAATGTCTGCAGGAAGATTTCGAAGATACCAATGAGGCGGCCCCTGATAGCTGGTGGACAGGACTCCGAGATGTAGACGGGCACAATCATGGATGAAGCGCCTACAGCGAGGCCTTGGGATAAATGTTAGCAAACGCGAGGGCCATTGAGCGGGCAAAGTCTCCTTCAGCCTACCTGTCAAGGCTCGCCCAGCATAAATCAGTCCAACCAGTCCAGGGGAAACCAGCTGGAGGATAGCTCCCAGGTCAAACACCACACCACAGACGATCAGAGGCCAGCGGCGCCCAATTCGGTCCGTGGCCAGGTAGCAGAGGATGACACCAAAGAAGCAGCCGGCCTGAAAGGTGCTGACAATGTTGGCCTTGAGAGCAGCAAGCTCAGTTCCGCCAGCATTGGCCAGCTTGAAGCGGCTTGCAAAGGACGGTAGAGACATGGCTCCGCCAATGAAGGCGCTGTCATAACCAAACATGGCACTTCCCATGGCCGCCGAGGCCGCGAGGGCGTAGATTCGCCAATTGTACACTGCCGCCGGGGCAGAATAAGTAGACATGTCCATCTGCTTGGGCGCCATATTGAGGACGATGGGTCAATGAACAGAATTTTCGCCAATTGGACTTCCGCCACCAACAGAGACTGAGCGAGAACGGGAAGGAAGAAAACGATTACAGGCAAGAAAGTAAAAACTGCCGGCTAGGGCTGCGCTAGAAGAATTCTTATGGCTCTGGATCGACGCGCGGATTGTCGTCCCGTTCTGCTTGAAACAGCTACTGCGCTCTTAGACGTCTCCCCAGATGATGATGCCAATGCAACCCCCCACACTTGGATTGACTTCCCGTTCTCCGGCAGCTGAGGATTCTGCATTCTCGACTTATTCACCCCACAGGACGGGCAGGTGTGAGGCCGTTGCACAGCTAGTTCGCCAGGTCAGCTCATGCTTGTCCGCCCGTAGACCAACCATGTACTCATGTTTTTTTCTGACCCTATGAGTTTTATTACCAGGCTTCCAGAGGCCTAACTTGAAAAGGATACAGGGCCCGTCTAGGAGCGCATTCGGTGGATGTATATAATGCACGGCGGGTAATGGAATCGCGTAAACAACCCACCAAGGCTCTTCCTCTTGCAAGGGAAAAAACAGGGTCACCTCCGTGAACGGACCAAGTCCCGAGGCCAAAACTCACCTTACCCTAGGACGATGTGCTAGACCGAGTGAGAAATCCACGATATGTCAACGACAACACTGCCGGAGGAATGGAGGACTGAATTGATTCTCAGTCGAAGACTTGATACTTGTCGAGGAGTTTCATGAGCTCAAATTCGTATGATGGGCCTTTCTAAGCTGGTGAGCGCGTTATGTAAGATTATCTACGTCATCGGTCACAAATTGAAACAACACCATCATGATTCGCTTGCACAGAATCAATTTAACAACTGCCACTCATTCATGTTATATTCCCCCACACGTTATTTGTGAGAGCAAGTTTCTTTATAGAGCATCGAAAACTTTATCTAGATCAAAAACCCCCTGCTCATTTACGAATTCGTCCTTCCGCCCAAAGTAATAAGGAAACACAACCTCAGCAGATGTAACCCCTGTAAGATCCGCCACAAGCTGGTGGAAATGTTGATATCGAATCCGAAAGCTGTACCACGCGTCTGACTTGCGAGGGAGGATCTCATCCTCGGTGTACGGTGGGCCACCTTCTTCTGGGTGCAGGCCGCTCTCACGGAAAGGTAACCCCGGACGGTCCCGATAGTAGTCCATCTGAATCGTCTCATCGCTGGCACTCCGATCATCCAGGATAGCAATCAGATTGGCATCGACCGCCTCGTTCTCGCGTAGCTCTTCCTGGTGGTGCAGCATCCAAGCCCTGACGTCCTCAACGGAGGCGCCGATCCACTGTGTCTCGAAGCTGCCATTGGCGTCCGGCGTCTCAAATTTCTCATCGGCTGAGGCTTCATTTCGAGACTTCGCAACCGCGAGGGCATTATCATAGCCTTCTGTGGTTTTCACATGCTTGGAAATCTTGGCAGCGAGCTGAAGGTAGTGAAACGACAGTTAGATGAGAATTTTGAAAGAGAATCGGTGGTGAATTTTTAGGAGGAGCTTACGGGCTTGGCTTCCTGTGCCGTACAGAAGAGTAAAGTCTTGCTCATTTTTATTCCTGGAGTTTGACGGTTGTTTGGTGTTTGATTGTCAGAGACAAAAAAGCTGGTGGCTGCTACCGAGAGGTAGCACGCGATAATTAAATCAGACTCAATCAAAGTGTGAGAAACTGCTTTCTCCTCTGACTCGGATTGGTGATGATGGAGGGATCACTTCGTGAAATGACCGAGATTTTTAAAGATTATAAAGAAGATAGCTCATCTGATTGGTGAATTGATAAACGAGACAGCAGTTTAAGTCGGTGTCGGCTGCAAATTCGGAATCGCCTCAGTCGCGGATCAAAAACTTTGAATGGAAGGATTAGCGCGTGAATCACGCGCAAATAATTTTCTGCTGGCGGAAGGGATAGGAACTTGGCCGAAACGCTCGTGTTTTCAAGCACTGTCCGTTGAGAAAGATGGGAGGTTGGAGAGAAATCCATTCTCCAAGTGTTTCTGCGCCTCATTAGGTCGTCTTGTGATTTATGGAGTGAAACAATTGGTGGTAAGCAAGGTGGCCCATTCACTAAGTTACCCAGCCACCTTATTGGTAGTTCAGAGGATATGGAGAAACATGATCTTATCCTCAGTCGGTAAGCATTCCTTGTCGCGATCCTACATCTGGGGATCTACAGTTTCTTTGACACACCGGCTGACTACTTAGTAAACCCTTTTGCCGTGGAATACTTCGCTCCGGCATTTTAGACAAATCTATAGGGGACTGTCCGAGCTGGTATGATACGTTCATGCTGAAGATCATGGCCACCCCCCCTTAATATTCAATGTAGTTTCCTAATCTGCAATAATGGGCATCAGCTGGAATGAGAGCCCAGGGAATTGGAATCGACTGAAGAACAGTAAATAGCTAATCATGACTTGAAAGATGAGGAATGTTGAGGTCAGACGACCATGGCTCCTGTGGATTCGAGGGACACGCAATTGTTTCGGGACTGAGCTCAATTGGTGTCGGATGACAGAATGTATAGTAGTATTGTAGTATGGTACTAACTTACGCCTGCATTAGGCTGGATGTAGACTTGTTGAAGGTTTTGAGATACATATGAACTTGTGGAATACTGGTGGCACTGGTCGAGGCTTCATCTCATCCAAGATCACGCAGCCGATGCTAAAACACCAAAAGTTCCGTTTCATCCCCCTTGAAGGGAAAGGGAACTTCCGCATACACAGGTAGTTCTCGGTCGTATCTCGCGTTTGGTCATAAGATGCATTTGAAAATGAAAGACTTGGAATGGACTGTCAGCAAGAAAGGACATATGATGGAGCTGGATGAAATATATTTAAGCTGAATCCCTTCAGTATATCATGATGCTTAGACAGATCCAACCATAACACAAAACGGCGGGTTCATTGAGTATCCATAACAAGATATTATTTATGTTACATTCTGACTCTCAAAATGGCAACTCTCTTTACACTTCTCATCCTCTCGATTATCGGCCAGGCTCTAGCCGCCCCTGTTTCCGACACTGAGAATATTGGTTTGGTTGCAGCAACGCCAACGCTCAAAGTTGACGTTAATAATTGGCAAGACATTGCTGAGCTCGACTGCTATGCTATACTATGTGATTATAACGGCGAGAAGAAATGGTAGATAACCTCTCAACAGTTTCTTCTTTTTCTTTTGTGTTCGTTGGGGATTCATTTACGGATAGCTAACTTGAATAACAGGCAAAAGGCTGTTGGTGGTGTCAAAGCTGCAGAAGATCATTACACCGAGTCTGGAGCAAAGCTTGGGCCTTTTAAAGATACCACTTTGCGAAAAACTAGCGTGATCAAGCAGGGCTTCATCAGTCCTGAGGAGTTCCCATGGCGAAGTATGGAAAAAGGTGGGACTGGAGCACGCTTGTTTCCTGTCGACGGTAAACAGCAGAGTCGTGAGTAATAATCATATTCATTGATTACTATCGAGCTTTCTACTGACCAAGGCGCTTCGTTCATCCAGGCCAAGGAGGAACTATCTCAGGAGCTTATAAAACAGCCAAAATCAAGGATGGTGATTATTTCGAACTCGAGTTCACCAATTTGTGAGTTGGCACCTCTAGTGGCCTCATTGCTTGAAGTGACGGATTTTAACACGGATCTTGATTGTGTAGTTCATCCACTAGTGTCTACTGCAAAGCGCTCTTCAAGAAAACCCCTGATAAGTCTGTGTGCAAGGACAAGAAGAAGACCGATGTGTTTGGCCAATCTATCTTCCCAGGTGATTACGACTATACAAAGGACCCGAAGAGCTCGAGCCCCATCACATTTAAGCACTAGGCAGTTGTGATGTTGAGGTGTGTTGAGTGATGTGGCAATTTGGCTATGATTGTGAGGGAATCTATCCACATCATTTACGATAAAAGGCCTTTTCAAGCCGTGTATGGCATACAAACTTCCTCAATCATATTGTCAATCTAGGCGACAAGTTGGTTCGTGGATAAGGCTGCCCAGCCTAATTTGATAGCAAACACGTTCGTTGGTCAATTATGACCCCAAAGACTTTGATATCGGTTGCCATGTGTGCTGCTTGTACTTTACTCAACTAGATGAAATTTCTTTTTGGACCTTAAGTCTATGATCTAGCCCCCTAAGTAAGGTAGATATTGCCAGCTACCCAAAGTCCAGGATTCGATGCCATTCCGCCTTATTGATGATGATCAAACTCTGATCCCAGAAGTAACGCTATGAACTTTTTCTTCTTTGAGAATTGATGGTAACAAAATGGAAGAAAGAAAACGCTGCGCTTATTTAATGGGTATTTACTCAATAGATATTTTAACAGTCACCTGAGGCAAGTCCAAGTTCGAGATCCACCACCCAAGCGATCCATAATGCGGAGCAGTTGCAACATATCCCTCTCTGCTAAGGAAACCTCATCTTTGCTAGTTCTTAAGTGTAATTCCCGACTCCATTTTCGAAAACAATTATGCCAGTTGCAATTATCACAGGCGCTGCCTCGGGTATAGGCCTAGCCCTATCTCGTCAATTCAAGGAGCAAGGCTGGAATGTGAAGCTTGCCGATGTCGATGTTGCGGGTGGCCAACGGGCAGCCGAGGAGTTGGGTGATGAAGCCTTCTTCCACACAACTGATGTGTCGAATTGGGATGATGTGGCGTCGCTGTATAAGAAGACAATTGAAAAGTTTGGCCGGATCGACTATGTTGCCGCCAATGCTGGCGTAGCAGACTTTCAAAGTCTATACGAGAAGAATGATGGGGAGCCTCAGAAGCCTGACTTGAGGACAATTGATATAGATTTGAATGGACAAATATATTGTCTGTATCTTGCCGCCCATTATTTTCGGCAAAACGGAGGGAACAGTGGGACGATCGTGTTCACAAGTTCCAACGCTGGGCTGTACAAGCTTCCGACGAATCCCCAATACGCTGCAGCCAAATATGGGGTTCGTTTGTCTTCCTGTCCGCATGACTCATAAACGACTAACTCGAGAAGTAGATCATTAGTCTTGTGAGATCTGTGGCCCCTGTATTTCAGAAAAAAATATTAGGGTGAACTGCATTTGCCCTGCTTTCGTTCCAACCGGCCTCGCACCAGACTTTTTGCTGAAGGTTATGCCGAGCGAACATCTAACGCCCATGTGTACTATAATGCGGGCATTCGACAATTTTGCAAAAGACTCCAGTCTCGTGGGAAAGGTAGCCAAGTGCTTGCAGGGCAATATATTTTATAGGGAGCAGGTGGAGTATTGCGATGAAAGCTCACGCTGGCATGGGGAAGAAAGCTCAAAGCTCTGGGAAGGGGCATACAATTAGACAAGATTCGTACGTCCTGAAATGTAAAATTGAACGAGGAGGCCAATGTGGTAGATAAACTTTCTCATCAAGCTTATTTTCTACCACCTTGGACAACGGTGCTCATGGGTCATCGCGTAATTCACCTGTGTACCGTGGATGGCGCCGAAATACGAATAAGAGGAATCAATTTTTAGGGATGGACTTGTCTCCATAGATGAATGTTTTGTATGGATGTAATAATACACTGATCAGGCTAGGGATGATCCTCTGTGCTGTGCAACATCTACCGGAATGACGACGTTCCGGCGTCTGTCAGCACCGAGATCTCTTCCCAATATGCTAGCGACATGCTTACACAATAAGCAAATCTGAGCTCAAAGTAGGAAAGTCCCCTGACCGCTTCACCTCGACCTTCTCGAACTGAGAAAAATCAGTCCGTGGGGCGGCTCAAATCTCCGAGCTCCAACGACCCAGGTGCGGGCATGATGACCAATGAAGCAACGACTATTGCACGGCAACTCGACTCCCGAGAAGCTAAACATGGGCCTATGCAACTCTCCGATCCTTGGCAAAAATCAGCGGGCAGTCGGGCTTACAATTCAAGGCCGTATTCGTATCCAATATCGCCGTGGGTGGATGGTTCGATCCGGCTCAGCGAGCTTCCGGCCGGACCCCCGCGGGCGCCGAGCCCGAACAACACAGCCATATCAATTGATATCAAGCACGCGAAAGCATCTATTATACGGCTTTCAATATTGGTTTCGTTGTCAAACAATTTGAGATTTTCTTTGGGAGTTTCATTCTCATAATCAACACTGGCCGGTATCCAAAGTCAGTTCCTTCTTTCACACAATGTCTCGTTGGTCAACGATCCTGGGGGCCGTAATTGGCTTTTTGTCGGTTGCCGTCTACTTGATTGATAGAAACTTGGAGAGCTTCTATATTTTCGACAAGCCTTACATGCATGACCTGTCAAAGAGGGCCATCTACGCTCACGGAAATGACACGGATGCTATCGTCAAATACATCGTCAGCGAGCTATACGAGAAGTATCCTTCAGCCGTGAACCCACGACACGACGACCCCTCTGAATGGATGTTCAATAACCACGGGAGCGCCATGGGCGGCATGTACATCATTCATGCTAGCCTTACTGAATACCTCATCATCTATGGCACTCCGCTCGGCACTGAGGGTCACTCTGGCCGTCACACAGCCGACGACTACTTTCACATTCTCACCGGCGAAGAGCGAGCATACGTCCCAGGAAAGTACGAGCCGGAGATCTATCCTCCTGGATCTGTACACCACCTGAAGCGCGGCACCGTCAAGCAATATAAATGCCCCGACCATTGTTTTGCTCTTGAGCTTGCAAGTGGATGGATCCCGCCAATGCTGTTTTTCGGATTTGCGGACACTTTCACAAGCACTCTGGATTTCCCTACCCTGTACCGCACTGTCGTACTCACAGCTCGAGAAATGGTTGGCAATCTTATCCGTGGGAAGATTTAGAGGAGACTATGAAACAGATCTCTTTTTGCTAGGAACCGGCAGACTGGAAATGGGAAGAGCCCGCAGCAGAGTAAAAAGTATCGGGGTAGGCCACTCTTCGAATATGGAGCTTTTTGCTTGGTAGGAATTCTTCTTTACTTAGACAACTAATTGCTATTGGTAACTGGCATAATTTATGGCCTCATATAAAAAGTCGGTCGCTAAGGCTCGAGAAATTGTGTAAATAAATGCTTATATTAGAGAGAAAAAATTTGCATGAACCCAAATTTGTCCCTAAAATTATCATACACCAGGATGGTGTCGAAAGTTCCTCCATTTCTTGTCAGAAAGTGATCGCATTCCTTAGACGACGATGATCATCAATGTCCTTTGTCATGGCTGCTATTCTTGTGCTTCACTTCGATTCCTTGTGCCTCTTCAAAGCTGGGTGGTTTCCCCTTTTGGTCAGCTGCGTCTATCGAAGTATCTGTTTCATATTCGGGTAGGGGTTCTGATTCAATGTATTCAGGCGCGGAGGCGCCGTCAATCGGTGGTTGAACTACAATATTCTGAACTCCATTGAAAGAAATAGTCTCCTGCGCAATCTCAATTTTCGCGGCCCAGTACAGCTTGTGTTTCAGAGTGATGTTGAACGTCGTAAAGTCTTGAAACACTGCACTATTTTTGCCCTCACTCTCCACCCACAAGTCAAGTGCTTGGCCGATATTTATCGCCGGCTCATCAGAGGAGAAGGGAATCTCGATAGCGGTGGCTAGACTCTGACTGGGTGTTGACAAAACCGCCTTCTCTTTCCAGCTGGTTTTACTGATTGCCCAGGAATACCCTTCGCAGAGGATGGCACAGCGCGACTCCAATGTAGCTTTGAAGTTGATCAGGCGAACCTTCTGCGGCTGGTTCTTAAGGGCTTCGTGTGTCGACGGCCAGTAAGGCACTGCTCGCATCGTGATTGAGACTGGGCGTTGATCCACATGGATTTCGTTTGGGATTTCCAGCTCCAGGTGAAATGCCAGCTCTGGCACTGAGGGCGCGCCCAGAAGCTTCTTAAATCTTTGTCCAGCAGTCAGATGAGCGTTCTCCATGCCGGGTAGAAGCCTTTGCGACGATACGGATCTCGGGATGCTCAGGAAGGAGGCCGAAGCGGGATGGGTTGGTGGATGAGAATGGGCCAGCATGCGGATGGGCATTTTTGCAGTCTCCTCGACCCATGACCGCTCTTTTTGAAACCTGATTTTGGCCTCTAGGTAGTACTCAATAAAGGCTTGGTCCGCTCCATGGAGGCTGACGAATGAAGCTGGAAGGGTCAACGTGTCGACTATTTCTGGATCTATGAATGACTCATGTGCTTTATATTTGGGTAAGAGACTGGGATCAATCTTCTGTGGTATTTCTACCGTGAATTTCCATTCTCGCCGCTTATGGCTGTCCTTGGGGATATGTAGAGGGCCAGAAAATATTTCTTGCGAAACATTGATGAGCGTGAACCGGCCGCGATAGACGACAGTGGTCTGGCCGGTGCTCACTAAAAAAATTGATTTAGTTCGTCCACGAAGTACGAGACTGATGGTTGCTTCCGTTGAAATTATTGTTTGCTGTCGGAAGATTGTGCCGGTGATGGTGCCTCCAGGGAGGAACAAGACACGCCCATCGTCTAGGTCAATGCCCAGAGTGTCCCTGGACTTTACACGAGTTTGCGGCATGTTGTAGCCAAGTCGGATCAATGTCGATTTGTTCTTAACTTGTGATAATTAGATGTCCTGATTGATGTTCCAGGGATGAGGGGAAGGGTCAGGTGACCGGTAATATCTACGGTGTGCATTGAAAGCGAGTTTTACGGCGCGTTTCACGTGTCTCTAGACTATTGGCCCTCAAGTTGCATTTTTAGCGAGGGTGTCCCTCCATCTAGCGATATCAGCAAATGGACCAGTATGAATGCCAATGGCCGAAGCGCTGAGAAGATTCAAATATTTCAAGTTGGTACGTCAATAAAGCAAATGCGCACACATACATTGTAGAATATTCAAGGGTATAGTAAACGACTTTTCCAATCTCAAACATCGGACTTCTCAGACTTTTTCCCCATACGATTTCCACAGAGAGTGAGTCAGCTCTCCTCCGAATTACAAACTGGTCCTGAACATGTTTTTGAAGATTGATTTCCTTCTTTTCGACGCAGCTGCCCTGTCGCAGCGCAGATCCCAGAGAAGCCCAACCAGGCTGGACACGATCAGGGCCTCGTCTTCAGGGTGCTCACTGCCCGCGAGAAGAAGAATACCCTCGCTGTGGCCACTGACCACAAAGTCTCCTTCGTGGCGACAGTGTTGATAGAGAGCTCGAGGCTCAGCCTCAGTGACGTCCATCGACGAGAGTGAGTCAAATAAACCATAGGTCAAGCACCCAGGTTCGAATGGGAAAGGCTTCCATTCGAGAGCCGAAGATCTGGAGATGCCGCCTTGGACGGCAAACGATGGATTTTCTGGTGCCATTTTTCTTTTGGGTTTTTCTGACTCTGAGGCGTAGTGTGCCGTCACCCGGCTTGTGCCTTGTTGACGGGGAGCCACGACACCAAGGCGGAATTCCTCTCCAAGGGTCGAAGGAAGAGACCTGGGCCATCAACAGTTAGCATCTGATATGATTTGGAACTTTACTTCACATATCAAACTGCATTCTTACATATCAACCTCTATCCCATCGCGGCCAATAGTCCGTTCTGTAATAGTGGCATTCCGTTCCAGGCAGTGAAAGTCGATCAGATATCTGACGTTACCCTCGAGCGAGTTGCCTGACGGCTTTTTCATCAACCTGATCTGGGCTTTGTATCTCGGGGAACCAATAGGAAGATCCCCCACTGACGCAGTATACTGATCCGTGATATCATAGAGAGGTAGATGGGTGGTTTTGTTGGTGTGATAGGGAATGTAGAGCGCCTTGCTCAATCCTTCGCTCTGCGTGGCAGATTCAGAGGTGTCCGAACGTGATGACGTATCGCTCCAAGAGGGTGAGGGCGCGGCTCGCATGGAGTATGAAGCGATCGGAATGATATGAACAGGAACAGCCATGATGGTTCTCTGAAGATGAGGCGGCGTGAGGCGATGCGACGAAGCGATATGAGGCCAAGAACAGATGAGCCCTCAAAGGCGGCGGCTCAGCATATTTAGTATTTTCTGGCTTGAAAACCGGAATACGGCATCCCTCAAACGAAGCCGCGATCCCAGTGGTCAGACATTATTAATAATGACGGGATGCTGAGTTCCATTGAGGAGGGGGGATGAGCCAACCTTTTTCGTATCTTCCTACAAATGCGGAGTTGCCGAAAACGGACATCCACCGCCATCACGCCAGGGATGGCCTCGTTGGCGGAAAACCAGCTATTATCTCACCGCACTAGAAGAAGCTACCTGGCTCATGGAACTTTGTGTTTATATGTGCCGTAAAAGGGCAGAAAAGGAATTACTATTAGGTGGATAGCAATGCCCGCAGCCTGCCTTTGGGTAGAACCCTCACCGTAGCGTCGCGCCTCAACGAAATGGCTTGAACTCGAGCGCCTTTGTCAAAAGGACGCGATAGTGAGCTCTACATATGGACTAGGTAGGTGGTCCCGTATTTATAACCTCCAAATGATCGTAAGAATGGTATATGTCCATCGTGGCTGCGTCAGAAAGGCTGCTCATAATACAAGTTGGACATTTCCGACGACGTAATCCAGGCAAAGTGTTGAGAAATCCTGACTCGGCTCATCGAAGGCTAGATCCACTGATATAAGTAGAAAGACACTTGAAGGGGGGGATGAGAACGAGGATGCGGACGATGTATCAAAATAAATCAAATCTTCTATAGCTTGAGCCCCTTTTCTATTGGTGCTGATGCTGCTCTCCAACAAGGAGGGATTCATCTTGCTTCAGAAGGTATCAATGACACATATGGCAAAGGGAAAAGCATGTATAGATTTTATAATCATATCTCAAATGATTCGATAGTTGCAACTGGAGGACCGGAAGTTCATGTTATTCTTCAATCTTTGCGGCCCTCACCAAGGTCAAATCTTTTGACTTGATTCACTAATTTTCACAGTCTGACAGTGTAGCCTAAACATCGCTGTGAATGGAACCACAATGGAAAAAACCACTTAAGAGAGTATTTAGTATAGGTATGACCCGCTCATACCATCATTATTGATTTGCAAACCCAACAGCTTGTGGTTGACTATCACAGAAGCGAGCTATGTTTAGAGATTTCAGACAGTATCAGAGTTCTTCATATATGTTTCTTAATCACGTAGCATTCTCTCATATTTAAAGGCAAGCGACTCTATGTGCCGATCTCCCTTTGCAAGCAACCCCGAAACTCGAAGTCGGCGCGACGACAGCTACTGCAGAGAGCAAAATCCTTCACAAAATCAAAGCCAATTAGTCAATTCTTATATCGATACCATTCTCCAAGTATTTCGTTTCATTTCGGCTGTGAACTAAATTAGTAGAAACCATGACACACGTCACTTGGGCTGATCCGAACTGCCCGACCTGTCAGGGCAACGGCACATATCAAGTCTGGAAGTATGACCTCTCTTATCCTTCATGCGCGGACTGCAATGCGAGAGGATGGAATGAGGACGGCTCGTGCGGGAATTGCTTTGAGCTGGGTTATCACATTGTGCAGCGCAGTTGGCTCGAGGAAGAGATCTGTCCCTGCCTCATGTAGCTCTCTTTTTCGACCACTGCGATTTGCAACTTTGACGCAGTGTCAAGTATGAACTACGCCGCTGTCTTGATCGGTGGATTGTGGGTTTTGGCCGCGGGCTGCTCGCGAACTATGGAGCTTGGGTTACTGATATGTGAATCACTTTGAAACTGTTGGGTTTATTGAACGAGAGGCATCATCTATTGGACGCTCGGAAAATGAGTGACTGATGTGTGAAATGGAGATGAGTAAAGGGCGATCTTCGTAACTGACTGACTAACATCTATCCGTGATTCAGTAAGCAAATACCCTCCGCCATTGATTAATTTTATTTAATCTAAAATACCTATTTTCTTCTCAGGCATAATCGCTACAATTTGCAAGGGGATAGTTCGTGCAATATGAAATCATTCTCTTTTGTGGCAACTTATGTTTCCCGTACCTCATCCGGTAGCCTCTGCTGGCACCTATTCGTTGGATATCGCAATTATACAGATGAGTTTACCAGCTATGAACGATATTCGGGAGTGTGAGGGATATTAGCGCTCATTTTGTAGTCAGCTGAAAGCTACTCTCAAAGCATACACGCGTCTGCATGCCATATTGACTTCAAGGATTGCCTACGTTATAGAACGGCTTTCAATCCAATTTATTGATTTCTAGGCGAAAGAAAATTTCAAGCTAAGTCCTAAGGTTAGATCCATCAAAGAATGAACCTTCAACCTATGTTATCCGGCAGATGTAACACGTTCCACGCTTTGGTTTCAAGACTGAATGTCATTTGGGCATCCTCTTCCAATGTAACCCTCGTAGATTCAAATTATGACGGGTTAAACCATGAAATCTTTGTGCTAGGATCAGGACTACCTTAACTGATCTCGACATGCGTTACTAGAAAACGAGACCAGAACATCCCCTAAGCTTCGGTTTGGGGTCGTAAGGTGGGTAAGGCGTCGAGGGCCTTTCTGGGGGATTGGAACTCTTGTTGAGTGACATATTGAATGTTTATATTTGTGGTAATCTCGGATTAGGAGCAGGTTGTTCAAGTATTGGCTATTGGTGGTAAGCTAGGCTGGGATTTATAATCCAAGTTGATGGAGAAGAAGTGGAATTCATTTCTAACAAGAACTTGGCCCGTGAGGATTATATAGTTGGGAGATGCTATGTGATTGCTCATATTCACTCGCGCTTGATTAATGAATGGCTACAGGCTCGCAACTTTTTGCGGTCACAAAATAGCCAGAGTGTGACGTGGCATGCATCAGCTACGTTTTTTTCAAGCAGGTGTATGAAATGCCGCCACCATGATTTAGAGCCATTTTTCAACACTGGATCTAGATTACAGATCTTGCGTGATTAACAGTCTTACACACGTTTAACACATAAAATTCTTCTTTTATCTTTCTCTTCTTTTCTTCTCACTGCATCACCTGTGCCATCATATACAGATATATGGGCAATACATATCGGCATTTCAAACTAGATCGAAAAGCTTGAAGGACTATAGTAACCTAGATTTGCCAGATAGCGCAGCACACTATGATAGAGGCCCGATGACAGAACTATGACGTAGGAGAATTGAGTATAAAGCTAAACAGCAATGGAAGATGCCAGGGCCCGATATCTCAACACTGAAAATGTGAAAGCTTAAAAAGAAATAGCGTTTTCTAACCCATTATGTAGGCATACGGAAGGAAAAGTCCGTAGCCCTCATACCGATGACTCACTTACCGTTAGGACGAGCGGCTCATCGAGCGACTATTTAAGCGACCCTCTTTCACTTGGCTTCACACTAGAACTATGACAACAACCCCGCTCCAAGGCTCTTCCCGTTACAGCATGTCTGCTACTTTTACTCTCTAGTTTCTTAATACTCAGAAAGCAAAAGCGGGAACTCCCCAAGTCACCGTCCTGCTCTGTTTGATAAATCTGCTTAGCCGGAAGAAACCCACGGAGGAAACCCACTCCAATTCCGGGTGTGTCCATCGAATCATACGATTCGCAGCATTGACCCTTCTGGTTTGGAGGCCGGATTTGTGGACCATACTACGCCGCGCATGCATATATTTGTCTGATCGAGGGCTTTCATATTGTAGCCTTTCCATCTCAATGAGTACCGACCAACAAACAATTCAGGCGAGGACTATGCAGAACGAAAGCGAACAGCGGCTAATATTGGCATTGGTCACTACGGGAGGCTTCACTCACGCAGGTAGGTATTCCAATATCCGGTTTATCAGTTTTCTTTACCCTAGAATCGGATATTGACGTCTTGTGGTTCACAATTTCAGCCCCTGTTTTAGATGTCTGCCAAGTATTGGCCAAACGTGGTCATACTGTCGATTTCGCAACCCTCGACGGTCAGGAAAATTGGGTAAAGAACTACCCGTTCATCAGAAGAGTGCATTCTCTAGGGCCTGGTCCTACAGAGAAACAGTACAGAGAGCACTGGAATAGGATGCTGAGGCATGATGCCAAGAAAGGGGTGGGAAGCGAGATGTGGGAGTCAAAATATCTCTTGGATTCCGTCTTCCCTGTAACTTATAAAGGCCTGAGAAAAGTCTGTGTCAATCCAGAAACACGACCATCCTTCATAATTGCAGACTTCTTCGCCGAATTGGCTGCAAAAGACATGATGGCTGAGCTTGGCATCCCAATTGCTCTCATATGGCCGCAAATGCCTTTTTTGCTGGCACCTGCTTCATACATCCCCGGCCAACCAGGCTTTCAGGCTGTCATCTCGACAACATCGGAGCATGCGTCACTACTGTCTCGATTGAAAAATGAATTAGTCATGGTGTGCGCGATACCAAGCTTCCTGGTCTGGCTTCGGTGGTTGACTGCTCTTCGGAAGAAAGCAGGCGTTCGTTATCCCAGCCCTATACAGCTCACTGCTAGCTCACGGCCTGTTTGCCTCGTCCTTGTCAACTCTTTCTTTGGTCTTGAAACTCCCAAAGACCTCCCGCCTCTTATGTCTCCCGTTGGACCCATTCTTGCGGATGAATTTCCGGCCTTGGATCAGCCTCACGGTTCCTTCCTCGACTCTCATGGCCGCACGGCCTATGTTGCGCTAGGGACTCATATTAACCTCACACAGGACATATTTGACAAACTGTTCAGTGGTCTGGTACAATCCCTTAGCCTAGGTCATATTGATGGCATTATTTGGTCCTTGCCCGCACTGACAAGGGAAAATTTGGATCGTGAACAGCAACTGGAAGTCGACGGAGACTTGTTCAGCCTGGGTGACCTGCTTGATAACAAGGCGAGCTCTGTGTTCTTCCCTACATACTCGCCGCAAAGGGCGGTACTGGATCACAAGAACACTGCTATTTTCGTCACACACGCTGGCGGATCCTCCGCCAATGAAGTTGCTTATCATGGCAAGCCAGCTCTGGTCATCCCATTCATGTTTGATCAACTATGCAACGCAGTTCGACTTGAAGAAGCTGGAATAGGCCTACGTCTCGACAAATTTGACTTCACGCAGGAAGAGGTTACCTGGAGAATCGCCCTTATAACAGAAGACGAGGATGGTACTTTTGCTCGGAATGTTCTCCGCCTACGACGGATAGCTCGTGTCGCCGCAAGACGCAAGCACTTGGCCGCCGATCTAGTCGAAGAAGTCTTATACGATGATGAGCTCCGGCGAGGCAACAAAAAGGGGGTGGCAAGCCGACCAATGCATTTAGAGACCGCTGATGTGCGACTATCGTGGTTCAAGAAAACCAATTGGGATCTGTACTTGTTCACTTTTGGCACCTTCGTGGGACTTCCTTTGGCAAGCGCCTATGGCATTTATCGTTTCATCAAGGGAACGGGAATGCGGGAATTTACGGGGCTTCTTCCTCGCGTATTATTGAGAGGAAGAGATTCAATTTCCTCAGTAATCTTCCAAAAATAGTAGAAGACTGGTCTCAGATATTAACACGAAAACAGAAAATACAGTCAGACAGAAAATATAGTTAGACAAGATTCTGTAGGATTGTACGATTTTACGAAGTGGCGCTACGCAAACTCGTACGGATGGGAGGCATGTTCATTGCTAAAAGAAGCATACAGTGTAACGGAGAATTCAAAAGTGAAGCAAAGTACCTATTACTTGAGAATATGAAAGGGTCGGGGCAAATGAGTTGGAATTATCTGAATTGATTATCAACGGACAGGAGTGATCTGTGCCTAACCTTACGGCCTTTGTAGAATACTTACTGCTTCAAGGAGATCTTGTATACAAATGTAATTGCTGAAGACTTAGACAAGAGGCTTCTGAGACTTACCTTGCCAGGATTTACCCATTTTCTTGCCTAACTTCAATGACTCACATCCTGGTCGAAACTAATCCTGTTTTATTTGTAAATGGTTTATCTAGGTCGCAACTGCTGAGAGGTTGCTCTTTGCTTTGATTTAACGGGAGAATGTAGGGACACCTAAATTCAGTTTAAGTAGTTTTATTATGAAAGTCTACATAGTATTTATTAGTTTATCTTCATCTCTAAATTCCTACTTCGCATGCCAAAAGATGTAGCCGACACGAACATGGCTACATCCTTGCGACTCGACATTGGCAAGTTTCCCTACACAAGACGCGTGGATGATTGGGATGAATCTCAGAGCCCCACTACAGAGGACTAATTCTACGCAGAGCACAAGTATCTCGTACAAATAAGAGGGTCGACAGTGACGGGAGAGTCGTCGCGTGATGTCGCAAAGAATCTCGCACGCGTAATTCCTTTAGATGTGGCTAGGGGATGGGAACCCAGAGCGATGAAGTTGGCCTCGCCGCTTGTACTTAGCAACCTTGAATGTATGGGTTACCTAGCCATCAAATCCTACCTGAATATGATCTCCAACCGTGGAACACACCCCGGGCGAGCCTCTTCTATGAGGGGAAGGTGATGAGTGGTATGTATGTCGCCAGCTAAGAAGCCTCTCGCCATTAAGCTACTGTGTATTGAGGCTATACTTTGAGCTCGCTATCAGCGACAATGTTCCTAGCCTCGTGTATCACTAGTTGGTGACAAAGAATGTCAAACATCTATAGCAGTGGCTCTTGATGCTCAAAGCAAAAGTACATACCGACCGGAATATTCGGTCCCGGCCATTGATTCCGTGGTCATTTAGGAGGATTCCAGTCCCATCGGAAATGAAACCTACCGATGCAGCGTATATTGATTTTCATTCGTTCAGGGAAGAATTGCCGCAAGGATTGTTCCTCTAGTGATGCCCACTTCGGGCGGACTTTGTTTCCATTATATTGAGAAGAAAGAAACGGAAATTGACAAAGAAGGAGATGAATAAATAAATAAATAAATCACTTTGAAGCGCAGATTAACTTATGCCCCTTACTACCAGCTTCAGAGAATGGAATCAAGAGACAGCTGAAAGTCTCAGATAACAGTACTCACTAAACCGATGAGCTGTTGTTACCACTTGTTGCATTTGAGCAAGTTTCAGGAGAAGGGCGTTTCCTTAGTCACTGGTGGCAATGTCCGCAGTGAATCGCAGCCGCATGTACCTGCATCATCTTCGCAAGACTAGCTGTGATTGGGTTAATTCCAGCTACACAGGCAATGCACGTGGCTCCAGTCGTGGTTGTTTGCAGAAGCTGATGATGATGGGATGGATGCCCCACGCGGGAATTACCACCTACCGGGCGGCTGCCTGTCAAATCCTTGGCCAAATAGAGCAAGAGTCTCGGATCATGAAGAACAAAGTGAGGGTGAGGGTTGTTATCACGTAAGAGCCGAGCCCAAATCTTTGATATGGGCTGAAGAATCCCAGGTGTCTCCAATAAATAGGGGCTTGCGCGGCCTTAACCAGCCAATGTCTTCCGCGGCCGATGTTTCAACCCTTGAGCCCGTGCCTCTCGTCCAGTCTGAGCCTTATTGTTCCCCCCCTTACACGAGTCACCAGTGGCCCAATGGGGCGCCATCCGCGCCCAGTAGTACGCCGATCTTCCCAGCCTTGAATACTCACTCAATCGATTGATCGTGGCATCAGATTCCAGGACATGGGCTCTATTTTTGTCCCACTTGTGTCATGTCAGTGGGGCTATGGGCTGTTTGGGGAAGATACATCGTTCTCCAGTCAATCAGATCGCTGGTTCGGATGAGTGTAATGTTGTCGTGAGTCCTGCTGACGCTGCAGTCTGTGAAGTCCCTGGTCCCTCCCTCTCATCCCCCCTGTCACCCGTTGTCCTGCGCAGGTTTCCTGTTTCGAACTGGTGAGACAACTCGATGATTCGATTCAAGGAGTAAGCCAGCCGGCAATACAGTTGTCGGGCGGGCATATATATCATGTTCATCAGCTTCTTCCAAGGGTGCTCATCAACCATATCGACAACCACAGTTCGTTCATCCAGCCAATCCTTCAACATGGTCGCTACCACACTTTTCGTTCTTGCTGCTGCCAGCCTCGTTAGCCTCTCCCAGGCAACTCCACTCGAGCCCCGAGCTGTTTCTTACAAGACATACAAGGGCGACGGCACTGTCGCGAAGGGCTGGCCCAACACCTCCGACTGGGCTAGCTTTGACACCATGTACATTGACTCATCACTCATTACCATATTGGAGAAAAACTCTAACCTAATGTCATCAGTTGGGACGTTAACATCCCTCAATCCGCTGGTGCTTGCAAATGGCTAGGACTTACCCCCAACAGCGATGCTGAGAATACTGTGCTCAAGGCTGCCATCAAGCAGGCTGCATCCGACTCCGGTCTCGACGCCAGGTTCATCCTCGCCGCCGTTGTCCAGGAATCAGCTATGTGCGTGCGTGTCAAGACTTCCTACTCCTCCACTCAAGGGTACCGAAACCCAGGTCTTCTGCAGTGCTTCAACGGTGACCACACTTGCAACGACGTCGATGCCGGCATCCCTCAACTGGTTCCCTGCCCTGATGCTCAGATCAAGGGTAAGCTTCTTCGATCTCTCCATTCTCACAACCTACTCCAACCAGTTACTAAATGTGCCTATATCTAAAGGAATGATCACCGATGGTGTCGGCCTCACCACCAGCGACGGTCTTAAGCAAACTGTAGCACGAAGCGGCGCTAGCGATGTCAGCAAATACTACAAGGGAGCTCTTCTCTACAACTCTGGTGTCATGCCATCGTCTGGTAACCTGGGCCAGGGCCGCTCCAACCCTTGCTACTCCAGCGATATTGCCAACCGCCTGATGGGCTGGGTCGCCGACTCTTCGCCTTGTGACAGGAGCACCGTTGGTAACTAAAAATTACTGGATAAGGCATGGTTTGGCGGCAATGTCAAGGATGGTTGATATTACTCTTTGAAATCTTGTACATTATCGCTTACCCTATATCCGAGCGAGTACTCTCACTCAATGAGATGGTTTAGGTCGACATTACAGAAAATAGAACTTATGATTTACGAGTCATTTGTAATGCTCTACAATGTAGTGAACCTCTTCGAGGGATCGCTCAGAATTTTCAGAACTCGAGCTGATTATTGATGGGTTTCGCCTCTTGTTCCATTTTCTACTTCAGAGATAACAGGATCATCGGTTGCTGTAATAAATCACTTAAACATGTTGACATTTGACATCATAATGTTCCTTGAGTTGGCTTATCGCACTGCCTTTCTATTACAATCTAGATATTCCTACAACTCAATACACAGGATAACACCAGAGATCCTACCCCTCGTGGTTAGGCTGTCCGGGACCGAATGCCGTAGACATATATAATAACTACAATGGAGAGAATCTAAACTATAGTAACTAAATCAAGCCTTGGGAATCTGAAGAAGTACATGCGATGCCAAGGCGTGGAGACTGGCCGATTGAGTAATAGTTGTGAGTGCCAGCTCCACGGAAGTTTCCCTGCGAATCCAATTGCGCAACTCGACAGAAACGAGAGAGTCCAGGCCGTGAGATGCCAGAGGGGCATCGGGCTCAATCTCGCTACGCTCGATCATGGTCATGGCGGAAACCTTAGTGATCAGGGCTTCAGTTAAGCCAACCAGCGGGTCGGAAGCTGATGTCCATGAGGCGGTGTGATCAACACCCGTGCCGCCTGCCGCATTCTGATCATCTGCACCGGCAGCAAGACGAGCCTTGATATGAACAGGATGGAAGTACGTCCATGGAAGATCTTCAATGGACTGACCGTTCAAAGCCATCTTAAATGCAGTTGCCTTGCCGTTCGTGTAGATGGGCGATGTGGCCTGGCCTTGGATGGCACTCTTGACCATGGCGAAGATATCGGACATCCTCAATGTCGCACCAAGAGTTGCCTTGAGCCTGTCCGTAAGCTCATTTGAGGCGACATAACCGACATCAAGGACTACCGGAAGGGCGATGGAGACGGTGTTCTGCCCTCGGGCGTTTCGGTACCGGGCAAAAGATTCATAGAATGCCTTGACAAAGGATTAGCCTGACTTTCTCGGAGTTTTATCTTGTCAATTTACTCACAGCAGTTCCTCCGTAAATACTCTGACCAATGTTACCTGTATCTCCCAAGAATGAAGACAGACCGATAAAGAAGTCAAGATCAGGTAGCAGATCGTTGAGGTTCCATGCACCTTGGATACGTGGACCAGTGACGATCTTCCAGTCTTCATACGTGGCATTTTCAAGCAATTTGTCCTATTCTAGAGTTAGTGATTCTGCATCCAAGTGAGATATATCATGGTAAGAACTTACGCTCAGGATAAGAGCACCGTGAACAACACCTTTGACTGGTGGGAGGTCTTTGATTGATTCCACAACTTGGATAAGGTCGGATTTAGAGCCAACATCACACGCATAAGCCCTGACAGTCACATCAGTGCCGTCGTATTTCTCCAACAGCTTCTGAACCTCGGGCCCAGAACCACCGCTTCGACCTAGGGCGATGATGTTCTTGGCTCCATTTTCGATCAGCCAATATGCAAGTGACAAACCGATACCACGAGTTCCTCCTGTGATCAGGTATGTGGCATCAGACTTCAATGGCACTGGTGTAGGCTGCAGAGCGCTCTCCGCAAGGACTGATTCATCCTTGCCTAGAGTCACAACAATCTTTCCCATGTGGTCACCAGATCTGAGTTTTCGAAGACCACTTGGGAGGTCAGAGGCGGGAACAAGTGTCACCGGGCCGATAGGCTTAATGATGTTGCGATTGAGAAGAGTCACAAGATCAGCGAACACCTCCTTCAGCTCCTCTGGCCTATGCTTGTAAAGTTCACGCAGGTCGACACCGCTATATGTGACATTGTTGTCAAATGGCCTCATTGGAAGAGTGCTGTTCTGGAAAGCATCTTTCTTTCCGATGTCGATAAATCGCCCAAAGCTGGCGGCCAGTGCCCATGTCTCAAGCATGAACTCGCCACTTAGAGAGTTAACAATGACATCAACTCCCTTGTCTTTCGTAGCGCACATAATGCTATCGCGGAATTGAGTGGTGCGACTAGAGAAAATTTGTTCTTTAGGAATGCCAAATGTCTCATGTAGGAATTCTCGCTTCGACTCAGTACCGGCAGTAGCGAAGATTCGAGCCCCGAGGTGCTTGGCAAGGACAACACATGCCTGACCAACTGCGCCTGCAGCAGCGTGAATGAGAACAGTTTCATCCTTTCGCAGACGGCCGATGCGAAGAAGGGCAAGGATGGCAATCGAGTACGCCATCGGCAAGCCTGCGGCGTCGGTCTTGCTCAGTCCAACAGGGACTTTGGCCACATGCGCTGCTGGGAGTTTGTTATGGGTAGCGAAGGCGCTCTTCTCCAGCGAAAGATAGAAAACACTGTCACCCGGCTGGAGACTGGAAACCTTGGAGCCAGTTTTGATAATCTTTCCAGCGCCGTCATATCCTGGAGGTGCCCAAGGGATATAGCCAAAGATAATATTAAGGTCACGGTAGCTCAAGCCGGCAGCCTCAGCTTCAACCAAGACCTCATTGTCACCTAGAGGCTCGTTTAGGACATTGGTTCGGTGGTAATACAAAGAGTCAGGGCTACCGGCAGCCTCGATTGTTAATTCAAGTGATGAATCGGGTTGCCACATCTTCTGCACTGTTTTGACAGAGACTCCTTGTTCGACTGCAAACTTCTCCTTCACCTCTCTCAGCTGCTTCATACGAGGAAGGTGGATCGAGTTCTTATGCCACGTAAAGTCTTGGTCCTCGCCCTCGAAGATCTCGGGATCTTGCATGATCTTCGCCAGCTTGACGATACCAGGTAGACTTTGAGCCACAAGAGGGACGTCTTCAAACAGCAGCATATGCTTGGTTTGATCCTCCAGGCGCAAAGTGTGGAGCAAGCCGCGAATGATTCTAGATTCGGGGGCACCACCTTCAGGGACAACCCACATCAGACCTTTGTTGCGGAGCAGCATGGTCTTGAGAAGGTCAAAGGTCTCTTCTGTGACATCCTCAAGCAGTGTATGTTTGGGGGAGTCTATGAAGATGTAGAATGGATCATCGACGGAGTCCACCTCAGCAAATGGTTTCAGGGAGACAGAAGCATCGAATTGGTCAGAGATAGAATCGGCCACGGACTGGGCAAACTCCACCTCTTCCTCGTCAATGAACGGGCCGCAGATGGTGATCTGTGGTGTATCATCCCGCTTTCCAATTCTTGTGGAGCTGAGGACACTAATCATTTGGTTTGGCGAGCCAGGATAGTCTTGAATTGCGGTGTCAACTCCTGAAAACCCGACGTCAATTAAGACACGATTCCAGTTCTCCACGGTAAGTAGAGGACCTTCCTCCTGGTCACGGTATTCGTCTATTGCGTACCACCATCCTGGGAGAAGAGCAAATGGCAAGGTTGGGGGAGGATGTCGGTTTGCCTCGAGAAGGACGACCATACCTTTAGGCCGCAGAAGGCTCCTGACATTGGTCATCGTCTCCCTCATGTCTGCTGTAGCATGCAGCACATTGGAGGCGATGACAATATCGTAGTCCTGAAGTTTGAATCCCTGCTTCACAGGGTCCTGGCTAATATCAAGCTTCTTATAGATAATTTTGTTGCCCCATTTGGACAACTTGTCACGCGCATTTTCGAAGAAACCAGCCGAAATATCAGTGAAAGTCCAGCTGAGAAATGCGCCTTCTTCATTGTTACGTGAAAGGGCATTCATTACGTGGAGTGTTGTGCCGGCAGTTCCCGCACCGATTTCAAGAATGCGCAGATTGGGCTCAAGGTCCGAGACATTAAGAACTAAATCACCAATCACCTTACTGAAGTGCTCATTGGATGAATCGGCTTCGTAATGCCTGGTGAGCAGACCGTCCTTGAGCATAATTTCAAGGGGCTGGATTTCTCCTCGTAGAATTGGCACAAGATTTTCACCAATCTTACATAGCAATTCGCCCTGGGCGTCTTCATTCATGACTTCCTCCAGCAATGCTGTTGGCTTGACACTGAGATCATAGCTCTCTCGAGCAATTGCTTTCGCTGCCCACTTAACAAAACGAGCAAGATGAGGAGGAAGACCTGAGAAGTCATCGTTGGCAGTGACTTTTAGAGCCTGATCAATGTAGTAACTAGCGACGTGACCCAACTTTTGGCCGCGAATGAGTGCAGTGTTACCAATATCACCAACAGTGAGACTCTTCATCAGCTCTTCCGGTGAGAGGAAGTCAAACCGGGGAACCAGCTCCCAGCACCAATTCTCGGGGATTTCAGTAAACTCGTCATCATCCTCGGCTGACGATATCGCACGGAATGAAAGAGACTCCCACTCAGCCACGGGAGTAAGAGAGCCATCAGCACCTTTAGCAAAGGCAGCAACGCTGATCTGCATACGGCCGCCCTTGTTATCGTTGTTCAACATACGAGTGACAATAGTATATTTTTGCTTGTCCTCGGAAGGCATTGAGTTTGAAACACGCAGGCGGCTAAAATAATTTGGCATCTGGGCGCGCCGCTTGCCCTCAACTTCCTGAAGAGATCCGCCACCCTGCAAGAACCCGTCAAGCGTAGGAGGATCAACAGCGGCAGGTGACCCGTATGAATTAGGCTCAATGCCATCACGTAGCTGTTGTTCAATAACTGTGAATCCTTTACCTTCAAAGAATTTAACGGTATTGCGGAACGTCGGGCCGTAGTTTGTGCCACGAACCCCAGCAGTAGCATAAGCCCAGGCAATATCGTGCTCAATTAAGCCTGGAGTATCAACGAGAGCGAGCGAGTCCTTCATAGTTGGGCTCTCGGAAGTCATCTCAGCAGTTTCAACCTCAATGCGGCCATAGCAGTGAATGGTCCAGCCACCTGCTTCAGTCCAAGTTGAAATATCAAATGTCCAGGCAGTTGTTGAGAACGTGCCGGGGCCTGTAGAAACGGGCTTCAACTTCGTTGCTATGTCGACTGACTGCTCCTCTTGGACTTCTAAACTACGGACGGCGTGGAAATCTCTGATGACAAACGCGCCGGGCTTTGTCACAGCATTTCTCCTTGCCGCTTCAATAATGCACGACAGGTAGCCCGTCATGGGGAAGATGACGGTTCCTGCCACACCGTGGTCTCGAATCCACGGAAGCTCATCCAGGGTGAAGACTTGTCGATATGTGCGCTCATTACTTCCTGATGTATTGGCTCTACGCCCAAGAATAGGATGATATGGGTCTCCTGGGAAGAGAATCTCGTTGACCATACGAGGTCTGAGCTCATAATGTGTTGAGTGATCCCAGCAGTATGCGGGCAGCTCAGTGAGCACCTCGGCATTATTTATGTCGGTTTGATTCACACCTCCAAGGTAAATCTTAGCCCCAAGTGTGAAAAGATCGCTCGCAAGGGCGAGCAATGTATCTTCGGCCCCTGATCCACGGACCAGAGATGGAAGGTAGTTGAATACCATCTTTTTCCCTTGATTACTGACCTGGCGCACAAGGTCCACCGTCTGATTAATCGGGCCTTTGAGAGCAGAATGGGGTCCAATCTCGACAAGTAGGTTAGGTTGAACCTGGCCAGTCCCTATCTTACTCTCTGAACTCGTCAGAAGTGACTGAAGAGCATCCGAGAATTTCACAGGTTGAACTAAATTCTTGACCCAGTACGAAGCATCCACAAATTCGGGTTCCACCAGATGGCCAACGACCGAGGAAAAGAATTGGGGGAGTTGATCCTCCTTTCCTACCAAGGTCGTATTGTCCAAGTAGAACGGAGTGATGGCGTCAAGATAAGAATCAGCCACGGCTTGCATGTGCCGAGAGTGGTAGGCCAGTTCGATCTTGAGCTTTCTGTTGAAGATACCATCCTTCTCCGCGGCCTGTTGAATCTTGTTGATCGCCGATTCATCACCGGAGACAGTGACACTCTGAGGACTATTGATTGCTCCCACCGTGGCATAGGCGCCATCAGCATGCTTCTCAATGAGCGCAGAGGCATCATCAAAACCAACCCCAAGAGCCAACATGGCTCCCTTCTGGGTTTGTTGACTGATGAGCTTGGCTGCGGCTTGTCCACGGAAAAAGGCCAGCGCAATGGCGGTCTTGAAGTTGACGAGGCCGGCCGAGTATGCAGCACCAATTTCACCACTTGAATGGCCAGTGACTCTGGATGGCTTGACGCTCCAGCTGGTGAGAAGAGCCACTAAGGCCAACTGGACAGCAGTGCAAGCTGGCTGACTGATTTCAGCGCTATTGATTCGAGACTCAGCTGCTGGCTTAGACAATTCCTCGTTCAAGGACCATGTCGCTCCCATTGACTTGAGATGGTCTTCTGCCTTATCAAGAGCCTCAGAGAAAACTTTATAATGCCGGAGACCAGAAGCCATTTGGGCATGCCTAGTACCAAATTAGCCACATGGCAAAGCATATTTTGGAGTGCGCCGATGAAACTCACTGGGCTCCTTGTCCCGTAAACACGAACGCAATGGTTTTGTCTCTCGCTCTGATTGGCTTGGCCGATGCGACCTTGTCTTGGAGATCTTCAACAGAATCTGCAATAACAGCGGCGCGATGAGCATGATGCGAACGGCGTTGGCCAAGAGTGTAACTAAGGTTCTTGATAAATTCGCCAGATTCGGGAACTTCCGCAAGGTAGCTCTCGAATGAAGTCAGGTAGTCCGTTAGACTTTGTTTTGTTTTAGCAGAGAAGACAAATAGACGACGAAGGGGGTTCTCAGGTGTAGCAACGCCGTTTCCATTGAGCTGCGTTCCATTAGTGCCGTTCGTCACATGCTCAGGGGCTGCCTCAAGCAAGACGGCCGCATTACTGCCACCAAATCCTATGGGAAAAGGTTAGGTTTCATTCATAATCTACAAGCAAGACATCTGGACTTACCAAAGTTGGTCACAAGAACTCTTCTCTTCTCGCTCTCAGGCCATGGAATGGGCAGTTGTGCTACAACAATCTTCTCCTTCCCTGGGATCCGGTGGTTGATCTTTTCGAACCCTGCAGTGGGCAAAATGACCTTATTCTTAAGCATGTATATTGCCTTGACAATACCGACAATGCCACTTGCACCTTCGAGATGCCTACGAATATGTCAGTTCAACAGATAGCGCGATGATTTGTTGATGATGAACCTACCCGAAGTTTGATTTCACAGATCCAATGTACAATGGATTTTCCTCAGTTCGGTTCTTGCCAAGAACTGCTGCAAAGGCTCCAGCCTCGATTGGATCACTAATGTTGTAAGAAAGGATTCAATAATGTTCTGTCAGATGCTTCACTTACCCGGCTGCAGTACCAGTCCCGTGTCCCTATTTCAACAACATGTTAGTATCTTAGTTGGCCTTAGGACATTTGTCGAAGGATATTACCTCAACTACGGGAGTTTCATCTGGGCTCAGGCCAACAGCGTCATGAACTCTCCTAAGGAGGATCTCGTGTGCCATTCTCCTGGGCATAGTGATACCCTCAGACCTTCCACCGTGGTTACAGGCAGAACTCCGAATCATAGCATGGATTGGGTCACCTGCACTGATGGCATCATCGAGCCGCTTGATAAGTAGACAAGCACCACCCTCTCCACGTCCAAACCCTGAGGCTTTGTGATCGTACGAGTAGCATCTGCCATGATCTGAAAGAGCGCTGTTTCGAAATTAGTAATTGAACGAGAGAAGCACCCTGTGGTGGTGATGGAGAAGGATTTGTATCTTACCCAGTTTTTTCAAGGGAAATCCAAGAGTTAGGGGCCATGAACAGAGTTGATCCGCCAACAAATGCAGCATCGCAGTCTCCATTACGCACACCTTGGCAAGCCTGGTGGATAGCATAAGCACTGCTTGCACAGGCTGCTTCGGCACCAATACTAGGGCCATGAATGTCGAAGAAATAGGACAATCGATTCGCAAACATACAAGGCGCGATACCGGTGGCCGAGAATGTCGTGGCAGCAAAGACATCCCCGAACAGACGGTTGGCATATTCCATTGCTCCAAGAGCAACGTACGAACCAATGTTCTTGCCAGCAAGATCAAGCAGGCTGTAGCCTGCGTTCTCGGATGCTTCTAGAGCGCATTCAAGTAGCATACGGTGCTGAGGGTCGGCATTCTTAGCCTCTTCCGCCCTCATATTGAAGAAGGCGGCGTCAAAGTTGTAGATGTCCTCAGAGAGTAGGTGACCACCCTCGGACTTCAGACAGCCAGCCTTGTCAGCACCAGGGCGAAAGTATGCGTCGTGCTGGAAGCGATCACCAGGGATCTTTGTCCATGCTGATCGAGCTTCAGAGAGGTAATCCCATAGGCCTTTTCTCCCGATGCCAGGAGCGCGGTATGCGAGACCCACGATGGCGATGGGGGTATCTTGAGCCATGGTTGCTTCTTGAGTGTAAAATTCAGGACATGAAGGATTTATGAGAGAGCTTAGAGGTTTGGAAATTTGAAGTACAGACTTGGGAGCACTCTGTGATTAAATAGTCAAACACTTTAAGATGGGAGGATGGACGAAGTCCACGTATCTCGACTTTCCTTTGTCATTGTTGATCGATATAGCTTCGTAGACTCGTCTATCAAAAGTCCCGCTCCCCCAACCTCCTTCCCATTCTCCGGCTACACCATGGGTGCCATCTAGCACCTCAAGTTGATCAACCCCGCACTTTCCCAGCAGCACAATGAACACTCCGTCTTACGAAAGGGAACTGATGCGTTGGCTTGGGGTGCATGCTTATCTCTCTCAGTTGCGTGCGTTTCTCACCTCACTTTCAGCATGGAACTCATGTAGCTAGTACGTAACGTACGACAGTATATGCCTACACAATCGGGCTAGTAGCAGGAAGCAAGTGTCGACTCATATTCGCATCCGTCAAGTTAACCAACCACATCAAGTACAGTTATCTCTACTCTGAAGTTATCACGTTGGTTTGTTGCGGCAAGGAATAGCTTCATCGACCAGATCTTTATCTATCTAGGGCTGATTACACTAGTTGAGAACCTAATCACCCAACATTGCCAACCGGTTCAGACGGGTTTAGCGGCACTGGATTACTTGCAGATGGCAGAATCTTTGAATAACCGCTAGTATTTGATTGGCCATACAGATAGTCCGAGATATCACATCCTACCGATACCCTGCGCTATAACGAGAGCCTGCATACATTTTGAAGGACACGGGTCTTAATAGCGCTTCCGGAAAGAGGTTTCTGTGGCGAATAACCGATTACTACCCTATCTATGCTTGAAATTTGCTGGGGTGACGGAAGAGAAGCATATGGGTGGTCAGATATTTGTTATTAACTCAAGTCGATGCACCATTAGGACATCCTACATGAGTGGGTGTTGTATCTGCAAGCACAGAGGACACGAACAAAACATGCTTGTGCGTCATTACAGAAAGGGCATGCTAACTACCTGCCTAATAATCTGCATGTACTATTTGAAGAATTAGCTAGAGTAAGATATAAGTCTCCATTTCTGGAAACCACATCGTCTCCTATAACTTATTTCTCTGCTAGATAACAATTGTCGATGAAGAAGGTGCTCGGCATTCGGCAGAGATGAGACAATCTTACTTGCTGCAAATAGGTGGGTTGTTTTGGCGAGTGATCTCAAAGATACGAACCCTGTTGAGTCCAGAGCCTCGTCGGCAAAATGGACAAAAGTGATATCAAAATTAAGTTTGTCTTGGCGTATACTATCGTTTAGAGCAGTTCGTGAAAGCCCCTGAGTGGTTCGGATGATGGAGCAAGCCCTCCCGTATCAGCCACATTTATCTTACATGCGTCCGGGAGTGCCATATGAAGAGTGCCATAGGATGGAAATGGAAGATCCCAACCTACTTGTGCCCCCGCCATTCCATTTGGTGTGTAGTAGTTGGTCACTCATTCTCTTTAGCATTCCACACCCAGCTCGCTAATTGCTTACCCATCTTATGCACTTGCTGAAGTGGTTCATGGCATCTTATCTCCACAGCAGATGAGGGGTATTGTCTTGTAAATATCAGCTTGTACAAGGTATGAAAGATTACGAATCAGATACTAGTTATGATGGCCACCTAGAGCTGCAGATACTCTCGAAGCGAGTGTCACCTCATGGACAGTTCATCAGATATTCCCATTCAAGTTAATTGGGTGTCGGTGGCGAGGTGACATTAACCAAATACTACGCATTATATCATCGGAGGCCAACCAACATAGCGTTCTATCTCGGACACGTGTTCCATACTTCATCCGAAATCTGGCAGGTCACTATCTCTACTTGGAGAGAATGGTAGCTTTCCAATCACCAGCCTTACACGGAGGGCGTGTATAGATTGAAAAGGAAAAAAAGACCAACAGTCGAGGAACGCGTCGTTTGCGTCGGGTTTAACCCATGTACATACGATGGCCAAGGTGGTGTTACACCAATTCAACGAAGAGACAGACAACCTATTAGACAGCAATATTTTGGAGATCACCCGGCAATTAACAGTAATACGAAGGCTATCCGGGGGAAAATCACTCCGGTACACCCTCATCACAAAGTAACGGCCCTAGTTGGGCTTTCGCTATCTTACTAGCCTCCTGAACGAATAATCCTTACAGTAACTCGGAAGTCCGAGGTCGGCTCAGGTACTCCGTGTACTTCCGCAATTTCTTACTGTACAGCACGGTAACAGCTTGAGTGCCATTTCGGAATCCATGCAATGGGAAGCGTAAACTATCCTCATCAAAGGTCTAATCAATTTTGCGCGTAATTGAGTCAAAGACAATAATTTCTAAGTTTCAAGATCATAAATTCTAGCACTTAATCACTCAAAGCGTACAATGATGAAGAATTACATGTCCCATGAAACTACGTATCGACACATGGTTGGCCTGTCGTCTTAAAACTGGGAAGCGTAACGCAACATAAGAATACAAAATTCATTCGCGATATTGTAGTGTAATTCCATAGCCTCTCTCCAAAACTCTAAATTAGATCAAAAAGATAAACAAGGACGAATAGTTCAGTGCCGTCAACGGCGATTTGTCTTGAGCCATGAACGCACGGCGCCACGGTTCAACCTGAACGACCCTGTGCGCGGTAACTTCTCAACCACAACCCAAATATCAGGCACTTTGCTACACAGGGTATTATGTTCTGCATATTGTCGTATGATGTTGATACGCGAGTTGACAACGCCACAATATGCCTCTGAAAGCTCTTGAAGCACTTTTTGATTGGGAAGTTCAGGGTCTACAAGAGATAGAATGGCAACGAGTTGTGTGCGGCCCGCTGCAATTTTGACACATGTGACAATGTCCTGAACTTCAGGGCATGCAAGAAGAAGACTTTCTAACTCTTCGAGTTGAATAGTATGAGGACCAAGTTTAGTCGCGTTTTCTTTTTTCCCGATGAACACGATGGTCCCATCCGCGGCATATTTCCCAAGGTCGCCCGTGCGGAGGAAACGGCCGGACTTTCTCCCAAAGTCGGATGCCCATTTTGGGGGAAGGATGAATGATGCTTTCGTCTTGCTGTCGCTGTTTGAATACCCTCTGGCTACAGAGGGGCCTTCGATCAAAAGCTCACCGATGCTTCCAATAGTGGCAAGCTCGTCAGGGTTACTAGTATTCACTATCCAAACGGCACATCCGACTGGCCTCCCAATGTTTCCAGAGCAGGGAGAGCCCACCGCCAGTTCATTGACAGTGTTCAGCATAGACGCCTCACATACTCCCCAACTATTGAAGAGCCTTGTGGCCTTGCTCCATCTTGCTAATGTGCGTTCATCCATCGACTCCCCAAAGGAAGTCAGTGATTTGAGGCATGTAACGTGATCCGGGTTGATGTTGCGGATTATGCTTGGAGGCAACAATGCTGTGTCCACATTGAACGAGCTGATGAAGTCAGCAAGCTCCGTCTCAGTGGTCCGTGTCGTTTCAGGGTGGATGCAAAGACATTTCCCTAATGAGAGGGCACCAAATATCTCATAAATGCTGGCAGCAGAAGCGAGAGATGCAAATTGCAGGATTCGCGTGCTCGAATGCCAGTCTAGACGCGAACATACGGCAGAAAGATTAGAAGCCAAGGAGCGGTGGTTGACCACCACGTCTTTGGGGCCTAGCATGCTTCCGTTGGTAGAGAAGATGAAAACAGGATCTTCCGGAGATGTGCTAAGGTCTTTTCCATTCCTATTCGACTGTGGAAGTTTAGAAATGAAAGTCATATCGATAGGTACGACATTTGGCACGACACCCTCGAGCAGAGAGTAGTCAGAGGCGGAGCTGAGCGCGAATCTCGCTTTAACCAAAGAGGCCAAGATGGCCTTCTGATTAAATGAATCTTGTTTATAAACAGGGACGCAGATACCACCGGCCTTTATAATACCGATGATAGCAATAATTGCAGGCAGAGATCTCTCCATCGCGAGAAGGACAGGTTCGCGACAGCCTATGCCTCTTCTGTGCAGCTCTTCTGCGAAACTATCGGAGAGTTGGTGTAGCTCACCATAGGAAGCATGTCCATCGCCAGCCTCAACGGCTAGGATACTGGGTCGTAGGTGAGAATTCAGGACGAAGTCATCATAGATGAGTTTTTCTGCCGCCTTGGGTAAGATTTTGTTCCATTGGGTGACCTCAGCCATCCCATCAGAGCTGAACAAACGCAATTGATTGAGCTTCAAATTCATCGGAGCGACAAGCAGCTGCTGTAAAACGTGATCGAATTGGTTCAGAACGCGATGTACTTGGCGTTCTGGTATGCACACCGGATCATATTTCGCTTCGACGAAAACTTGTCCGGGCCCGATGTAGCAGGGAATCATCAGAGCGAATGCGCCCTTTGCCATCCAGACGATACGATCCATTTCGATGTCGTCATTCTTAGGGGCGCTTCTCTTGTCTGAAAGAGTTCTAGGGGATGGTATAATGTTTAATTGGGTTTGGAAACCAGCCGCGGTTCGCGCTGCATCACTGGCTGAGGCGATGCCATCCAAGCCGAATTGGATCGAGGGCTCCGTTTGAAGTGTGCGCAGCGAAGTCGCACGATCTTTCACCAGCTTCTCGACCGTCATATTTCGTTTGAGATGGACTTGGACAGGTATTTCCACGACTGTTTGTCCGAGAGTCTTCTCTAAGCCGCGAGCAGATGGGCTGCGCCCAGATAAGACAAGGCCGTAGGCGACATTGTCGCTGTTGGCGTAAGTGGCAGCAGTCAAAGCCCATGCAGCCTCAATGTACAGCGGCACATGGGCAGGGGAAACTCCCGTGCGTTGAAGGTCAAGTGCCATGGTCTTGGTCGCCACTCCGTAAGGGTGAGGGCGATGACCGACTGGAACGGGTGGATAGATTGCAGACGGTCCTTTGAAGCGAGAAGCCCAGAAAGCCCTTGCTGCAGACTCGTCAATGTCTAGATTGTAGTCCACAAAGTCTCGATATGCAGGCCGTTGATTGATCTGTTGACCAAAGAAGACATGGCTCACGTCTTCTCTAAGAAGCGTAGAGATGGAGCTATGGTCCATTATTGCATGGTGAATGATAGCAATAAAGGTTCTGTCGATAACAACGGACCGAAAGAGCAAGTCACCGAAGCCTAGAAGCCTTTGCTCCCCGTCTCTCACGTATTGGTCAACATCTGCCCCAATATGTCTCTCAGTTTGATGCTCCTCTGTAGTGACGACTTGGACAATTCCAACACGACTTTTTACAATTCGTGTTCGAAGAGTTGAGTTGGCTGCAACGACTTGCCGCAAAGCATCGCACCACCCATCAATATCAGCATCAGGCCCGAAATTGACCAGTATCTGAAACTGCTCAGATCTTTTATCGTCAATCTGGGAAATTTGCTGTGGCAAGCAAGGATAGATCTCCTCTATCTGGTTGACTGTGATATAGCACGCCTCCGCGATTTCAGCCATCGTTGCGTCATTCACCATTAGCCTCGGGGAAACTTTTGGTAAGGCCATTTCTTTGGAAATAAGTCTCTTCGGATACAAAATAGAAGAAAATTTGGTAAGGTCTTAGGATGTCTTTGGCATATACGAACTAGGGTGCTAGTATCTGTTATGAAGGTCTTGTAATACTGTATCGACATCGCAGATTTTCGCTTATCATCATCCAAAACATGTTCTCAAGGAGCCCTATTACAAACCACGGTCCATTAAGGTAGCGTTCTAACTGCTGCTACACTTCAGTGCGAAGGTCCGGTAGCATCTACTCTACTACTCGAGCTGATTTACAGGCCGGGTAGAGGAAACGCCAAGTAGGAATCAGTTCCGTGTTTTCCCGTGGTCATTCGGTGGCGATCAGTCATTGGTGTAAGCGATCGATAACGGTCTGGACTCTAGTGGGATGGAATTGACGCGATCGTCTGTCTTCTTGTGACAGACACAGGGGCTCAGAAGATGTTCCCATCACAGTCTAATTAGACTAGCGGGTACAAACATGGTGCTTCATCTCGTGGAGGGAGCGGAACAGGGGTTTCGGGGACAGGAGGCGTGCCGTTTTCTAGCGTGATTTGTTGATATTGCCACCCTTGCACACAAATCATCCCGGATTCAAGACGCGGAGAGATCTGAAAGAAGTCATCACAATGGCACTAGACCAGTTTAGGCACTTATTTTTAGGATTGCCCAGGCATTCCGAACCCCCCACGCCCCGAATACTGTCTCCTATCTAGTTATGTAGTGTAGTGTTGCCATCAACAATGAAACTTCTGTGCCAAAAACCAATGAAATAAGGGGGCTAAAAGATACGGTATTCGGGCCGTGGCTACCTAGATGCCTTGTTCAACACTGGGTTGGGAAGTGTGGCAGCGATTCTGTTGGTAAGCCAGGAGTTGGGAAAAAGATAGTGTCCAAAACGTTATCAACCCACACACCTGTGGCGACAACACACCTCAATTAGAATTATTGTAACCTTATTACTTCAAGATTGACATCAAGATGCTACTGTAGACGGGCCGTATTGTAGATTACTGGCGAGTTGATACGAGCAGTTTGCCGTTCATAGATGATATGCCCTTTAGGGTAGGTAAGTCCGTGGCAGTGACGGCAGGGATGGACTAGTCCAAGGCGGAAGATAACACTGGAATAACCTTGCAAGGGAAACAACTCATCGGTGTGTGCTTCATGAAACAGAAAATCCTGCAAGACACGGCTTTTGGAAGGTTACCTCTGCAGTCATCTTCGGTGGGCAAGTAACAAGGCCAACGTGCGTCGAGGAAAAGGGGGTCAACCCCTGTCACACAAGTCGCCGTTGTTATTACCGGATGTTAAGCCGTTGACTTCTTCATTTCTCGGGTCATCATCAAAATAGTCATGAGATATACCGAAGGCTGGCTGGGGGATGACCCCCGCGCTGAAATGCGGATCATATACCCGCCGGACTTTTGAGTATTCCAGCAATAGGATGGTGTGGTGGCGCCCTCGGAATGGCGGCGTAAGGACAAGATAAGGAAAAAAAGTTGGAATATCATGGGTAGGTCAAGCTGTCCGCTTCTGGCGCATTGTGAGAAGACCAACCCCTGGTTTCGTCGCATCAAAAATGGGGAACTGCGGCACGGAAGTGGCGGCTCGGTGTTGGCATGTGTAACCGCCCTGTTCGACGAGATACATATCTGGCTACGACTGTGACGGGAATAGCATGGTCAGGGCTAAGTAAGATTGTAAGACTACTCGGAACAGCGTACTGGTCTCAACCCTACTTTCCGGGGGCGGGGCCCCGGAGTGAGTGACACTCATGCTCATGATAAATAAACGGGGGTGTTGGTTTAAGTGCTGACCCCTAACAGATATTTCTAACGGCGGCTAGATATCTCAATGGTGTGTGAATAATGCTACACCCTATGTAGTACTACCGTCCGAGGAAATCTCAATCACAAGCTTGCCGAACTGCTTATTCGTCCTCAGATCGTCAAAAAGCCCCTCAATTGCGTCCATTGACTCCAGACCCTTGACAGTTCGGCTGATAATGGGCCGTATCTGCTTATCCCTGACAAAGTTGACCATATCTGTAAACTCGGACCTAGAACCGAGTGTGCTCCCCTTCAGCTCCACGTTCCTCAACACAGCATGCATGAGCCAATCCATCACGGGAGCAACAGTCATCCCATATGACACGATTACTCCTCCCGGTTTGAGGATATTCATGGCTCTGCTGACAATGTCCCCACCCGCTCCGTCAATCACGGCGTCAAGATATGGCCGTTCGGCTGGCAAAATCTTGCTCAGCTCTTTCTCCCACTCATCTGTCTTGTAGTTCACGCCCCCTTTCGCGCCAAGGCCTTTGGCCTTGTTGATCTTGGCAGCATCCCCGGACGTCACATAGACGTTGCAGCCCACGGCCGCGCCAAACTGGAGCAGCTGCAAAGCTACACCACCCCCAATCCCTGTTACGAGAATGTTGTGGCCTGGCTTTGCATTACCAGATTTGATCATGAACGCCCGCCAAGCTGTCAGCCCGACAGAGGGAAGAGCTGCAGCTTCCGCCGCATTGAGATGCTCGGGACAGACCTCAACTTCTGACTCGTCCACGACGACGTAGTCCTGCGCGCAACCAATGTTGTTGGCACCCATCCCACCAATGCCAGTAAACTTTGATGGGTCTTCCGGTCCCTCGGGGTTAGATTGCCATCCCCGAGAAGGTGTCAAAACAACCTTCTTATTTAGGAGATCGTTGCGACACTCAGGTCCGGTCTCAACAACAGTTCCGTATCCATCAGACAAGAGAGGGGACTTGAAGGAAATGTCGGGGTAGAGATGCTGTCGGATAAAGAAATCGCGCCGGTTTAACGCGGCAGCATGGAGCTTCACAAGGACTTCGTTCGGACCGGGAGAGGGCTTAAGATAGAGGTTGAGCTTCAAGGGGTAGTACACCTTACCCGCCTTGCCGCGGATTTCTTTGATAGTAATGGAATATGGCATTGTGTTCTCGGGGTAGTTTGTTGGAGACAATGAGTTGTTGATTTGAAACTGGCATCATGATTGAGAGAAAGGAATTACACACGCATTATAAGCTTTTTCTCCCTGAGTATAGAGCTTTCTTGGTGTAATGGACTCTCCTCCAGGTGGATGGACTAGGGGGCTTGAAGCTGCATATCATAGTGCGAGTTGTAATGTGGGAATGTAGCAGAACGTGTGACTCTCGAAAGCTTGATTACGGTCTCCACAAGACTAAGGAGTATTCGTTTATCCATATGTACATGCATGTAGGCAAGGACGCACCCATTAAGAATTCGCTCCGAATACGACGCCTGACTCCCATCTTGGGAGGTGTTACACAAGCTGATTGCGACAAGGGTCTAGGAGGAAACCGGTTCTGGGCTTTGGGTCATCCACACTCCCGATCCCCCTTCGCCCACCACCAAGACATAGCTAAGTGCAGAGACACCAAGCGCTGGCTAGAGAGTGAACCAAAAATATTGGTATAGCATCGCGTTACGTCTGTGCTGCCTACATCCCCAAGTAGGCAGATCCTTCGATATTCATGCGATAGCTCATGAAAGCAAGACGACGACTAACACTGTTTTGCGTGAAACTGATCTGGCACAATCATCATGGACAGCAAAGAAATTCAGACTGAGAATACATACTCAGCAGACGCCAAGACGTCAAATGCACCTGTCCAAGTAACTGGCGCCACTGACCTCAGTGCCACTAAGCAACCAACGATGGCCAAGTCTAAGAGGGAAGCCAGTTTGAAGGATTATTTAGTGAGTTCTGGCACAATACGAGACGACTGTCTACTGACTAATCTGCAAAGAGAATCTTCACTTATGCTGAGAAGGCGGACGTATACCTGATCATCGTGGGCATTTTGGCATCCATGGCTGCTGGGGCGGTAAATACTGATCCGGAAAAAAATGTTTGGAGCTCACTAAGCTAAAATCTTGAAGACTCTCCCGATATTGAATGTTGTATTTGGTACGTCTTCTCCCTTTACTGAACAATGCGTAGCACTGATGAGGTTTCAGGCCAGCTTGTCGAGACATTCAATGATTATGCTACCCCAGGAAAGACACAAGACAGGGTCTCGTTTGATGGCCTGTTGAATAGATATGCGTATGTGAGACCACCGGAACAACGGGAGCTTGCTAACTTTCTCTAAATAGTCTCTATATCTTCGTGCTTTTCATTGGAAGATTTATATTTAGCTATATCAGCAAGGTAGGCTTCCTACTCCCCTGAGAAAAAAGGTTGGCGTCATACTGAGTTTGCCAGCTCGCATTCTCCGTCATTGGGATTCGAATGTCCGCAGCGATCCGGCTCGATTATCTAAAACATCTCTTTGCGCAAACCGTCGAAGTCCTTGATCGAATGCCTCCAGGGGCTGCGGCCGGTACGATTACGGCAACAGCGAATGTGCTACAAATTGGAATCTCAGAAAAGCTAGGAACACTCGTCCAATTTATGGCGACGATTCTGGCAGCAATAATTGTAGCGTTTACGTACAGCTGGTCATTGACCCTCGTGACCGGCTCGCTGCTCGTCTTTGTGGCGATTGTGGGCGTCGTTCTGGTCCCTTTCATGACCAAGAAGCACCAGAAGACATTCGAAGCCGAGCAAATGGCATCTTCAATAGCCAACGAAGCTTTTGGGAGTATCCGAATGATCATGGCTTATAGTGCCCAAGCACGCGTCGGGGAACGCTTTTCCAAATGGGCCAATGAAGCCAAGAAACATGGACAGGGCGTGGCGCCAATTGTCGCACTGCAATTTGGCCTGATCTTCTTCGGTGTATATGCCACCTTTGGATTGGCGTTCTGGTTTGGCACAAAGTCATTCCGAGAGGGGCGAATAGAGAGCGTTGGCATAATTGTCATTGTCCTCATGTCGGTTATGTTGATGGTCCTCTCTATTCAGGGGCTGTTCACTCCATTCATCGCCGTGAATAAAGCGATGGTAGCAGCTTGCGAGTTCTTCTCCGTTGTTGATTCTCCGCCTCAACAAAGCGGGTGTCTCAAGGAGCCTGATGTTTCAGCAACCGACGACATCATCTTCAGAGCTGTCGACTTTGCATATCCCAGCCGGGCTCACGTTAAGGTACTAGACAGCTTAGACCTTCGCATCGAAGCAGGCAAGGTGACAGCTATCGTTGGACCTTCTGGCTCTGGGAAAAGCACTGTTGTTGGGCTGATTGAGAGGTGGTATGATCTCCATGGCGACTCGGCTGCAAATAGAGCTACGAAAGAAGAAGACCAAGCTGCAAATGAGAGAGAAGCACCAATTGAAAGATCCAGCTCAGTCCCAGAGAGCGCCTCCCCAGTCGATGTTCAGTTGCGGGGTAGAGTGGAGGTTTCTGGGCATGATATCTTCGAGATTGACCTCAAGTGGTGGAGGTGCCAGATTGGTCTTGTACAGCAAGAGCCATTTCTTTTCAACGACACAATTTACAACAACGTTGCTCACGGATTGATCGACTCTGACTTAGAAGCTGAGACCGAAGGTCAAAAAAAGAAGCTCATTGAAGAGGCCTGCAGAGAAGCATTTGCTGACGAATTTATCCAACGCTTGCCAGACGGGTACCACACCATGGTTGGTGAGAGTGGAACCAAATTGAGTGGCGGTCAGCGGCAGAGGATCAGCATTGCTCGAGCCATTGTGAAGAAGCCAAAAATACTCATCTTGGACGAAGCTACCTCGTCGATTGACGTCCGTGGCGAGCGAATTGTCCAGGCTGCGTTGGAAAGGGCGTCCCTTGGCAGAACTACAATCACCATTGCACATAGGCTATCTACTATCCAGAAGGCAGATCGCATTGTGGTGCTGAGAAAGGGGAAAGTGGTGGAAGAAGGGACCCATCAATCTCTATTGGAGATTGAAGATGGAGTCTATTCAGGGCTTGTAGCCACACAGAACCTGACCATGCACGATGAAAAGCATGATGCCGATTTACAGGAGCTCAAGGATATAGAAAGCCATGTTTCCAACGAAAGAGAGGATGACGGGGAAGCAACCGAGGGGAGTACAAACATCTACAAATCAGGGTACAAGCCTCAGGGCCTTCTTGGAAGTTTTGGAAGACTTCTCTACGAGCTGAAAAGCCAATTTCCGCTCTACATTGCTACCGTATTCTTCGCCATGTGTGCAGCAGGTGTGTCACCCCTTTTCCGGAGTCACTGGATTCAGTAGGCTAACGATGTAGAAGCCGGCACTCCTCTTCAAGCATATCTATTTGCAAAGATTATCGTCGTATTTCAGTACGTGGATGAGATGGATAGGTTCACGACGCAAGCCAATTTCTGGTCCCTGATGTGGGTTGTGTTAGCCATAGGCACAGGCTTCGCTCAATTCGGACTGCAATTCGTCTCCAATCACCTTGCCGTTGTAAGACATGCCCATTACCCTTATCTGCTTGTATAAGTAGCGCTGATATCCTATTTATAGTATATCTCGGCCACCTACCGTATGCAGTATTTCAATGGGCTCATAGCCCAGAAGGTGTCATTTTTTGACAATGAAGATAACTCGGCTGGAACACTTACGGCCAAGCTGGGCAGTGATCCCAGGCAGCTGGAGGAGCTCCTTGGAGTGAACATGGCCCAAGTCTACATGGCTATTTTCAATTTATCAGGATCGATTGCGATTGCCTTCGCTTTTGGCTGGAAGCTGGCCCTGGTGGCTGTCTGTGTTACAGTGCCTCTCGGGTTTTTGGCCGGCTTCTATCGGCTCAGACATGAGCTGCAATTTGAAGCCCTTTCCCATGCTGTATTCGAGGAAAGCTCAAAGTTCGCGGCGGAATCTATCGGTGCATTCCGCACGGTCACATCATTGACTCTAGAGGACACAATTTGCCATCGGTATCGAGAACTTTTGTCGCATCATGCCACAAAAGCCTCCAGAAAATCAAGATGGACATCCCTCATCCTGGCATTCTCAGACAGCATGGCCATGGCGTGCCAAGCTCTTATCTTCTGGTACGGTGGCAAACTTCTCGGATCTCACGAGTATGAGGTGTTTAACTTCTTTGTTTGCTATATGGCAGTCATAAGCGGCGCCGAAGCTGCTGGCCTTGCCTTCAGTTACGGTCCAAATGCAGCCCAGGCCTCAGCCGCAGCGAATAGAATCCTGGGTATTCGTGAAAGCAAGAACATAAACGAGGAGAACCAAAATGGGCACATTGAAACTGCTCAAAATGGTATCAAGATTGAGTTCCAACATATCTGGTTTAAATATCCGACAAGAAACATTTCAATATTTGAAGACTTGAGCATTACTATCGAGAAAGGGCAGTATGCTGCCTTTGTTGGCTCATCAGGGTCAGGCAAGACAACAATCATCTCTCTTCTTGAACGATTTTACGATGTGAACAGAGGGAAAATTATGGCCAATGGCACAGATATACGGAGTGTCGGCATTGATGAGTACCGCAAGCAAATCTCCCTAGTTGCTCAAGACCCAACAATCTTTCAAGGCACTATACGGGAGAACATTGTGCTCGGTGTAGATACAGAAACTACAGACGAGCAAGTGAAGACGGCCTGTCGAGACGCCAGCATTCATGATTTCATCTCGTCCTTACCTGACGGATACAACACTGAAATCGGAAGCAAAGGTGTTGACCTCTCAGGTGGACAGAAACAACGTATAGCTATTGCGAGAGCACTGATCCGGAACCCACAGTTGTTATTACTCGATGAAGCCACAAGTAGTCTGGACTCAGAAAGTGCCAGACTTGTGCAGGCTGCCTTTGAAAAAGTTTCTAAGGGACGTACAATGATTGTAATTGCCCATCAGCTCTCAACAATTCAGAACGCCGATGTCATCTTCGTGCTTGGAGAAGGTAAAGTTCTAGAAAAAGGCAATCATATGGAACTCCTCAGAAGGAAAAGAATCTACTGGAACATGGTGAGTACAGCTATCACTGGATACACCATTTGCTAATATTTCGGTTTAGTGTCAAAATCAAGCATTGGATAGTTGAG